TAATTTTTAATTTAATTTAAAAATTTATTTCGAAATTAACTTTTCGATTAATTTCGGTATTAATTTAATTAATCGTTAATTTAAATTTATTAATTATTAAATAAATTTAAAAATTAAATTTATTAATTAATTTATTAATTTTTAAATTAATTTTTAAATTAATTTTTAAATTAAATTTAAAATTAATTTATTAATTAATTTATTAATTTTAAATTAATTTAACGATTAATTTTTAAATTAATTTAAAAATTAACTTTTTAATTAATTTCGGTATTAATTTAATTAATTTATTAATTATTAAATAAATTTAAAAATTAAATTTATTAATTAATTTATTAATTATTAAATTAATTTTTAAACCGATTTAAAAATTAAATCGGGAATTAATTTACTAATTTTCGGACCGATTTTCGAACCGATTTAAAAACTAAATTTAAGATTAATTTACTAACTATTTAATTAATTATTAATCTAAACTGACTAATCAACTAAATTAGCTGTTAAACTGATTTGCTGACTAATTTACTAACTATTAAACTGATCGAACAACTGATCCAGGGACGACTTTTGCACTGACTTTTGAACTGGCCGTTGAACTGATCGAACGACTGATTTAAGAACTGGGATAGGGACTGATTGACTGACTATTGATCTGATCGAAGATCTGATCGATCAACTGATTCAATCCCTGGTCCAGGGACTGAATTACTGACTATTGAACTAATCTAGGGACTGATCTGACTAATCGTTGAACTGACCTTTGAACTAATCGAACAACTGATCTAGTTCCTGGATTAGGGACTGATTTACTGACTATTTGTTGAATTGATCTAGGGACTGATCTGACTAATCAGTTAACTTACTGTTGAACTGACTTAGGGACTGATTGACTGACCTTTGAACTGACCTTTGAACTGATCTAGGGCCTGATTTATTGACTATCCTATTGACTGTTGAATCGACTGTTGATCTGATTCAGGTACTGATTAACTGACTGTTGAACTGACGTAACAACTGATCCAGGGATTGATTTATTGACTGATTTACTGACTGTTGAACTGACGTAACAACTGATCCAGGGATTGATTTATTGACTGATTTACTGACTAATCTCCTGACTGTTGAACTGATCCAGGGACTGGATCAGGGACTGATTTACGAACTGATCTAGGGACTGTTGAACTGACTGTTGAACTGACTGTTGAACTGACTGTTGAACTGACTTTTGAACTGACTTTTGAACTGATTATCGCAACGAAACTTTCTCGGTCCTTCGGACGGATACTGCCTTTTTTACCTAACAACCTCCTTTCCCTTTAAACCCCCTTTTACCCTCATATATCGCCTTCCGCGAGGAAAAATTTTTTAAAACTTTTTTTTAATACGATTAATATAATAATATATTTTTAATTATTTTTCGATTAATTTTTTAATTATTTTTTAATTATTTTTTCGATTATTTTTTCGATTATTTTTTCGAAAATTTTAATTTATAATATTTTTTATTTTTTAATAAAACTTTTATTTAATATTTAACGTATTTAATATATTTACCGAAATATCCATTAATATATTTATTAATATTTATTTTATTAATTAATATAATTAATATACGTATATAATTTTATATATATATATTATATAAAATTATAATATAAATATTTAAAAATATAAAAATATAAAAGTTTAAAACTTAAATTATAACGTAATTTCATTAATTAAATTTATAATAAATAATTAAAAAATATTTTAACTTTAAAAATAATTTTTAAAATTAAAATTATAAAATTTATAACGAATTAATAAAGAATTTACCGTTATTTATTTAATATATTTAATAATTAAAAATTTAAAATTTTTTTAATATTTAATATATATTTTAAATACGTTATATAAAAAAAATTAAAAAATTAAATAAATAATTAATTAATTAATTATTTAATATATTTATAATAAAACGATTTAAAATTACACGATTATTAAATTATTTTATACGAAAAATTTAACATTTAAAAAAATTTTATTTAATATTTAAAAAAATTTAAAATTCGAAAATATTTAATATTTAAAATTTATAATTAAGTTATTTATTTAAAAATTAATTAATTAATTAATTATTTAAATAATTATTTAATTAATTATTAAACTTATTAATAAATTATTTTATTATTTAAATTATTTAAATTATTTAAATTATTTAAATTATTTAAATTATTTAAATTATTTAAATTATTTAAATTATTTAAATTATTTAAATTATTTAATTAATAAATTTAAATATCGTGTTTATTTATTAAAAGTAATTAATTTAAATTTTAAAAAATTAAATCGAAACGTAAAATTTTATATATTTTTTTAATTATTTATAATTTTTATTTAAATTTAATTATATATATATTATTAAGTTTTATATTATTTATTTTTATATATTTATTATTTATAATTAATATTCGAATTATTTAATTAATATATTATAATAATTTTACATTAAATTTACATTTATTATTTATTCGTTTATATTAAATTAATTTTATAAAATTAATTTTATTAAATAACTTTTTATAAAATAAAATTTTATAATTTTTATTTCGATAAAATTTAATATTAATTTAAATTAAATTAATTAAATTTATTTTTTTATCGTTTTTATATATATAATTTTAATTTAAAAATTTTATTTAATTATTTTTTATTAAATTATTTATAATTAAATTATAATAATAAATTTTTTTTAAAAAAAATTTAAAAATTTATAACGAAATTAATAAAAAAAATTTAAAAATTTAAAATTAAATTTAAATTTAATTTAAATTTAAATTCGAAAAAAATAAATATAAAACCGAATTTAAAATAAATTAAAAATTAAATAAATTTAAAATTAAAATAATATTTTTTTTATTATTTATTAATAATATAAAAATAATTAATTAAACGATTTTATAAACGCGAAATAATATAAAAAAAATTAAACGAATAAACGTATCGAAAAATCGAACTTTCGCATAAAATAAAATAAAAAATAATTAAATTTTAAAAATTTTTTAAAAATTTTATTATTTTTTTTTTTAAAATATAACTTTACGCGAATTACGAAAACTTTAAAAAAATAAAAAAAAAAAATTAAAAAATTTTCCTCGTAAAAAACGTTATATAAGGGTTTAAAAAGAATAATTGTTTAAAAAGAAAAAGATGGAAAGTAAGTAAAAATAAAAAGTAATATCCGCCCGAAGGACTGGGAAAGTTTCCTTGCGATAAACAGGTTGTTCTAACTTAATCCAGTTCTTAGATCAGTTCAAAAGTAGGTTCAAAAGTCAGTTGATCAGTTCGTAAATCAGTCCCTGATCTAGTCCCTGGATCAGTTCAAAAGGCCAGTACAACGATTAGTCAAATCAGTTCGTAGATCAGTTCAACAGTCAGTTCAACGATTAGTTAAATCAGTTCTTAGATCAGTTTGTATATCGGTCCCTGATCCAGTCCCTGGATCAGTTTAAAAGTCAGTTGAATAGTCAGTAAATCAGTCCCTAATCCAGGAGCTAGATCAGTTCAATAGTCAGGAATTCAGTCCCTGGTCCAGGGACTGAATCAGTAATTCCATCACTTCAACAGCTAATCAACCAGTCTGCAAATCGGTCCCTAGTTCAGTCCTTGTATCAGATATTCGATCAGTTGAATAGTCAGTCAATCAGTCCCTGATCCAGTTACAGGATCAGTTACAGGATCAGTTGTTTGATCGGTTCGAAAGTCAGTTCAAAAGTCGGTAAATCAGTCTCTGTATTAGTTGTTCGATTAGTTCAACAGTTAGTAGATTAGTCAGCAAATCAGTTCAACCGTCAGTTCAGGGATTAGTCAGATCAGTTCCTGGATCAGTTCAACGGTCAGTAGATCAGTCAGTAGATTAATCTAGTCAGTCCCGAGATCAGTTCAAAGGGCAGTTCAATAGTCAAATCAGTCCCTAGATCAGTTCAGCAGTCAGTAAATCGGTCCCTGGTCCAGTCCCCAGATGCAATCAGTACACAGCTAATAAATCAGTCGCCAAACTGATTAAATAATCGATCGAATAATCGATTAAATCGTCAATTAAATAGTCAATTGAATAGTAAATTGAATAATCAATTGAATAGTCAATTGAATAGTCAATTGAATAATCAATTAAATAGTCAGTTGAATAGTCAGTTCAAAAGTCGGTTCAAAAGTATGTAGCTAAGTAGGTAAATCAGTTCAATTGAAAGATCAGTCGAATCGAAGCTTATGTAATGAATTGAAGCGGATGCACCCAATCAGAGACGTGGATGAATTTAAGGTTTTGCCAAGGCTTGGCGAGGCGCTAAAGGAGATTCGAGCCAATCAAGTGTGTCGAAATCTCTTATCAATTACTTATCAATTACTTACGTAATATTCGCGTATTTTTTGGTGTAATTTTATGAGTAATAGGCAGTTATTGTGACCCCCGACCAAGAAGGGGTCCTTTAGTTTTCAGCGTCGAATCTTTAATTAATTGTTTCTTATCGCAGGCATGTTTAAAAGTTTAATAATCACAATTAATCAATTGCCTTCTAACATCGTTTTCAATTGATTCGGGTTGCATTAATATCAGAGATGTATTAACCGGAAACTGGGCGATTGAACCTTGAGCTGTCTCGAATCGATCGAAGTAAGAGCCCTTTTTCAACTTGGAATCTTGCAATCAATCTTGGACTTCAAGGTCGATAAAATGGATAGAAGGGAATCCAGATCAGGTGTTTTCGATTGAAGAAAATGCAAAAGGATAACATGTTGTTTCGAGGAAATTAAAAAGACTTAAAGTCGATCGACTACAAAGTGGGATTTCAGTACAATCTGGCATTCGAATAATAATTTTCGATGTTTAAACATTTAAACGGGTATTAAAATAACGGAGCTCGGACATGTACCCCTCCTTACTTTCATTTTTTACCCCTCCATTTATTTATCACTTGAAAAAAGTTTAAACTTCTACGCTGTTTAAATAAATTCAATCTTTTATTCCTTTCGTAACCTTAAAACCAAAGGTGTGAAATAACGACATTGGGCATACGGTAAAACTACCATGGCCAATCTCGGGAAGACTGTAGAAGGCTTTCAAAGTGCAGCCCTTAAAGACCTGAAAGGTATCGTATCGTATCATCATCAATCATTCTTGATTTCTTGTTGGTCCTTTCTAACTGTAGGTTGGAGGCACGGAGAAACGAGACTCCTTGATCGCATCAGAGAAGAAATATCAGCAGGAATGGGAACAGTTGCGCCTGTTCGATGCCAATCCACCGTCTATCGTCGATATACCTCTCCATTCCATTACTGCTTCTGAGTTGCGAGAAAGGTTTCCAAAATTTTTCGGAACCATTGCCTTTCCTTACACAAATGGACGCCTCCACGTCGGCCACGCATTTTCTTTTAGTAAGGTCGAGTTCCATGTCGGCTTCCTTCGCATGAAGGGCATCAATGTCTTATGGCCGCAGGGTTATCACTGTACAGGTCTACCTATCAAGGCATGCGCCGATAAGCTGTGCAAGGAGGTTGAAATGTTTGGCCAAGAGTTTGAGAAATATAAGGCAGATAAAGATCCCGTCCCCGAGGCCTCCCCCTCGGTTCAGAAAGAAAGGGAAGACGTGACCAAGTTCACTGCCAAAAAGGGCAAGGCCGCTGCCAAGTCAGTCAAGATGAAATACCAATTTCAGATTATGCAAGCCATGGGTATCCCATTACAACAAATTCATCTTTTCGCTGATCCGGCATACTGGCTCGAATACTTTCCCCCGCTCTGTAAACTTGACCTGAGCAACTTCGGTAGCAGGATCGATTGGAGAAGACAGTTCGTCACCACGGATGCCAACCCATACTTCGATGCGTTTGTTCGTTGGCAGATGATCCGGCTGAAGGAGCTTCACAAGATCAAGTACGGGAAGCGCCATACAATCTACTCCATCAAGGATGGTCAACCCTGTATGGACCACGATAGAAGCGAGGGTGAGGGCGTCAATCCACAGCTGTACGTGGCAATCAAAATGCAAGTTCTCGAATTCTCGTCAAAGGCCCAGGAGACGCTTCGAGGGAAGTTACCTGAAATTGCCAAGGTATTCCTCGTTCCTGCAACGTTACGGGCAGAGACGATGTATGGACAAGTTGCTTGCTTTGTTTCGCCCAAGGTCACCTACGGCATCTATGAAGCCGCCCCTAATGAGTACTATGTTATGACAGAAAGGGCCGCCAAGAACATGGCTTACCAGGAGATATTTGCCGAAGAAGGTGTCGTCAAGAAGACATCTGATATCCGAGGTTCCGATCTTATTGGCACTCTAGTGAACGCCCCCCTCAGCTTCCACGAAGATGGCGTTCGGGTTCTTCCCATGGAGTCGATTCTTGAGACCAAGGGGACGGGTGTAGTGACGTGCGTACCTTCAGATTCTCCGGACGATTACGCCACAATTTCGGATTTGGCTAAAAAGGCGGAATATTATAAGATCAATAAGGAGTGGGCAGAGCTAGAAATCAGACCCATTATCAGGACACCCACTTCTGATTTACTAGCCCTCGAACTAGTCAAAAAGTTGAAGATAGCATCTCCAAAGGATGCTAAGCAGCTAAAGGAGGCTAAGGAACTAGCATATAAGGAAGGCTTTTATCAGGGTCATATGCTCGTGGGAGACTTTAAAGGAGAAAAAGTGGCGGATGCGAAGCCTAAAGTTCGGGCGCAGCTAATTGAAGCCGGCCTCGCCTTTGAATACGCAGAGCCCGAGAATAAGGTCGTCAGCAGAAGTGGCGACGAATGTACGGTGGCTCTCATGGAGCAGTATTACATTGACTACGGAGAAGAATCATGGCGTGCCACTGCGACCGAATATGTCGAGAATAAGGATGGAAATGGTCTCAACACCTATTCGAGCGATGCCCGTAATGCGTTCTTAGGAGTGCTTGACTGGCTCAAGCAATGGGCGTGCGCAAGAACATATGGCCTTGGCTCACGGCTTCCTTGGGCACCGGAATTTCTGGTAGAAAGCTTGAGCGATTCAACGATCTATATGAGCTACTATACGGTGGCTCATTATCTCCACAGTGATATATTTGGGCGAGAAAAGGGTATCGGTAACATTGCACCGGATCAGATGATTGATGAGGTTTGGGATTATATATTCTGCCGCACTGAACTTACGGAAGACATTCTAGCCAAGTCAAGGATTTCTAGGGAGACGCTCGAGGCGATGCGCCGCGAGTTTGAATATTTTTACCCCTTGGACTTGAGAGTCAGTGGCAAGGATCTTATCAACAACCACCTTACCTTCGCTCTCTACAACCACATCGCACTCTTCCCTAGAGAATACTGGCCCAAGTCTTACCGGGTGAACGGTCACCTCCAGCTCAATGGCGAGAAGATGTCTAAAAGCACTGGCAACTTTATGACTCTCGACGATGGTAAACCGACGTCCTACCCCCCCCCACTTCGTAGCCGTTGCTGACTCGAACATAGTTGTAAAGAAATTCGGTGCCGATGCCTCCCGAATCGCTCTTGCAGATGCTGGTGACACAATTTCAGATTCTAATTTCGTCGAGGATGTCGCTGATAGCACCATGTAAGCTACCCACTCGCCTATGGTTATGATTGAGTAACTACGTTAACTAATATTTTTTTTTCCAGTCTCCGACTCCATTCTCTCAGAGAATGGTGTGAGGAAGTGGCCCAAAGCCCAGATCTCCGGGCCGAGAAAAATGATTTTGAAGATGCACTGTTTGACAACGAAATGAACACGCTGGTGCAAGAAGCTAAGCGACATTACGAGGACACAAACTACAAAATGGCTCTGAAGTCATGCTTCTACGACCTCATAAACGCCAAGGACATCTACAGAGCAACTTGTGTGGCAGCTGGAATCTCAATGAACAAGGACCTAGCCTTCAAATATATCAGACTACAAGCCCTATCTCTCACACCGATCGCGCCGCACTGGGCTGAGTATATCTGGCTCGAGATACTTCATGAAGCTCAAACGGTACAACTAGCTCGGTGGCCCGAAGTACCGGAAGCTAATGCCAGTCTTACGGCTGCCCGCGCCTACGTACTAGCGACGCAGTCCAACATTACGTCGGCGGAATCGGCGCAGGTAAAGAAGATGGCCAAGGGAAAGCAGATTAGCTTTGACCCCAAGAAGCCCAAGAGGCTGACAGTCTATATAACTAGAGAGTTCCCTAAGTGGCAGAATGAGTGCATCGAATTAGTAAAGGAGACGTGGGATCTAACAACCATGACGCAGAGGTGCACCGACAAGGAACTTAGCGGCCGGGTTGCCAAGATCGGCAAAGTGAAGGAAGCTATGCCGTTCGTACAGCGTCTCAAGAAGCGCCTTCGCGATGGGGAGCCGGCTGATGAAGTGATGGAACGCAAGTTGGCTTTCGACGAGTCTAAGATAGTCGTGGCTATGGTACCTAGCCTTAAAAGGGTGGCAGGGTTATCAGCCGTCAGTGTCTTGTTAGTAACCGAAGGCAGAAAGACGGGGTCTGATCTCATTCATGGAGGTGAGGTGGACGTCAAGTCTCCTTTTGCGGAACAAGCAGTTCCAGGCCAACCGTCTTTCTTATTCGAGAATATTGAGGCGTAGTAGACCGAGTAATAGATGGGTCATTGCCGCCCCCCGAGCAGAGATTTTCTGCAGTCCTCTGCAGGTTATTATATTTACAGCTATTCAAGTGCATATGCATGCATGTATGTATACATGTTTGTGCGTGCTCTTTTCTCTCTCTTTTTTTTTCTTTCCTTCTTTCTTATTCCGCAATACGGGTAGCTAGCCGTGTTTCGTCTTTCCCACGTTTACATTCCGCTATTTCTCATCCAGCAAGGACCAGGAAAAGGAATCCAAGGGGAAATATCCGATAACGGACATTATGTATTTCCCCCCTTTCTATGTTTTCCATTTGCCTAGCTTGTACCTATGTAGCGGTGCCACCATTCTTTAAACCCCCCTCATCCACTACCCCCACCACCACCACCGCCAAATCCATGTACATATATCGACCCCAAGATCGATTCACAGAAACATACCCCGCAAACAATCATAGCTAACACGGCTAACATGGCTAACGACACCATCAAGGTAGCCGTCATCCCTGGCGACGGAATAGGACTCGAGGTGATACCATATGGTGTCCGTTGCCTGGAAGCAGCCGCTAAAGTGTTCGGCATTTCAATAACATTTGAGACTTTCGACTTTGCTAGCTGTGCATTTTACCAGAAGCATGGGGACATGCTACCTCCAGACTGGAAACAGAAGCTTCTCGGGTTTGATGCCATCTATTTCGGCGCCGTTGGGATGCCAGATCTAGTTCCAGACGAGGTCTCCTTATGGGGAAGTCTGTTGAGGTTTAGGCGTGAATTTGACCAGTATATCAACCTCCGCCCATGTCGGCTGATGGCTGGGGTTAAGTCTCCTCGTACGTCTACCTTTACTTGACGCCACCTCCTTCCTCCCATCTTTTCATCGATTTTTATTTTTTATTGCCTTTGGGCTTTTTGGGTTTTGGGTTTTGGGGTTTGGGTGTTTTTTTTTAAAAAAAAAAAAGTATAGTCATGATTATCTTGACTTGCTGATAATAGGTGCTAAAAGTGGCCGACCGGAAGCCTGGAGATATCGACTTCTGGATCGTGCGTGAAAATACCGAAGGCGAATATAGTAGTATAGGGGGTAAGATCTTTGAAGGCACTGATAGGGAGACCGTGATCCAGGAGACGGTCATGACGCGGACCGGCATCGACAGAGTGCTGCGTTATGCCTTTGACCTTGCGCAGAGCCGGCCGCGCAAGCGACTCACAAGTGCTACGAAAAGCAACGGAATAAGTATCACGATGCCGTACTGGGATTCCCGGGTCCGCGAAATGGCTCTCAACTACCCGGATGTCCAGGTGGATAAGTACCACATCGACATCCTCACTGCCCACTTTGTTCAAAGGCCCAACATATTTGATGTAGTTGTCGGGAGCAACCTATTTGGCGATATCCTATCCGACTTAGGCCCTGCCTGTACCGGTACAATTGGGATCGCACCATCCGGGAATATCAATCCAGACCGACGGTTCCCAAGCCTTTTCGAACCTGTCCACGGGAGTGCGCCCGATATCGCCGGAAAGGGCATCGCAAACCCGATTGGTACAATTTGGGCTGGTCAGATGATGCTCCTACACCTCGGCTACCAAGACGCCGCCGCCGCGATGCTCCAGGCGATTGAGAAGGTTCTAGCAGGCGGGAATGAAAATATTATCACCGCTGATTTAGGTGGTAAGGGGACAACCAAGAGTCTAGGAGAGGCTATCGAGAGCGAGATCCTTTCTTTGGGAGGGTGATGCTTTTAGTCTTGCCTGCCTCAATGTCGTTCCTTGAATTATCAAGGGCAGGTCAAGAGAAAGAACACAACGTATAGAATATCGTGGTCCTTACCTGCTGGGCGTCGTTCCGAACAACATATGTACACTAGCACCCGCACCTGATATATTTGACGATGTTATGCTTGCCTATTCATGGAAATGAAGACACTGTCTCCTAGCAGATTTTAAATTCATCATGTTTGACTAACAGCATGGTGCTGCGCAAACGATGTTCCTAACCCAGGTGTTATGGTTATTACATGGACTATTCACAGTATGAAGACCATAACCCTTTCAAATATCAAAATTTGCTCCTCTCCAGCAGACTAGAAGGGGCCCTTTTCTGTCCGGTTGCCAACGTGGTCAAAACAGCCGAGGACGCCATTGTGGTTCCAAATCACACGATCTAAATATTATGTCAGTATTCCAATTTAGCAGCCGATAGGAAATCTAATGACTAAACTTACTGAGATCGTATGTAGCTGGAGAAAACCGACCGTTGGCGTTGAGGCAATCACAACTGAGGAGAAAATTCGCATTGCTTCCATGAACTGTGCAGTTGTCACAGGTAGACCAGTAGTTGCCACTATGGTAAGGTAAATTCATGTTAATACATATGAATAGAACCAGGGAATCGTCTGGGAACGAGGAGCTATCTACTTGCCTGCCGTAAGGATAGAGATTTCCACCGGAGTTGGCCAAACAGCCATTGGTGTCAAGCCTTGAGAGCGAAATTATGTTAGTAAGTGTACTTTATAATATCGTGGTCTATTCCGAACTAGTAGGTAACTCACCAGGTCCAGTCGTAACTGTATCTCGCCCAGTCATCGTTATTGCAGTACATTCCAAGGAAGTTGTCTACCATCAAACCGGTCTGCCAAGTGCAGTTGGTGATGAGACCCTGAGCATTGGCTAGTTGACCTGCAAAACCAACTGCCACCGTCATGAATACTGTCATCGACATTGCTGTGTTGGAAGTGAATTTCTGGCCGTGTTTCTTATTTGTTTCCACAGTACTTCCTTCGGGTGTCAGTACGCAATATCCGTATTATTACTTTAAATTTAATATTATACTCTAGCCTTGCTAAGATTGGGAAAGAAACATACCGGATACTGGGGTGGCTCGGCCGAATGCTAAAGTGACGGTTGGCAAAGGAGAGGGAAATACAAGCCTTTTTTTTTTTTTTTACTTTTCCCGGAAAGAAAAAGAGTGACGAGGGAAAAAAAAAAAAAGGTTGGTAACTATATGATGGGAAACATTTAGACGAAGGTCACTGCCGCAGTTGTCATCGCATCAGGTTGGCCACGATACCTCAGGGGCAGGGATTAGAGAAAAGAAAGAAGAAAAGAGAAAGGGAAAAGATACTTAGACATAATTCAAAATGTACTTTAGAAGGAGTGAGTCATCACTAAATAATTAATATCCATGTCTACTTCCCCTGAAACCTTCACTCCTTTGAAGTAACGCCTGCCATATTCTTGGATGAACCATGGCCTTAGAGATCCATAAATTAACTAATGATTTACTTTGGTCACTGCATTGTCTATTATCTCTTCCCCGGAAAGCATCAACGTTTGTCGTCATATTTAGGTACCTATATGAGATACTTGGATATGCTAGGTATACTTTTATGTATATGATATTTTACTTACACATATACAGAGAGTGCAGGTAGATTAATCTAGTTATACACAGCTCTAAATATCCAAGGTTGATCGACGGGTCTCGCAAACGGCTCTTTTACCATCTAGTTTCGATACAGGCCTTAGTACAAGTGCTTAGCTTAAGATAGCAAAAGCCTCCCCTATGCCAGTGATAAGGGGGTAGGAGGTGGCTCATATGAATCACTAGCTGCGTCGACGTTGCTCTCTCGCTCTTCTGCACTTTCATGAACCAACCTCGATAAAAACATACTTGATCAGACGTGCGCTGCTTATGTTCATGATATAAAGACCCCCTTATTAAATTGGTTGCTAGACCTGGAGAAATAAACACCACAATTGTTTTACCCGGTTACCTCCAAAGACATGTTGTACAGACCGCAACCATACAGCATATGCCTAGCACATGTTGCCCAGAGGCCAAGAACGTCACATGTCCCAACTTAAATCAGCCAGCGCAGTACATGAACACCCAAAAGAGATTATATTGCCGTTGTTACACTGTAGGGTAATCTTTAAAACCGGCCGTGGGGCCGTCCCGATCCAACATATATGAAAACTTGTCAGGGTTTCCTAGCAAAGCCGTCGGTATGTCATCATTATCCTCAATCCGTTCGTACTCCTCTCCTTCTCGATCCCAAAGGTCCTTCCCGTTCCTCACTCGATCGGCTATGCGATCACGACCACGGAATGCCTCTTGATTAAGCCAGATGTGAGAGAAAGACGAGAGCTTAGTCAGAACCTCGTCCACCGTAGAGAAGCAAGTAGAGCAGTGCCACTTAGATAGCGAGTTAGTATATTTTCTGTCTCAGGAATAAATCAGCCGGACCGGGGCATTTCCACTTCCAAGCTAGACCAAAGCGAGGAGGGCGAAGAAGGAGAGGAGAGGGGAGAGAGAGAGAGAGAGAATCGGTGTTATCATACCCCAGCACTCCATAAATCCCCCATTTCCATTCTAATCAGAGGTTGTAGGCCGCCGTCCGAATTCCGCAGATTTACGGGGAGGATGGTTCTCCAACCTTGATAATATGTTGCCTGTGGATGCGCCCACTGAGCTCCTTTATGTAGATACTGAAAACTATAATAGTAGAAGTAGCTCCGAAGCGTGAGGCGGCGTGGGAAATGACACGCTTTGAGTACTACTAGTGTCTCCGGGCGAACGATCTCATCAACGTCAGCTACGACGATAACGTCACCCAATACAGGAGCCTGTTCTCCCGTAAGCCTCGGGAATACCTGCGTATACATGGCATCCCTCTGGAGGTCTTCGAATGCCCAGGAGGCTATGTCAAAATAAGTTGTGTCAGTTGTCTCCGTATATTTGACTGCGTACAAATACGGGTCTGTTTCACTCACTGTCATACTGTTGTTAGCTTCTACCTCCTGAGAAGATAAGCCTTAAAATTTCGAGATGACAAGTTTTTTTTTTATAACTTACCGATTAGAACGGTCTGAATGAAAACCTTCAGGAATCTCAAGCTCGTGGTATATGAGCTTGTCACGGTAGGCGGAGAAGTGGTCCAAGTTGTTCTTGATGACTAAGGGCTTCTCATGATTGGTGAATGTCTTCCTAGATTCGACGATGACAAAATAGTCGACGTAGGGATAAGTAGTGTTGAGACGAATCTCCAACCAATCCAACTCGGTGTTGACCATTATCAGATCATAAACCTTTCTCCTATCCGGGGTTCCGAAGGGAGCCCATCCATGTTGCTGGCATAGATTTCCTGTCTCAGCGCTGTTTGATAGATCAACCTTCCCGGGATCGAAACGGAGGGTATGATGAATCGATCGATCGGACCAATTGGGATTCAGCCAAAGTAACAGCAGCCAGACAGATACTGCAGCGAGGGCCAATCGGGTTACCAGTCTCCGTCTCTCTGTATAGAGAATCCCCATAACTACTGCTGTGCCACCGTTATACAGGTGCAAACCAGCAACCGTGCAGCTGCCGTGCTGTGTCTGTGTGTCTACCTACCTAATATCTAGTGGTTCGCCTGCGATTGTTGTTGGAAAGGAGAGCGTGGCGCGTTGGACCAAATACGGCAATCCACTTTCGATCACGATCCAAAATAGGGTTAGTTGGATGATTACATAGGTACGTACCTACCTAGTATGGGCGTGTGCACATGTACCTAGTACATAAGTAAACATGTACCTAGTAGGTATATGGACCCATGCATCTACCTTATGTAGCGCTGCTATTCAAATATGAGAACAGGGTAGAAATATCCTCTCTAAGTCCATAAGCTGCCTAGGTACATTTATTTACAGGTTAACAAGCCCGTTTAAACCTGAAATTGTACACGCATTATATATCGATGTAAGTATGTTATTAGATGCGTGAATCGTAATCTTGGAAGTTATGAATACCTTCGGAAACCCTTTATCTAGCATGGCCATCTCTGAAGTAATGCGAGTTGGCCAATCTATGTGGCGATATCGGACTATAAAGAAGCTGAGGACCCCGCTGCTACCATCGATATTGATATCAACCCATCGTCTATCGCTGCCATTCAACCGCACAAGACTTCTTCATCAGATACCACCCGTCGCTATGTCTACTATCGATAAAACAAACGATAAATCAGCAAGTAGTTGGATCGGCCACCAGGGCGCTGCTGCTTTTGATCTCAGAAGTAAACGGGCTCCTTTTCCCCCTTTCCCTCTTTCCCCATTCCCCCATTTCCCTATTTCCCCACGCCCCCTTCCCCTTTCCTGAGAACTACCTAGCTTTCGTTTTGCTGATACATGGTATAGGCGACACTATGACTACTCCAACTCAAGACATGTTATTTGCCATCCAAAAAGCTACCTTGTTGGATGATGTTTTTGAAGAAGACCCGACCACTATAGACCTCGAGACTCACGTCGCCTCCTTGACAGGTAAAGAGGCCGCCTTGTTCGTCCTTTCTGGCACCATGGGCAACCAAATAGCCTTACGGACATTGCTCACACAGCCACCGCATGGTGTGCTAACGGATCACCGTTCGCACATTATCAAGTACGAGGCTGGAGGGTAAAAGAACACCCTTTGCCGCCCTACACCATCACTCGGAGCTGACCATGCGAAACATAGCGTATCATCATTGACCGGTGCTATGACTACTGCTGTGGCGCCTCGAAATGGCCTCTTTCTGACTCTGGAGGATATCAAGTCTAATGTCGTCCTTGGAGATGAGATACACTCCTGTCCGACACGTGTCATCAGCCTGGAGAATTCGTTGAACGGATTAGTTATGCCGCTGGCGGAGGTGAAGAGGATCTCCGAGTTTGCTAGAGAGCACGGTATCCTGATGCATTGCGACGGCGCGAGACTGTGGGAAGTTGTCGCTTCCGGTGCTGGGTCGCTACCAGACTTCTGTCAGCACTTTGATACAATCTCCCTCTGCTTCTCCAAAGGACTAGGTGCTCCGATCGGAAGCATCATTGTCGGTAATAAGTCACTCATAAAGCATGCGAGATGGGTGCGTAAGTCGATCGGTGGTGGCTTGCGTCAATCCGGCGTTGTTACAGCCGCTGCTCGAGTGGCGGTTGATGTGACTTTCGGCAAAGGCCCAAACGCCGAAGGCGGCCTTCTTCGAGATACACATCTCACGGCAAAGCGCGTTGAGAGGCTGTGGACAGACTTGGGAGGCCAGGTGGAGTATCCCGTCCAGACGAATATGGTTTGGCTAGATCTTAAATCATTAAACTGCAGCCCTTCTAGATTTTCTCAGCTGGGCCACCAAGCTGGCTTGAAGATTTCCGGTAACCGTCTTATCACGCATTACCAAATTGGTGAGGAGGCTATCAGGAGGCTGTCTGGCATATTCGAGAACGTAGCCGCAGAAAATGGGGCCGGTAGTCACGATAAAAGCCACGAGACACTCCAATATGACCTTTACGGCACCAAGGTTTAGGTAGTGGCCTGGCCAAGACCGGTTGAGGTATACGACGACTTAGATAAGTAGGGTGGGAGTAAGCAACTACGAGCTGTTCCAAAATAGTACCCACAATATGTAATTAGCTGAGAGCTTACAACTCGTTGGCAATCACATGTTCTGAATCAAATATATCACGAGCATTTCGGTGAGGATTTACTTTACAGTACTAGGTATGGAGGTAGATAACTAAATCTGCCTCAAGGGCAGATTGTACGAAATCTTTTAAAACTTCCGGGCCTTTCTAATGAGCCATACAACCGCAAACAGCCTCATTCCCTTCTTCGGAACCGAAACATTTTACGTTAGTTATCCTTTGGGATAAACAGGCTCTCACTACTCGCGTTCGGCCTTGTGCGCTTCCTGTGCCTTATGTGTAGAGGGTGCGATTATATACATTGCACGTGTATGGGTCCACGAGCCTACTCGGTTTTCGAGTGCTCCTCATATACACGATTTGTCCAAGTATTGACACGGTCCTCCTGCACCTTTGTGCCTTCCTGGTCTCAAGCTTTCCCAGCACGAGGCACCATTCCTCATGATACTTCCTCTGGCCGGGGGTATTTTGCGTAAAATGGTGGTTGTAAACAATGAAATGCAACTAAGCCCCCAATCGTTATGCTGTAATATAATTTTGCTGCTTTTGTGGATAGATGCTGCCACCAAACGCCAAAGAAGGTAGAGTAATACGAATCCCAACCGTACAATACGCCCTCGACTTAAATTTTAAGGGTGTCCCTTCCCTCTTCCCCTATTCCTAGGCCTTTTTCCCGAATATTCCTCTGCTCCTCGACTTGCTTCGGGCGCGCTTCGACTTCACGCTGCTGGCATCGTCGCTATATTTTGCTTTGTGTATCCTGTAGTGCTATATATTAGTCATCGAGAACGCGTCCTATGACCACCCCCTTCTCTCCCGTCGTCATTCTTTTTTAAAAACTAAAAAAAAAAACTTAAAACTCACCAGCTATTTCCTGGCATACTCATGCCTTTGGCCTCGGCCATGCGATAAAATTTAGCGCTCTTCTTAAGGTCTTTCTTACACCCGACGCCTTTGGCATAGCAAAAGCCAGCCTCGGCTAGAGCATCAACATCTCCCCAGCCTGTGTCTTCGTTAGAGCGGTTCTCAGCCATCTTATCAAGGCATTAACTTACTTCCTGCAATCTCGAAACAACGTAGGGCAAGTGCTTTATCTTGCTCGATGCCCCAACCATTCATATGGCTGACACCTAATTCGTAGATACTCAAGGCGAACTGCGCCTTACGCGTTTTACGATCCATGAAATCTACGGATTTCCCCTCTTTGACGTGGTCTTCATCTTCCGCAATCTCGGCACTGACAACGTCAGCGGCTTTCCGCAACCACTCGACGCCTTCTCGTTGGTTCGGCCGCATGCCCCACCCGTGCCGACAAGCTAGCGCATACAATAGCATCCCCGTCGGATCGCCGGCGCGTGCAGCAAGTCGCAGGTGATAGGTGGATTCCTTCACGGAGCCTTCCTCGTGGCACTTGATGCCTTTAGCCAGATGCTCTTCTGCGCTTATCTCAGAGGCAGTGGGGGCATGCGAATGCTGAGATTTGGGTGGTCTAATGGTACTAGCAGAGTCACTTGTAGACACGGACATTGGCGTTCGTCCTCGGGATTGATCGTGGAGTGGCGAGGTGAGTGTCCGCCCCCTAGGAGCATCTTCTGAGGGCCTGCTCCCACCGGTTGATGGGCGGCTAGGGTCAGGTGATGGCTGTCGCCCATCCAAGGACATTTCGTTAGAAAGCTTACTTCGCTCCACCGACGGGCGGGTCAGGAGAGAATCGGCATTGTGGGTGCCGTCCTGTGCCCTCGACGAGGAGCTCGTAGGCCTCGTAGGTGGCGATGGTGGTGCCTGACCACTCCTAGGAAAAGTCTGAACATTGCTCGGGGCAGTGATTGGTTGTTCCCATACGAAGGAAGCCGACGGTTCATTGTCGCGAAAAATAGCCGAGTTGCGCTGCAACGATTTGCCTCTGGGTAAAGAATACTTCGAGTAGATGTACGAAGGGGCACCTCTCCCGTCGTCATCCAGAAAAGCTTCGCTGTGCATACTGACCGGAGTGTGCGCCGTCTCATCGGCAAGCACGAAAGAGGGTTGACTATCGGACGATGCCTGTCGAGAGGGTGGCTCTAGACCTGGGGTACCTGATCGACTAAGTGGGCGAGAGAAGTTGAAAGAGGGGCGCGGTAATGGGGCAGAAGCCTCGGAACTTATCGACGGCGATCTTTGATAATGAGCAATGGGGGACGCGAGGCCCGGCCCTGAGAAGGCACTGCCTGAAGAGAGCTTTCGTCCTGGCTGCGAGTGAAAAGAAGCACTCAAAATCTCATCATTATTCCCTTCCAAAGGCGCCGACATTATGCTCGAAGAACGTTTAGGGAATAGGGCCCTAGGGGGGACTAAGCCGACGGACTCATGCGAGGATATCTTGGTTAGCTTCTCAGGTGATGGAGGAAAGCGGCCCCGGGTTGGTGAAATTTCTCTAGCATCACGGTCATGCTCTATTAATTTATGTTCTGTCCCTCTATCGCCTATGCTCTCAAGATCACTAGGCGACTGCTCCCTGCGCGCGCCAAAAAAACCGCCATCCTCATCGAGCTTTTCCAGCTGACGGCCACGCGAGTTCTCGATGAATGGGTTTGGGGGGAGAGGTACCGACTGGTCTGGAGTAGGTGGTATGCGGCTCATCCGAGGGTGCATCGAAACAGGTCGCTCTGTAGGCGATTCTACTTCTGTTGTCAGCCCAAGCCCGGTGTTCTGTTGCTGTGGGGTTTCTGGCTGGTCTTCGGAGGAGTCGTAAGACATGGAGCGAAAGTAATCGGATCGACCCTGGACAACTAGCGGGCTCTCCGTTGTCAATGGAGGCAGGCGACTCATTCGCCTGCCAGTCTTAGCGCTCTCTTCGAGCTGCTTAGCTAGCAAGCGACTCTGAGCCGCGAAGGCATCCAGAGGGGATAAGGCGGGAGGAACTTCCCCTGCGACATGTAATCGTGGCGACCTGAGAGGGCGGGAAACAGCGCTGCTGGCAACCGAGGTCGAGGAATTCGCTCTCAGATCGATGAAATTAGGTCGGTTCGCCATCTTGGGGGAAAAACTATCGAGGTCGAGATTGGTATATGGCGTTCAGCGTCGTATTAACCTTATAGGCCGCAACAGTCTTCCTTTGATCCAACTGGGAGTTGCGCAGGTCGCCGACAGGTAAATCAACCCGAAACGACAATTGACAATGGCGATAGGCGCAATCCAATCGAGGCGACGAAATTTCGACTGATGTTTGTACGCCGGGCAAAATATTATCGTAGGCGATATGCGGAGAGCGCATTAAATATGAAGTCGATTTCGCAGATCGGCGTAGAGGAGGATAAGATGCGACAGGGAGCTGGGAAGGTAGAATGAACGTGATCAGAAAAGGATCGCGGTTAGGATATAAAAGATGTATATTGTTCGAGTCGTTTCGCTCGCTTCGAATGCGATAAACTATAGGTAGATGGCGGAAAGATCGAGAATGGCCTTGTTTATGGAGAGCCGAGAGATCATGTACTTTTAGGAGGAGGCGAGGAGGAAATACAATCAAATTTGTATATGAAAGGTTGAAGGTTGAAGAGACAATGCAGGAAAGACTTAGTACAGATGCGAATGATGAACCGATAAATCGATAAAACGAGTTACGTATAGAAGCAAAGAACGGACGATGATTTACAACCAAGAGAAGTATTCACCTAGCCTTAACGGCAGGATAACGGAGAAGGAAAATGGATAATGTAACTTCTTGATTTCTGTCTGCACGAATGTATGTGTGATGAGAGTAAAAGCAGTCACGGTCGATTGAATTGACCTGGGGGGCTCATCGTCAGAAACATTGAAGGAGAGGGTCGAGAGCCAGCCAAATTGCTTCAAAGTTCTTAGTCCAGTGTAATAATAACTTGGCGCAACTTTTACCACTACCATTTAGGTTAGTTAAGATTACATGTGTCTAGGTAGGTAGCCCCGTACAGTTTATACACAGTTTCCCGAAATTAATAATAATATTGGAGCTTAAGTCCGAGCGCGGCTTCTCTAATTGGTTGAACGCTTTATCGATAACTCCACCATCACTAAAATACATACATGCCAGTACAACGTCGCCAACCTTTTCTCACTTGAATAACTTCTTCCTTCAAGAAGAAGCTGCAATGTGATTATCAAGTTTAAACAATCTTCAACTGAGGTTCTAAATATGCCGTTCATGTAGTGGTGCAGGTTCTTCAAATTGAAGTATTCTGGGATCTATTCTAGCTACTAGGTATTCATCAACTTGTTGTTTGTACTTACTTAACTACTTCGAGGTTTGCGACCGGTGTCACGTGAGAACTTCGGTTAAGGAAAAGGGGGTCAAAAAAACACGTCATATGAACAATCGTCGCAAATACCAAAACTATCAATAAACCTCAGTTAGATTTACAATAGATAGATCACTATAAAGTCTCCGTAAACAGAACAATGTTTCCCCGAACCCAGCCAGAAACTCTATTCCCAGTGCATAAGATCAAATGAAGGATTTGGCACAATTGGGGCGGTACTCGTGTAACACTCTAAAGATTTTTCGACTGCAGTTTTCTTAATCTCGTCGCGCCCTCGTATACACCCCTGTCGACAGCAGCAGCTACGGTCAATGTACCACCGATAACAGCACATAGACCTGTCAAAAACCCAGTGAATGTTTTAGCACGTTCTTCGCGATTAATAACCTTCATAGGTGAAATATCCTACCCCTTGTTAGCGATTATAGGATTAGGCAAGTCAAGGGAAATACTTACATATGAAAAGAACACCCCTGGAATGCCGCCTCTCGCGTGCATCCGTTCTTGGTGGCCTTCGGCTGCATCGTCACCTCCAGCTAGACTTCGCTTATGACTGGTGACCGAATATTGATGCGTCTCCATGCTGCCATCAACTGCGCTACCTAGGTTTCCTAGCCAAATCTCATCATCGGTCTGGCGGTCATGCCCGCTCGGCTTTGACCAGCTTAGAGGGAGATATGCAGTCGGGACAACTTTCACAAAGTACATGAAGTTGAAGTTGGGGTCATCGGTGGTCTGTTTAACCTGGTCCAGGGGGTTTATGTGGTGGTTAGTCCAAGGACTATTTTTGGCGTGCTTCTGAGTAACATCTTCGGGTAGCTGAGGTCCAAAGCGAAGCTGGTGAATCTCATGCTCAAACGAGTGATGCACCGGACTATCCCAGTAATTTTTCAGGTCGTGAACATGCATGTTACCGTTGCTGAAACTTCGACCCGGTGCGAAATGAAAATTCCCAATAACTTTGTTAACCCGGATTGCACCCTCAATCCGGCAACCTTCATGTCTTTGTTCATCTAGCTTCTCGGCGTAATGCTCCCGCAAGCACTGTTCGACGCCGTCACCTCTACCAAAAGCCCAAGATGCCTGCGCATATGCTTCTCGAACCTCGTCGCAAGTGTTGCAGCAGCCGGGTTTCGTGGCGCTACCGGGAGCCGGAGCACCATAGCAAGGGCCGCAGTAGTTAGGATCTAAATGGTCGGCGGTCTCGTCCTTCCCATGGCTAATTCAGTCAATTGGAAACTCGTAGGTGGCAGGGTCACGAGGAGATCTGACTTACAGAGATAGCGCAGTCACATCGATCACTCCTCCTCCTTGGGTAGCAGCTTGCAGTCTAACTTTCTTCACGCCATGCAAGACGCCGTGCTGCTGCTCACCAGAGACGTCCATCACATCGAGGGTCAAAAGCTCACAAGGGAGTCTAGGGAATGTAATGTTCATATGAATCTCCATTCGCTCTCCTGTAATTGGAGGGTGAGAAGTCTGAAAACAAATAGGATAAATAGGGTAATTTCGTAGTATTTGAACACACCTCTGCCCTTGTCAACGATAAGTTCGGGGTGGATGACTATCCTCCTGTAGTCAGACCATTCTCCCCAGGCGAGATAGAGTACGACGATCAAGGATACGATGGTAACGATTCCGCCAGAAGTAGTTCGTATCCGCGCATCCTCGACAGTTTTTGTGAAGGCATCGAGCCTTGTGAATCTCGATTTCGCCGGCATGTCGATGTGTTGTGCAACCCGGAGCACCAGGGTTACTAGTAGCTGATCGAATTCTGCGCGACGGTAACAAAAATCTAGGACCGAACACTGGCAGTGCACGGAGGAATCGATGAGTAGGACTGGGTAGAGAGAATTGCAAAGGAAATAAAATCACCGTAGACGCCGCATTGGAATATAGAATATCTAGGCTCGGCGCGAAATAAAGAATGCGAACCACGCTATTACCATGCGTATGTACAAGCCAGAAATAGGAACACGTTAAAAGTTGAGATGTACGTGTATTCAAGGGCTCAGTCGAAAGCGAAAGGCCACCTTCACCTCTTCCGACGCCAATTGGACCGAGACTGCGACTTCTCCATTGAACTAGCTATCGCGTACCCAAGTACCTGAGGTATTACATACATATGTACCTAGGTACATGTGGTGCATATATCCTATTAGGTAGGTATGTACCTACATATAGGTACCTACCTAATGTATGTGATGCATAGATACTATATGATGGATAAATGCATCCAGGGACCTTTACAAGATATACCTATCTATGGATCTATCCGCAGTGTATTGTACATGAATTATAATAACAGGCTAATTCTAACAGATAAAAGGAAGACACCAATATGAGTTAAACCTATGCAACAGCATGATTAAGGCAACCTAGCTATGCGACATACAGAGTATATTGTCGAGGGGCCAAGTAATTACCAAATCAAACGTCGAAGCTACTGCTGCTGCATGCTACGGTTGTTTCAGTCCTAATATGGACACTGGGGATTTCTCATTAATTCCTTTGCGCTGCCCGCCCAAATTTAGTTACCCACCGTGCATCATGGGGAGCTAACTCGACCGCTCGCTGGCCGATGGTGCCTCTCTTCTTATCCATATTCGCCGCCGTTAGGTTTCCGCAATCTGGCCTCTCTAACTTATTAGCGAATGTATCGACCGCCCATATGAGCACGCCATTTGTCCAGCCGAACCCTTCAACAACTTCATATTCGCCTCCTCCACCGGCGACGTTCGTCGAATTGTCAGCATCTGCAAAGTGTCAATATCCCTTCAAACATAGAACACCCCTGTCCCACTAATGCTCCAAGCTAAAAGGTTGCGTAAAAAAAGGTAAGAGTATATGCAATGAAAAATATTCTGACATACTGTAACCGAGTTAGCCTGAATCGACAACAGGAGGTTATAACACCCAGGTCGTAGATATAGGGACGGGGAACATGGCGGTGCCATCTAGAAGAACCTAATACGTACCACTTTTCGAACATAATCCCGGTATCCCTAGGACCAAATCCCTCTAATTGAGGGGTTTCGTCCGTAGAGCCACCGGTTGCACGCCACGTACAGAACGTACTGTCCAAGTACCGTTGCGCTAATTTGAGGGATAGATCTTGCGTCGCGACGTAGGAGGGATCCTCTAGACCAAAAGTCGCAGGTGTTTCGAGAAGACCTTTCATAAGCACGTACATTAGCGGTGGCCAGACATTCGGCTGATCCCACTGCTGGCCGGTCATATAATTCGTTGCGGCCACAGCGCCAGCCTTCTGGGAGAGAAGATCATGAACACGCCGAAATGCAAGTTTAACGGCTAGAGGGTTATCCCTGAGTTGTTCAGGGGCTGCACCTAGCCAGAAAGGATAAAATTGTGCGATATGGAAAAAGACTTGGTATCCCTCTGGAGCATCTCCCCTTTGCGCTGGTGTGGCATCTGAATCTGACGGCACATATACGTTTTGTGATCCGGAGGTTAAGTTGTAATCAAAATAGCTCATGTATTTGCCGTTCCACATTAGCGAATACATGGCCACCGAACGATTCTTAGCCATCTCTTCGAATTCCGCGGCCAACGAACCATTTCCAGCCTTGTTTAAGTAAGCTGCAATAGTCATCTCATTGGCGTACAGTATCGAGTTTAGGTCGACTCCTATGACGTTTGCGGTGTTAAGGGAGCGCAGTGGGAAGTACACATCACTAGCAGCATCAGATGGCGTGGCAATCCAACGGGAGTTATAATCCCAACCCGATTCGGCACCAGAAGCAAGGTTGGCGTATAGTTCAGCTTTCTCGCTGTCATTTAAAGCGTGCGTCTCTGGGTAGATGATACCGGAGCTTGAGTAGTAGGAGTTGTTATTAGCCGTAATGTAATCTTCGCGGTATGACTAGATAGATTGCTAGGTTAGTATTTTACGTGTGAGGAGGCATGAACAATAACTTCGACTACATAATGCAAGATTTACATTCCTTATTGTGTTTATATGTCGATGGAATTATAGGAACAAAGAGGAAAAGCTGTAACGGCACGAAAATGGGCATACTTCTGGTCGTGGTTCAGTATTCTGGACCCCGTAACTATTTGGTTAGTTTTATATTTGATATATGATCCTACCATGTATAATATAAATGGCGAGGCTTGAGGACTACTTACTGCGTCAGATGGAAAGTCCTGTTGCCCGACTGGATCGCTATGGTACGGTTCTCTGTCCAGAAATTATGTTCTTTAATTAATAGAGGTAAAGCACGCTCGATAAGGCTCGTGTCATTAGTATATTCAACATAAATCTTGACCATCTGTGTCAAGAGCGGCGGTTGGGAACGATTCATATAATCTGCAACGCGTCAATACCTTTACCGAGACTACGAATCTGTCGGGTAACAGCGACTCCAAACCATGAAGAGTAAAGGTGATGTAAAGGCATCATTACATACTGTGAACGAATTAGAACACATGTAGGACAATATCCCCCGAATCATGAGGTAGACGATGCAAAATGTGATGTTCAATGTCGAAAACAAGCTATCCTCTTATGTTATACATACCATACACGTGCACCATTGGGTACAAATCCGAATTGGTCGACGAGGTCCAAAAAGTTCTCAATTATGTTCCTGAAAACAAATTAGCCTGTATAATCTAAGCCATGTCGTGAGTTCGAAATATTGACTAACCTGGAAATCTGGGTGAAGCTGCCACCGGTCCTCAACAAACCCTCGATGATCCAGAAAGAGTCCCAATAATAAGGCTCTCTAAATCGACCCCCAGCAACGACAAATGTGCGGTTGATCGGAATAAAGCTATCCACGCATCCTGTACAATTCGCAGCGCCCACGTCTATAAAGCTCGGCGTTAGTATAGCACTTCCTAGGCAACACACAGCCTGGAATGCTAGCTTACATATCCGAGTCAAATCGGGCCAGATGTCAATGACCTTATGTACGAATTGTTTAATCACAGAATCATCAATCTTGTCTAGGAAAGCAGGATTGGTCTCTAACTGGTCTCGGGGAACTTGGGCCAACTCAGACCCAGCCTCGCCAAAATAGGTAGATAGAAAGTTGTTAAGCTCGGTGTTGTTGCTGATCGGCTTGGAAAGTTTACTGAACGCGGCAAGAACATCGTCTAAGGGTGCTTTCGTTGGTCTATTTATTCATTAGTAGATGCATACTCTCCTTAGATGAGATTATAAGTAGGTATGTATAGTTACAAGTCTACGAATGTCTTAGAGTCGGAAAAGGGTTGAGCAAGCTCGATCTGCCTTAAAACATCGCCCTGGCAGTATAAGGGCGAGTCGCAGGGTGAGATAATCGAACCGTTCTGGTAGAGGCCATATACTAAGATAGGTGAAGCGAAAGCCAACGCTGCCGTTATGTGTCGAAAGCCTGTCATATTGTACCTTTTCGTTATGTTGAAATTCTAGTGATGAATAGAGGACGACGACTTGGAATATTCGGAATACTCGGAATATACGAGGAACGCATAGGTAATGCCCAGATATTTCACCCTATATGCCATCGTTGATACAACTGATAGGGTACTAGTATGGAAAGCTCCGGGAAGCTGAAGCTCCACGCTTGCTTGCTTGCTTGCGGGGTACCTGACAACATGGCACGTAGGTAGCCGTAGCCTCTTATTCCTGGTAAGATCCATGGCTGGGTATTGATGGCTACCACGTCAAGTCATCCTCTCTGGGCTTTGCGGGACTACTTACATGGTACTAGGTATATATTGATCATAACCGGGCGTCCCACTTACCTACTTTAATGTTGGTACATAGTAGTGTATGTAAGTAGGTACCTAGGTACATCTGTAAGTATGGACTAGGTAAATACCTACCTACTAGGTATGTATGTAATTTACCTGAATGTTGTAAAAGCACAACCTTTAAGGTTATTAACATCATGGACGTAGATGCTTCATACATATGTACCTAGGTAGGTGTAACTGTTTATGTTGATTGAAGTTCTCGAATTCTACCTAGGTACTAGGTTTTGTTACGTACCTGCACATACATAGCTAGGTAGCAGGAACTGATGTGAAGCAACGGATTGGATAGAAATGTAGCCGAATCTTTACTACAAACGATATGGAATCTATAATGCTCAACCTCGGCTAGGCGACTGAAATGCCTACCTACTTAGTAGGTTATGTGATGGCTCGGCGAATGTGATAACAATTCCATGTACCAGATTCGCTATTTGTTACTGACAGAATCAGCTGGCAGAGCTAGATTAGCAGAGCTTGCATGATCACGGAATTTTTTTTTTAATTACCCATCCTATTCTGCAAGGGATACTGCCTTTCTATTATCACATCATATCGCTACAGAAGGCTAGCATTCGGTCGTATTCCCCTTGAAAATGGTATCCTTCACGAATCGACGTCCATCCTTTCATCCTCAGCCGACTCTAACTCTTGTACACTGATGTACTTTCCGATTTCATCCTTGGTGATGATTTTCTCGTTGAGCACCGCCGTGGTGCCGCGCTTGAATTTGTAATTCTTCAGCTTCTGACTTCGTTCATTCGGCTTGATGAAGCCGCGGTGCAAGGTCGTCTTGTTGGCTGTAATGACGGCTAAATCGACGTTAGACCCTGATCCCAGATCATTGAAGATACCCGCTTGAATAGCTTGAGAGCAGAGCTCCATGGCATCCTCCTTCGTGCAGTTTGGCTTCCATTGTGATTCGAAGACGGACATTGCCGCTAGGGATCCTGAGCCCATAGTCACATAAGGGAGCTTGTCGGTGCTACCGTGGGCGTGCACAGTAAAAAGGTGCGTTCCCGTGGGGTCCACGCCGGCAACCACCAGATACGCTCCGATATAGCCCTGGTGTCGAAAGAGATGCTGCTTGAGGAGGGTCATACAAGTGACGACGCGGGGCTTTCGACCGGTTGAGAGGGAATGTAGCTCGAGCTGAGAAGAGATGAGTGCGGTGGTAAACTCAGTATCGGCAGCAGTACCGGCACCGGCACACCAGATTTGGGGTGAGATATAATGCAATTTCTCGCAGTTCTTGTCAGCGACGATGGGACCACTAGTAGCTCGAGTATCGGCGGCGATCTGTCGGCTTTGTATTAGCAGGAAAATTACCTATTAGACGATTAACAACTCAGGCAGTATTAACTTACCACAACACCTCCGTCGAATATACATCCGACGATGGTGGTGCCTGTACTTGTCGCCTTCGGTAAAGGAACGCCTCGTGCGTGCAGGGCCGCATTGCGGTTGTAGTTTGAGAAGTCGAAGCCAGGCATGCTAGCTGATACGATGTGGTAGTGATCCTTCTCGTGGGGGAAAAGTGCTTAGTTGAGAATGAGGATGGGGAATTTAAAGCGATCCGCAATCAAAATCTTCGGCGCAAGTATCGCACGCTGATATCGTAGAAAGTAAATGTGCGGCCGATAAGGTAATTGTTTGAGATGATGTGGGCGGAGGTATTGGTGGAGGCGTATTTTGTCCGCTGGAGTTTGATGTGTATTAGGTAGGTAGAATAGAAGCTCCAAGGCTGGATGACGACCGGGACCTAGCTGCCTGTTGGATCTTTCAACGCGTTCCTATGGATTACCTAACCAATGTATCTTAGCTAGGTACCTAGGTAGTACCTACCTACTACTAGGTACATGTAGCTAATAGGTTGCTAGGTACATACCTAGTAGGTACATACATACCTAGTAACTTCGAACTTAATAGGTAGGTTAGGTACGAGGGTACTTTTAACGCTCTAGCAGAAAACCGCACCTCCTGACCTGTCACCTGTACTGTAGATATCATACACTGTGTATTCGCATTACGTAATGGTTTATTGTGGACACATACATTCATCTCCAATGCAGCGACAGGGGTACGCGAACTCTTTAGGCATGATACATGCAGGTAAGCGCATCTTGCTCTAAAAAAGTTGAGTACAAGGTCCATTGCGCGCCACTGTGAATCAAAGCTTCATCTCTATAATCTTTTTTACCCTTTCACTCCCTCTTTTGCCCATGAGCATTTGTCTGGTTGTCCGAACCCTTTCTCTTCACTCATGAGTCACTCGGCGGCGAATACGAACTGCGCTACCCGACACATTCCATTTACGAAGCCTTACCCGAAGATCAGCTGGAGCTCTCGATACAAACAATTCTATCAGCATATCGATGTGATCACCAATTCCATGATCGCTTGTTCGTGAAACAAAATCCCTCTCTGCCAGAACAATGGCTTTCGGATTTGGAAACGTGGGAAATGCAGGTGGCGGCGGTCTTGGAAACGTTTCCCAAGGCCCTGATCTAGGGGAGGTTCAGACTGAAGCTCTCGGTTTCCTATCATTATCTGGAGATGCCAAGCTGCGTTTAACTTCACCGTGGTCTCCACCCCCTGCAGACAACGCCTCTCTTATTAGCATCGCCCCGCGGTGCGGTCTTGTTGCTGCCGCGGGTCCCGATTCTGTCATCCTAGCTTCTACAGAGGCCGTCCGAAAGGCATTCGATAATCCTAAAGATGGCGATAGCGAAATTAGACCCTTCGAGCCCCAACTGAAGCTGCCACTACCCATACGAATATGTCAACTGGCCTTTACAGCCGATGAAACCTATTTGATACTTTCGGCGGAGCATGGTGGAGGGTTGGCAGTATATGATGTCCAATCTCTCCAGCAAGGCTCGATCCAGACCGCTTTCGAGATACCTACGAATGGCGAGTCGCTAAGGGTTTTGGCGCCGAACCCTCGTCCAGAGAAGGGCGAGCTATGCGCTGTTGTCACTAATGAAGGCAAGCTTCTTATGGCGAATATGAAGGAACGTAACTTCCAGTCCGGAACCAATGGCCAAATCTTGAAGGACCAAGTCAATTGTGTGGCTTGGAGCAACAAGGGCAAGCAATTGTTAGCTGGACTTGGTGATGGTACAATACAGCAGATGACTCCTGAAGGTATCACCAAGGCCGAAATTCCTCGCCCGCCAAGTTTGAACGCAACCTATTTTGGTAGGCTTCCTCCTCATGCTCGGCCGTCAACTTTCTGAACTAATGGTTGTGTAGTTTCTTCCCTGGCATGGCTTGAGAATGATGTATTCTTGGTTTTTCATATTTCGGCTACAGAGCAACCTCTCCAGGCCACATGCCATCTCGTTACAAGACAAGGCCAGGATTTCCAGTTCCAAAAGCTGAATGACCCCGTAGATGCTTTTAACAACGACAAGACCCCGCATCACACGATCGTGCGGTTAAAGGACTTTCCGCCGAATCTTCAGGACCTTTTAATTTTCTCGTCAACCGCCAGCCCTGATATTGGCCTTCTTACACGGTCAAAGACGCCATTAGGCCCCGGGGGCCCTTCGAATGTCTTCGCTACTGTCGAACTAGCTGACGATTCTAAGCGTGCCACTCTACCAATGGACGAAAATATGGGAACCCCAACACCAATCGGCACGACACTGGATCTGTCTGGCCGAGAGAATGTCTATAAACCTATACCTACCGATGAGCTGGACCAATCTCCTGGGCCGCTACCGGGTTACTGGGTCCTCAATGCCGAAGGCGTGCTTTCTGTTTGGTGGATAGTGTATTCCGAATCGATTAGAGGAGGCACCACATATCCAGGACTGGCAGCTATGGGAGGTGGTATTGCAAGTTTTGCTGAGACGACGATCTCTAAAGGGGCTCAACCGAACTCGTTTGTGACCCCAGCTTCGTCGCCGTTTGGGGCTCCGCCAGTGGTTACAGGGGCGGCATTTGGTAGTACTTCAATGCTTGGCTCGAAGAACTCACCCTGGGGGGCTCCACCTCCATCTTCTGGTGGCGCCGGGCCTACGTTTGGCTCGGGTGCATTTGGCACATCAGCAGCTTCCTCGGCGCCAAAGCTTGGTCAACCATCTTTCGGTGTCCCTAGTCTTAGCACCACTGCTGCTGCACCTGCCTTTGGACAGTCTACGGGGATTGGCTCTAGATCGTCCCCTTGGGGCTCTGGACCTTCCTCTTCTAGCACTCCTGTTTTTGGCCAAGCAAGTCATACAGTTAGATCCGAAGGAGCCTTTGGAGGCTCAAGTCTCAGCTCCACAAACGCCAATAGTGGATTTGCCACTTTTTCAAACAAGGGCGGTTTCGCGTCTCTTGGGTTGAAGAACAATGCAGGCGGGCCAAGTATATTTGCTTCTACAAAATCAGAAGCACCCGAAGTCTCCATGGACGCCGACGCTACGTCTGCATTCCGGGTTCCAGGTTCCAAGCCAAACACGAGTGGCGGAAATGTCTTCGGTTCACAACCGTTTAAACTGACTTCTAGTTTCCAACGTGACCCGAATGCAAAAGACGATGACGCCGATATAAAGGGATCGGGCGCTGAGACATCGATGTTCGGCAAAAATTTTACTGCTACAATAGACGTGACAGCGAAGTCGGTAGCCTCGAACCCTTTCGCTACTGGGGCACAAAGTACTTTTGGACAGCTAACAGCCCCTTCCATGGGTGTAGACTCGACCACACCGACCTCAACGCCTGCACCCTCCAAATTCTTATCACCAACCTCTTCAGCTCCGCAGGGTAAAGGTCTCTTCGATTTCCACCCGAACCCGCCCGGTAGCCTAAGCAGCACGCTTGTATCCTCTACATCCCAAACACCAACTGCTGGATCCCCTCAGGCGAAGGCAGAGTCAGAAACTCCTAAACCATTGAGAAGTTTTGCTACCGCACCTCTGCCACCGGAATCTACCAGCAAAGCTACTTATTCATTAGGCGACTCATCGTCTTCGTCCGCTGCCACCGTGGACGCCCCAGACACTACAGGGACGCCGCTCAAGGTTGAAGAGGCACCCTTCCCCCCTGACTGTGCCGACTCAACTCCTAAGAGCACGGACCAGGAGATGCCACGTGAAGAATCTCCCGTTGTTGACGACGCGCCTTTACCCCCCGATCCGGTAAAGAATAAGAAGGCATACGATGCTCCCCTTCCCCCATTGCCCGGCATTGTGTCTAAACCCAAACCAGTGGACGATTCGCCGTTACCACCTGATCCAATCAAGCAGCCGAAAGCTTATGTGACCAAGCTGCCCGCCCTTCCCATTGCTAAGCCAGCTTCCGAAGTTATTGGACCCGGATTCAAATTTCCCACAAACCCCCTTCCTGTCTCGTCAGATACAGATGACGACGACGAAGACGACGACGACGGAAGCGGCGGCGGCGATGGTGATGGTGGCTTATCCGAAGTAGAAGAAGGTACTGAGGTCGTCAGTGAAGGTAGTGGTGTTGATGTCGCAAAAGATCTCAGTCCGTCCAGTATAGGTATTAGCAAGACCCCCGGATTTACTCCCCAAAGCTCATTTGATGGCTTGGCCGGAAGCTATTCTACCATATCCCGACCAGATCAAGAGAGGCGAAGCTTCTTTGGTGACTTAGGACGAAATGCCCCGGTTTTCCCTCGGCCAAATCCCATCAGTCCTCGTTCACCAAGTCCTGTTCGAGGTGCGGCGGTACCGTCAAGAATGCTTGGTAAGGACCAGCCGCGGTCGTTCAGTGCGCCTGGAATGGCATCTCATATCCTTGGTGTTTCTAGACGGCAGCAGCCTCACTTTGGATCTTCTATCGTTAGCAAGGACACTTATGTTGAAGATGCGATGATTGAGCAGCAACGAAGAGCTAAGGCAAGAAAGGAGGCCGAGGAAAACCAGTTGCTTCTCGATGAAGAGGATGACACGGTCCAATGTCTTCTAAACACAGAGGTCAAGCCAACATTAGAGCTTGATGAGTTTGTTGCTCACTCAGGTGTAGCACCGCCAGCTGGAGATAGTGTTCCGGCGCAGGTCGAGGCTGTGTATCGTGATATCAATTCTATGATCGATACTCTCGGGCTCAATGCACGATCCCTCGCAGGCTTTATTAAGGGCCATCAGGATCTCTGCGCCGAAGAATATACGAGGCAAGACTTAGCTACTCCGGACGATTGGGCTTTAATCGGACTAGAGAGCTTGTCCCAAGTTATTGATCGGGATCTCAATAATGCTCTTAGCGAGGCAAGGGTTACGAATTCAGCAAGAAAGCTTACAGAGTGTGAGGATATTCAGCGTGAGCTGGTCCGCGATCGCAACAAACAGGCGGATCTAAAAAAAATCATTGCCTCCCGTGCCGATCCAGAACAGACCGTCGCGAATCGCGCTTTACCCCTTAGCGCAGAGCAGGCGTCACAGCAGAGTGATTTGAGGCGGGAGTATGCCAAATTTACAAAGCTCTTGGCGGAGGCCGAGGAGAACCTAACTCTGCTTAAGGCTAAGATCGTCTCTGTGAACAGCGCCACCGGAAAAGGCGGGTCGACGCCAACCATCGAAGCTGTTGTGCGCACCATTACTAAACTGACAAGTATGGTCGAGAAACGTAGTGGCGACATTGACGTTCTAGAAAACCAAATGAGGAAGCTACGAGTCGGTTCGCACGCTCCCAGTAGTCGTGAAGGTTCGCCTTTTGCTACGCCCAATGCCAAGAGATTGAATGCGTCATCAATTTTCTCCCCTGACCGCTCAGTGCGGGAGAGCACGCCGCAGCGTAGTAGCGTTCTACGCCACTCAATGTCGGGTTCGATAACAAGTCTTGGTGGTAGCATGTTTCAAACACCGCCACGCAAGAAGTTAAACAGCTTCGGGGACCTGGAGAGGAAGGCTGCGAAAGAGAAGCGAGAACGCAGGGCGGTTGTGCTTGGGAAGCTCAAGAGCAGCCTCGAGAAAAAAGGCGTCGGTGTTTGGGCCGTAGATGATAAATAAGTAGGATTGTTTCACGTCAATAAGCGTCGTATCTACGATTGGGCATCATGATGGCCCAAGGTCTCTGTTCAACTACTACCTATACAGATAGCATTACACGTGGATCCTTCTTTTAAACCTCCAAAAGGGGGAAGGGGGGAAGGGGGGAAGAGGGAATGAGAAGAATGCGCATCACTACGATCAATGAGATATAATTGAAGACATTCATCACAGGTTTCATTTGACATAAAATGGAGAGTAGGCGAAGTAGGTAAATACCCGTACGGTCTTAACGCTTAGTCAAGAAGTTCTTCAGTATCCTAGTCCCTCATCTAGGAAAGCCAAACACCATGCCCGCCATCTCGTCTCTTCATTTGACAAATGCCATCTTCGGGCTGGGTATAATACATAGACACATGTCAAGGTAACCGTAGCCCACTAGCGACTCCTGACACGATATTTATAACCAGAAGCTAACCCTCTAACGTCAAAAACACCGGGAAAAAAAGGGGAGGGAGAGGTCGTTTAGACGAAACTAATGACTCCTCCACTTACAGCCTCAAGCCTTGCCACGAGCTTCTTGACATTCGTCCATTCCTCGCTCCGAACCGACTCTTTACCGCCTAAATCGGGACCAACTTCGAAGACGCTGACTACGGCATCAATACCACCCGTAGCAAGCCGTTTTCCTTCGCTACCCTCCCAGGCGACCTTATTCAAGCTTTTACTGAGCAGCTGGCGGCCGTCTTTACGTGGCGTAGGGCTAATCTTGGCTACAGGGATCTCAGTTTCAACAGTGACATCCCAGAGCTCGAGCGATCCTGCGCCGTCGACGAGAGCAAATACGCCGGGGCGCACAGGCGACCACGCTGCGTCGTACACGACGTCCTCGCGCACAAATTCGAGTAGTGGGTGGACAGCAGTGCCCGCGCTCTCGACGATGGTGCTCGTGGCAGCAGGAGCGCGCACCTTCCACAGTTTAACAGACCAATCGAGGGAGGAGGAGAGCACTAAGTCGCCTAGATCTACAGGGCCATGGGCAGGATGAAAATCGACGCTCATAACGGGGGCGGCATGGCCCTTGTAGGAAACTCGCGAATCGACGCCGGCCTTGGCGCCGGCACGGTCGTACCGGTGACACGGGTAAATAGATCCCTCTTCTGAACCGACAAGGAAGTACGTTGGATCCGCCTGAGGGAAAGCCATGGTGGTCGGTGCGAGGTCTTCGAACTTGTTAGGAGGTGGCGTAGTCAGAGTTAGCGATTCTTGCGGCTGGGACAACATGTCGACGCTCCATACGCAGAAAGCGCCGTCGGTGGAAATTGATATGATGTTGTTGGCATTCTGAGTACCGACGATGTCAACAGAGTAGACAGGATGGGAATGACCTGAACCAGTGAGAGGCGTTTTCTGCACAGGGACAGACTTGGCCCGGGTATCCCAGAGGAGGACTTGGCCGGAATAGGTGCCGCCGATGATTAAATTAGGGTGGAAAGGAGAAAATTTGGCAGTGAGTATATCAGACTGGGCATGGAAGAGGAACTCGGGCCGGTCGTGGAGATGCTGATTCCAAACTTGTACAATACCATCAGGATCGTGGGGGGCAGATGGGTTTTTGGTGTAAGATGCGAGCAGAAGCTCGGGAAACTTAGGTGAGAAATCAATGCTGCTAATCATCCGCTTCTTGGACCATCTTTCATCGTAGAATTGTACAACTTCCTTGACCCGGCGGCGACCTTTGCCGCCTGTATTGCCCGCCTGCTCGTCCTCGTCCTCGATGTCGTGGGCCTGGAGGGAGTAATCTGTCAAGATATCGTACTCGTTACTAATATCGAGCGCCCGTTCGATGACCTTGGTAGAACGGTCGACAAAATCGACAAAGTCGTCGGATGCTACGACAGCGGCTAATTCCTCATTACTTAACGCTCTAGCCGGGAAATTCGAAGTAATAACGGAGCCGGTCTGCAGCGGGCCATCGGCGATGAGCTCGCGAGCAGCCTTCAGTTCTTCTTCGATCTCTAGTCGCAAGTTCTGGCGCAGTTCTTCCTCCCTATCGCGCTTCCATCTGCTGAGCCGTTTGCTGGGAGTAGATGTTGTGGCGGGCAACTCCTCGTCGTCAAGTTCGGAAAATGCTCTCGGTCGAGTAACTGGGGGCGTCCAGTCATCCGTAGTTTGTACGCCTTTGCTGTAGGAGAAAATCTCCTTAACCGGCGACGGCGGGCACTCGAAGATGGTTTGGAGAGGGACAGTGGTCAAGATTTGAGGCTGAGAGGAGGCAGACTGGCCATTCAATTGCGAAGCGTACTCCGAATGCTCACCGCTCAGGTCGTCGCCACTCAGGACACTATTGGGTCGGCTTCCACGTAGACCTGGAGATGCAACACCTGTGGTAGATGAAGCAGGTCTGCTTTCGCCGACTAGACTATTAATCAAAGACTCGATGACTTTCCTATTATCACGGCCGGGTGTCGGGGAAATAAGCTGCGACTCCAATTAGCAAGAGAAGGGAAAAAGAGTAAGTCTAGAAAGTAAAGAGTAACCAACATCGCTGGGTCCGCCTATGCTAGTTCTAGCAACAGTAGCCGCCTGGTTCGCTCTCAACTCCCTTTGTCGCTTGAGCTCTGCAAGCTTTGCCTTTTTTGCTAGAATCTCATCTCTTCGTTGTTGCATCTTGTCCTCCACCAAGACCCATGCCGGGTCTCTTGCCTGTTGCTAAAAGTTCTGGGTATAAGGGATTGTGGATTTATATTAGAATGAAGAAGAAAGGCGAGGAGTTTCATGCGTTTCGTGCGTTTCGTTGATTTCGTTGATTTCGTTGCTTATTGTACAAGAGATAGATAGATAGACAGTATCGACGTCTTTGTAATCGACCAAGGTATTTTATTTAGGGTACGTAAGCGTAGAGGTTCGGATGATGGGCGGTAATGTTAAATGTGAGCGGCAACAAGGCTGGTGGAAATCTTCCAAGTAATGGATGAAATATTAATGAAATAGCAGCTACAGCTGTACTTAGCGATGCGCGTTTCCTTTGTCAGGGGAATCGCGACACCGGCACTAGGTAATTAGATCCATAGCATCCGTGCGCGTGTACTTTATGGCAAGTACCTGATTGTGGAACCGGAGAAGATTTCTCTGATTGGTTAATCTTTGACTACCTACTACATGTACCTAGGTAGGTAGTAGTAGTATGACCATCTCCACTTATCTACTTCAGTAAGTACCTCGCACCTAATACCTACCTAGATAGGTACCTAGTCGTGGCAGTCGCTATACAGTACGTAGCGCTGTTACATAGTACCAAGATGTAAATGCTAAATGCTACAATTAAAAAAAATTAGGAAAATAATCAGTCTGCGAAATTTCCCGACGCCGTCCATACACTTCCGGTGACACGCTCTTACTATTCCACCTCCCAACCTTGAACTACAACCCTCGACAATCTCCTCCCCTCGGAAAAGGGCCAATTGGCAACCGATCGCCAGACTGTGCATCACTCATTGATCGCTTGCTCCCTCTAAAAAGTGCTCGCGCCATAAACCGGCCCAATGTCTACTACTTCAGGAGTCAACGTATGTTTTCCATGCCGTACGCCCGAGTTTTACTACCGGCACGACGAACATGACGAGCACAACAAGCACGACGGGAACATAGCTGATATTATTTTTTCTTTAACAGGTGCTCCGGTACTCAGCTCTTGCCTTAGGTGTTTTCTACGGGTTCACACACCAGAGATCCATCAGCGCAGCGCAAAGGGCCACCGCGGCACAGAAGGAATATGAACACAAGCAGCACTTAATAGAGCAAGCTAAGGCCCAATATGCGAGGTCCAAGAACCCAGCCCCCCAAACAACTGAGAAGAGTGCTTGTATGTTCCCCATTTTCAAATATCCTCGAGAAGCTAAGCAGGGAGGAGTTGAATGCTAATAAATCTATTAGTGGACCAAGATCCGATGGATCCCAAATTCGATCTAGAAGCTTACTTCAACGCCCTCGCGAAGCAAAATCCCTAGAGATGTAATAATAATATTGGATCAACTACGTACGGATTACCATAGAGTCTGTGGAATGGGAGAGAGCTGGGGTTGAACACGATGCCATAAGTCGTATCGACGGTTCTTTTGACGACGGCTTCGTAGGGCCTGTGTATAATTGCGATGCGGTCAAGAAAAGCCACCTCATAGATTTCATTGGGTTTCACGCTGTACATGTGTACAATACCAAGACTTATGCTCACCTAGACAACTGGGAGGCCAAATCTCACATGACATTCATAGAACGGCCTTAACGGATTGGTTTGGTTCGGTTCTTCTGAGTTATTTTCTACCTTTTTCTATTAACGTTTACATCCCACACATCATATCCATATTTCCGTATGAGACAAAGGTGGACAGAAACGCACTAAAGAAAAAGCCTGCAATATTTCTACATAGTGTACCTAGGTAGGTTTGTGAGAAAGTTGTCTTGGATGATATATCACCAAGACCACCAGTAGTAGTAGCTATACATGTGTTAGGGGGTTAACTGGATTATTTACACAATAAAGTCTACGCATCTCAGCACTTAACTCCGTCAGGCTATATATATTTATATGGATGAGGGAGTTTTGCTATTCCCCAGTTAACGTTCTAGTTTATAAATTCGGCTATTAACTCGTGTTTAAGGTAAGTAAGCCTATTACTTGCATTTATATGCAGGAGTTGAAATACCTCGGGTGTTGTGCGTTTAACGTACGCGGTTATGTTGTATCTACCTATAGGTAGGTAGGTAGATACCTAGTATGTACATATTCTATATTTACATATGCAGATATGTAAATATGTGTTTTTTTAGTTGCCTTTTCGATTTTATCTTCAAAATCAACCTTAAGGACAGAGAATTCTGGGGAGTAGGTACCCACTGAGTCTATGTACAATACATAATACCTACATAGTATATCTACGTACCCCCACTTAATTGAATTCGAACATACCCCTGTAATCGTGGAGCTCTTTCTGCTCTTTCTTGCAGGGTGCGACGCGCGGATTGAAAGCTCCAGCTGTCCTCACCACGTTTTATCCATCACGACCTGCACAGCCGAAGTTATCCAAACTCACTTTTCTTTCTCCCACAACTTTTTTTTTCTTTTCCCCCAACTCAAATGTTGACGCTGTCTACCACCTAGTTGCATTGTCCTGAGGCAACACTCACAATGCCTGTCGCAACTGATGCGAGCTCCACCCCTGTTGACTTGCTCGTCAGCGTTGGTAAAAATCAGAGCACTAAGACCTTATTGAGGGTCATTATTCTCTGCTTCATCGCCGCCGCCGCCGTCGCAAGTCGTCTTTTTTCAGTCATTCGTATGCTCCTATCTCGCTTATCCAATTTCATTCGATTCATGTACTAATTATCTTTTATTGTTATAGGTTTTGAGAGTATTATCCACGAGTGTAAGTCCACATCCCTCTTCATCTCCAAATATCATTATATATCGTATCGTCTTGTGCCTTATGTCTTATGTATTATAACTAATACTGCGTTGCGCAGTCGACCCGTGGTTCAACTTTAGAGCAACTAAGTACCTTGTCGCCCATGGATTCTACGATTTCTGGGATTGGTTCGACGATCGGACATGGCATCCCCTAGGTCGAGTAACCGGAGGCACTCTCTATCCCGGTCTGATGGTTACAAGCGGCGTTATCTACCATCTCCTACGAGCCCTGACTGTTCCTGTCGACATTAGAAACATCTGCGTTCTTCTAGCACCGGCATTCTCTGGCTTGACTGCCTTTGCCGCCTACCTCCTCACCAATGAGATGACCACCTCGCCATCTGCTGGTCTTCTAGCCGCTGTCTTCATGGGCATCACCCCAGGTTATATCTCGAGATCCGTGGCTGGTTCCTATGATAACGAGGCAATTGCAATATTCCTCTTAGTATTCACCTTCTATCTCTGGATCAAGGCGTTGAAACTGGGTTCCGTCTTATGGGGCGCTCTGTGTGCCCTCTTCTACGGCTACATGGTGGCCTCGTGGGGTGGGTATGCCTTCATTACCTGCCTCGTCCCTCTACACGCATTCGTACTCGTCTGTATGGGAAGGTTCAGCATGCGCCTCTATGTCTCCTACACGACATGGTATGCCCTCGGCACTTTGGCCAGCATGCAGATCCCATTTGTCGGGTTCTCGCCCGTTCGCACCAGTGAGCACATGCCCGCTCTAGGTATATTTGGCTTTCTTCAGCTTGTAGCCTTCATCGAATACGTTCGGTCGGCTGTCCCAAGCCGCCAGTTCCAGTCATTCCTTTACATGGGCCTAGGCAGTATATTCGGCGTTGCACTACTCGGCTTGGTTGGCCTTACCACTCTCGGATATATTGCTCCTTGGTCCGGTCGATTCTACTCTCTGTGGGATACTGGCTATGCCAAGATCCACATTCCAATTATTGCGTCCGTATCTGAACACCAACCGACCGCTTGGCCAGCCTTCTTTTTCGATCTGAATATGCTGATCTGGCTCTTCCCTGCTGGTGTCTACCTTTGCTTCCAGAAATTGGAGGATGAACACGTTTTCATCATCGTATACGCTCTGTTTGGAAGTTACTTCGCTGGCGTCATGGTGCGATTGATGCTGACCCTGACCCCTGTGGTGTGCGTAGCCGCTGCTATTGCCGCCTCCCAACTTCTTGACACATACCTTGTCGTCAGATCGCCTGAGCCTGTCAGCTCTGAAGAAGAAGGGACTGATGCGACTCCGAAGAAGGCATCCAAGCATGGCGTGCTACGCACTGCATCCCAACCCGTGGTGGGCATATACAGCTTATTATCTAAGGGCTTCATAGCCGGATCCATGATCCTGTTCCTACTCATTTTCGTACAACATTGTACCTGGGTAACCTCGAACGCCTATTCATCTCCATCTGTTGTCCTAGCAAGCAGGATGCCAGACGGCAGTCAGCATATCATCGACGACTACCGCGAGGCTTACCAGTGGCTTCGCCAGAATACCAAAGAAGATGCCAAGATCATGTCATGGTGGGACTACGGCTATCAGATTGGTGGAATGGCCGACCGCCCTACCCTCGTAGATAACAATACCTGGAACAACACCCACATTGCCACAGTTGGCAAAGCCATGAGTTCTCGCGAGGAAGTAAGCTACCCGATCATGCGTCAGCACGAAGTTGACTACGTCCTTGTTGTCTTCGGCGGTCTGCTCGGTTATTCGGGTGACGATATAAACAAGTTCCTCTGGATGGTAAGAATCGCCGAGGGTATCTGGCCCGACGAGGTGAAGGAGCGCGATTTCTTTACGGCGCGGGGCGAGTATAGAGTCGACGGTGAAGCCTCTGACACCATGAAGAACAGTCTAATGTGAGCATTATTCTCGACAAGGCATTATGGATATTATGCTAACCTGTCTCCTCAAAATAAAGGTACAAGATGTCCTACTACAACTACGGCGCCCTCTTCCCTCCCGGGCAGGCCCAGGATCGTGTCCGAGGTGCTCGCCTCCCCGATCAAGGACCGGTTCTTAACACACTGGAAGAGGCCTATACCAGTGAGAACTGGATAATCCGAATTTACAAGGTCAAGGATCTCGACAATGTGGGCCGCGACCATGCTTCGGCAGCCTCGTTTGAGAGAGGCCACAAGAAGAAGAAGGCCACTAAGAAACGTGGGCCTAGGGTTCTAAGAGTGGAGTAATGAAGCTAGAGAGTATGACCATGAAGGATAACATGCGATATACCCAGTCTGTCATTACTTTGACTTGTACATTTGCTAGTTAGGGAAGGAAAAGTCGGCCTCAGTGGCTACCTACTCATGTACAGATATCAAAGTTCAAGACAAGGCATTAAAAATAAACAAAAAGGGTACATTCCCTAATTACGTATAATTGGTACTCATTCACGCTGCCTTTACGTGTCCAAGAGCAATGATTTAGTACTCAAATTTTCATTAAAAAACATGGCGTACGAGGCGCCACTTTCATTATTACACAATTGTCCCAAGTGTCTTGATTAGCTACTAAGAAAAAGAGAGCTTGTTTGTTGTTTTTTTTCCCCAAGTTAACTAGGTACCTAGGTATACAAAGTTAAAAAGTAAATAGCATTATGGGGCAGGACAGATGAAATTGTGTGAAATTTCTTTAAGTAGAAAAAGAAAAACTGCCCGCTACTGGAATCGAACCAGTGATCTCATCATCACACTAAATGTGAAGTGTTTCGTACATGGTACTAGTGATGCGCTTTACCACTAAGCCAAGCGGGCGATCCAGAAGTAAGCGTGAACCAACTGACCAATAGACAAATCGCTGACGGAAAAACCGGATAATGTGGTATATATACTCGTACATATTTGCCCAAACTTGAATGGTTACCCATCGTAATAATCGTGAATCACTTACATAGAAGCGAGTAAATTTCGTATGGTTTTTATTAGCTAATCATGGTTACACACAATCGTAAGTACTCCTCTTCCTGCAAATGTACTTCAATTTGCCCACAAAATCCGCATCGATTCATCCTCACCCAAGTGGGAAAGCGCAGTAACAGACATACGTTGTTGATAACCAGACGTCGATGGTAGAGATCAATCATCCATACCTTCAACACGACTCCAGGCAGCTCGTTGCGAAGGAAAACAGAGGACGCAAAAAGGAGGGAGGGGCATTATAATCCCAACAGCTGACATATACGTTTGCGTTTACTGGCGACAGTGAGATTAGCGTGATCACCCGAGTCCGGCAGCAGGCCTTCTAATGAATGACCTGTATGGACAATCATGGATGACGCAGGATCAAGAGGCGATACGCCCATGGAGTTAGTCGTCATTCTCTTGTCAGAAAAGTAAGCATTTTCCTCTTGCTGCTTCAACGGAGATTCGTATTGTCTTTCCCGAGATATATGCCAATGACAATGTGTGGAAGGGGAACTGCCTCCAGTTTGTGCAGCCGCCTCTTTGCGTTGGCCAACCTTATTAGACATCTCTGTACTTCTAGTCAGCTGCCCAAATTCGTTTATAAGTAGTGCAGCTCGGGTTGGAATCTTACCCAGGGGTTTGGCTTGGCTTTTTCCCTCGTCGGTCGTCGAGTCTAACTCTAAGGTCTCATACAGCTCGTAAGCAGCAGCAGGAAGGTTGGAACCGTCGACTCCTCTACAAGAATAATACGACTCTACTGAGATCTCAGTGCGCGCCATGAAGTTCGGCACGGGAAATGAGGAAGTACCAGAGTCACCGATAGGACTGGTCATTTCGTTATAGAACTTAGCAGCCGAAATCAAGTCTTCCTCGGCCGTCAACTCAAATTCCTGTCCGAACTCCTCTTTATCCTCCTGGCTGAAATTCCAGGGCTCGAGCATGATATGTGGGTCGGCGATTTGGTAAGCATTTGAAGAATCTGTAGGCGTCAGCGGTAGGTCCCATCGGGAAACATAGTCAGTGTTGGGCAGAGTTTCCAGTTTCATGGAGTTGTCCGTGTACAGTTCTCCAAGTTCATGGCAATATGCTTGACCGTCATCTTGGCGTCGTCGAACCCGTCTTCGATGAGAACGCTCCTGTGACTCATGGACGCGAGGATTGAGCATGCTCTTGTAAGGGGACTTATATTCATGAGTCGACCCACATCCATCATCGGTTGATAGCTTATTATAGGATTTGTCATAATCGCTATAGTGGCCATTGGAATATGCAGCCTTGGGCGCCCGGGTTTCACTGCCAGTAGTGGGATGGTGATATTCCTCTCCTGTGGACATATTTATCTCATCGTGGCCATTGGAGCACAGTGATCCAATTTCTGGGTGATCCGAAACGCTCTGTGATGAAACTCTGGGTTTCGCTATACGATGGTTCCCGAGGAAATGAGCCTCAGGAGATGCACAAGTATTGTTGGCATAGGTATTATCCGGTGTATCATCTAGCCCTAATGTTGAAATAATCTCCTTTGGGTCCGTTTCCCGCGCATTAGCCGCCGAGCTAGAATTCTTGATACAAGAATCATTATTCAGAATTGCATCCGTCTTCTCTCTAGGCAGACCAGGGTTCAGAGGAGGTATATCACTGTCTACTTTGTGGACGGTTTCTCTACCAAGTGACTTCGGACACCTACTCTTACGCCACCCCATATTCGAGTCCCAGGCCGAGGTAAAAGCTCTCGCATCTGGCTCTCCCATGGATGATACTGACGGAGGCGGCGTAGCATGACCTTCTGCAACAGTCGAATCAGTTAGGATGCTTGACAATGAACTCAAATGTTTTGACTTATTTTGTTCGTAAGCTCGGTAAACCTTTTCGCCACCTCGCTTCTTAATGCGAGTGGCACAAGGCATATTCGTGGCAAATATAGGGGTATGATCTTTAGTAACGTTCTGTGAACAATAGTTAGCTTTAGAGGTATCTACACGAGTTTTAATATAGCTTACGTTTATATCGGTGTCATCATTGCTGTCGCTTTCCACGAGCACAGCTTTGCGATGACAATTGGTGCAATAATCTCGATCCGGTATCTGTCCTCTCTCTAGAGGATGTTCCTTCTGATATTTATTGGATCGTACTCTTCCACAGCCTGCGCAGAAGTGAATATGTTGGATGTGCTTGCTAATATCTCGCTTGGCCTTTTCTTTCTTCTTCTCTCTCTCGTCCTGGTGCTTGTTCATTCCCTGTATGGTAGCCATTCCAGCTTTATTGTCGTGTTCGTCGCACTTCTTAGCTTCACTGAGACTATACCAAAGAGGTACAGAATTATTCAAGGGGGCTGTGCGCTGTTCGCCGCCTAGTTGGCTCGCTGATAACGTCATCGCCACGGGCGGTGATATAGGTGGGGGTGCATGAGTTTGTAAGGGCCTAGCGATGGGATAAGCAGGGGATTCGACATCCTGGCAAGGGGCCATGTTGTGGTTATGGTGAAAGAAAGGAGGTGTATGAGAACCGGGTGCCATGATGGGCTGTGACTGTGGGAAGCTACTGGTAATTAGGAACCGAGAGGCATATCCTTGAGGATTAATAGTCGACGTCATTGGAAAATCGAAGTTAGGTGACATAGTTGTGCTATTGCAAAAATCCCATATGTGAGGCGGCATTAGACTCGAGGTTACTGGTGGATAGAGGTTGGATGGCATCAAATTCTCATCTTTCACTTCAGGCACTCTGCTATAAGCCAAGCAACTCGATAGACTTCTCGATCCGCGATGGATACGCGCGGGGGTGGAGGCCGAAAAAGACCGAAGGCCTTTCTTGCTTAAAGCGATGGGGCAACTCTCAGAATTATCAAGACCGCGGTGTTTGATAGGCTCCCCATGCTGCGTGAGAGGAAGTGTTGAGCCATTGGCTGTAAATGCATTGCGGCGGCGGCGAACTTCTCGCTCACTCTCACGTTCAAAATCGATGCGGGAAGGAATACCGAATGCTTGGCCAAGGATATCGAACCCAAAGTCTTCTAGTAACCTGTCCTTCTTCTTGCGACCGAAGGCTGGTTTTCCATTCTCGGTGGTGGTGACATAGATGCCTCTGCCACTAGGGAGGTAGAATTGGCCATCACTATTTCGACGCCCTTGATGCGACATATCTTGCTCTAGCTGCAGGCTTGTGCACCTATTGACTTGTTAGCTAGGTAGGGTTGGGAGTAGTAGATGAGATTACAAGTACTATGCAAATTGAAATTGACTACTAAGTACGGGGTAAATGAAAGTGAAAGGAAGGACTTGAGTGCAATAATGCACACTCGCACGTCTCGCAGAGAGCAAGAAATAAAGAAAGCGAAGAGAAAACTCAAGTGAAGTTTCAAATAGCTGTAGTGCGTGTCTAGGTGGGTTATGGGAAGATAATTAAAAAAGGAAGCAGCGTTTGGGAAATATCTGAGGAGTTAAAACAAACAAGTATGGATGAGAAGGAACATCTCAATTTTGGTCGTCACAGCAAATGTTATTATATACCTACATCCATGTAGTACCTACCTAGTACCATCTATTTACAAGCAGTATCGAGTCTATCGTGATGAACTTATGTACGTCTAGGTAGGGGGGGTAGCACACGATCTATTAGCATACCAATGAATTACGTTGGACGATACCTATTTACCCTCTTGATACTGACCGACCCCTATAATTTGACACTGGGATATTCCCCTCCCCCCTTCCTAAACTTCTCAAAAGACATCCGTGGACTATGATACATCGTGTCCCTTATCTCTTCAGCATCATCTGTAAAGCCGGGTATTATTATCTACCTACTCTTCCAATTCCAGACTACTACCAAGGCATAGATGTAAAAATATAGAGATAAGAACGCATCACTTGGTTCCTTCTTTTCCACACCTCCGCCCTTCCTTACCAAGGTGCGCAAACATGGTATTCTCTATATTCGAATTTGACCTTCCTAAGAGCACGCCGACATGCACGGATATGACTTGCATCGATCTTGAAACCCAACTCTTGTCTTCCGGGAGTAGTACACCGTGGAGAATAATGGGAAACCTCGGCACCGTCTCACCGAAAGCCTGCCGGTTCTGTCAGTTAGTGTACGGAAGCGATGCTAAATTATGTCGGAGCTGAGGGACCGCTCTTCCTGATATTGGGGGTGCGGTGGCTGGCGAAGCTCGGCGAGAAGCACGATAAGCGAGTGCCGTAACTGCTTTCGCACGTTTCGCTTCGAAGACTCGGCTGCGTTCTAATTCTTCGTCCATGCGCGCCATCCTGGATTGCTGGTCGCGCTGCGCCTCAGCCTTAATCTTATCGAAGTGAAGCGTATTCGTGGCTTTCGGCCAGAGGCGATCAAGTCTGCGGGCCTGCGCTTCCGACACGTAGGATGGGGGCTCATCTAACGGCCTCTCCACCGAGGATCCGCCCCAATAACACTTAAACGTCAGTGTTGCTTGGTTGGGCGTGTCTTCTGCTCCCCAGAAGACTATCGTGTCTCCATGATACAGCTTCATCCAGTACTTGCAGGCTGCCGTGCTATTCTTTGGTTCATTAGCTTCTAGAGGGGTGTTATTGATCCGTATCCCAACGGTGGCCTTGGTCGATATGTAGAACGCATATGAGCTTGGTGTCGGTTCGGCTCGTATAGTGCGGCTAGCCGTAGACCGAGCAGGCTCCCACGGACGGAATTCGCTGAAAGAAGCAGTATAACCGTCTCTCCAGAGCATAACCCTGAATGCATTTTTGGGAACTTTGGATTCTTTGACCGGCTCATAAACAACGGTGTTATTAGGATCCCGTCCCCACGAAATTATGGGGTCATTAAGGCGGATGGCTATTCCTGGTACCGATGACTCCTGGCCCGAGTAAAAAGTAGCAACTATCTTCGATTGCTCAGTGGCTTGTGTAGATTGATGGGATTCGGGCGCTAGACTATCTGTGATCGATTCGGACTCGTCTTCGATGGCAGGCGAAACCTTGTTGGGCGTCTCGAAATCGCGGGCCCCCTTAACTAACCGGTTATCACGTTTAAGCAAGGCTGGCCGTAGTGCAAGTGCCTTTCCTATTTCTCCGACTGGACGCCGATTCCTTGTAGGCGGGAAATTGTTCATCGCTAGGTCCCAAAGGCGTGATTTTCCCGGGCCAAATTCCTCCTTCCTTTTCTCCGCAGCCTGTTCAAATGCGTTGTACTGTAAATGGGTCATTTCGGGATAATCTAAATGCCATGTGTTCTTGTTTGAACTATCCCAAAATGTCGTTTTAGGAAGCGGATAGTCGATTTGACGACCCGAATCGTTCTTCACGATCCGTGGAACGCTAGCGAGTAGACGGACCTCATCTTCCTCGTCGTTGAAATCATCGATGCCACTCTGCGATTTGAGTCTTTTGAACGACGGCTTGGCCTTGCTCGGACCCTCTTCATATTCGTCGCTAGTATCGTAAGTCGGTTTCCTTTTACTTGTATTGAGGTCGCTGGTCCCGGGCTGAAGATTTAGGTTACCGGTGGCAAGAGACTTGACGTTCAGATTTTCAAGTATAGACGAAGCGCCGCCAAGACTCTGTGAGCGCTCTCCTAGTATCACGTTCTGCGGAAGTTCTCCGTCAGCAGACGGAATGCCATTGTTGGCACGGGGCTTCTGCCTTGGTGTAGAGAGATCGTCTGATTCGCCAAAACTATCCAGGATTTCGGTCTCTAATACGTCAGTCTCTCCTAAGCTCGTATCCGAGACCGGGAGATTCAGGCGGTTCTCTGGAATAACGCCGGAGCTACCGACTGCCGACACCTCCCCAAATAGTCTGTTCGGCCGAGTCTGCCCAAAGGTATAATTCTCTTTTTCCGATTCGAAATCGATTGAAAAACCAGGCTCCGGTCCCTGAAGAGAACTCGCACCTTCGCCGGCGAATTGAGCTAGTTGCCTATCATCGAGACTGAGTTGCGATGCTCTCTGTCCTAAGTCCTTATCGTCGGAAGCTTCTAAAGAATCCATTTCACCTGTTAACCACGGATGAGCCAGGAGTTCTGAGATCGACGCTCTGGTTTCCGGCCGAACATTAATCATTCTCGATATGAAATGGATGCCATTGCCCGATACATTGTATCGTGATAAAGGCGAGGTATTAACTGGCGTCTTGATGATGTGGTTGAGCAGCTCCGTATATGTGACCCCATTCTTAACAGGGAAAGGCGGGCTGCCAGTGAGAGAATAGAACAAGACACCGCCAAGCGACCAAATATCCACCGCATGATCATACCTCTCCCTATCCAGCTGCCTCTGGCCATATCTCTGGGTTCTCTTGCCGCTGTAATCATAGGACGAATACTCGCTGTATACTTCAGGCGCACAATATAGAAGAGTCCCGCAGAACGTCTTGAGAAAAGTTTGCTCGGTATCGATCATTTTAGACAAGCCAAAATCAGTTAATTTGACCACGAGCGGGTTTGTCGACTGTATTAAGATGTTATCGGGCTTTACATCGCGGTGGGTAATCTTGTTTTCATGTAGATACTTAAGCGCATCAAGTAGCTGCTCGGCCATAATCTTAACGTAAGGTTCCGCTATTGGGCCGTGCTCTTGAATGAGCTTGCCAAGATCGCCGCCGGGAACATATTCCATGATAATGAAGAACTGGTGTATGTCCCAATCGAAGTGCTCGATGTATTGGACAATGTTGGCCTTGAGTTGAATTAGAGCTAGAACATCCTGAGGTGGGAAATGAAGTTTCAACTTACGTGCTTGACCTTTTGCATGATCCTCATCTCATTTTCGACTTTCTGGTCCAGAACACCATTCTTCATGAACTTACGCTTATCCAGTTCTTTAGCCGCATATGGCGAACCGTCATATTTCGAAGTGACCTTGTGAACTGTTGCGAAAGCTCCCTTCCCGATCACGCCTACGCGGGCATATTTTTCGCCTCCGCGCCACTCTCGGGGTAGGCGCTCAGGGGGGGCTTCTTGCGTAGTCTCCCATCGGTCGTCATTAGGTACGTGAAAGAGATTAACCTATTCCGAGTTAGTAGCTGAGCAATATTGTAAGAGGGGGCGTCATACATGACCGCTCGGTCCAGGACCAATAGTCTTGTTTATATCATGCCCCTGAGTTCGTCGTAAATAGGCACCGAGCTTTCTCCGATACGCGATTTCGTGATCGCCATCACGACGAGGTATCCGGACGAGGAAGATAAGATCACTCATACTGTCGTGCATGACGATTTTGACTGTAGAACCGCTCTCTAGCGTCCTTCTGGTGGCAGAGCATTGGCCTTTTTGAGGATCACTCTTCTTTCGCAACAATTTGTCATCGACGACGGTGCCGTTCGTGGATTGGTCTTCTAACATAACAATACCGTACTTATTGACAAATATGCGAAAATGAATGTTACTAAGCCTCCTGCCTGGATCATTCTCGAAACAGAGATCACATCGGGCTCGGTTGCGACCAAATGTGAAGCCTAGACGTGGATTCTTGAGGCTAGACGACAATTTGATGACTAGAGCATGATCGCCAATCCCTCGAGTTAGACTGAATTGCTTCGCATCGTCTTCGCGAGATCGATCCGAATCAATGGCATTGGCAGTGTATCTCTTAGTAGTGTGGTGGGCGTATTCGAGCGAAGATGCGATGTTCTGGATTTCGTTACTGGCGCTGTCGGAGTTCGCATATAATAGACAGACTATATCAGATATATCTTCATCGGAGAAGCCCGAGTTTTGCTTCCCAAACCTTCTGGGGTCTAAGGCATTCTGTGTGGCTACGGGAAGGGGGAAGAGTGTTAGAAGATATAGACCTATATGGTAATACAATGAATAGTCTTTCTCTGGGTACTAACCTGGTTGAGTAGGTTGCGAGTCAGGTTGTAAGTCTTCAGTAGAGTCCATTAGTAGCAGAGAGGGTGCACAAGGCCACCGCTAGCCTGCAGAGGAGGATTGTATTATGGCGAAGACCTGCTCACACCGACTGCGAGAAACGCCGTTCAGGCAGCCGGCTGGTGTTATGATTCTTTTTTGTCGAGACTTCCGGCCCGACCAGCTAGCTCGGAAGCCTTCGTATGCGACAAGTTGCGATCATTCAAAGGACTTCGGGTTGTCTTATTCGACGACGTGGTTGAGCGGGTATTGCTATAATTGCACAAGTTGTCGTGACAAATCAAGGTTTGCCCGTAAACCGAAATAATCGATCGTTTATTTTCTTTCTAAATCAAACGATCCGACTATTCAAGTATGTACACGGCGGTATAAATCAACAAATGTTTAACGAATGAATTATCGAGTAAGAAAATATGGACGAAAGTCTCGGGAGTCGGGAGACGGGTCCAAGTTTAATTTATTATAAGAACTCGATGGGAAGTTTCCAGACGAAAGTTTAAAAGTGCACGGAAGACTCATGCGAAAGCACGCGGCAGCTTGCATCAAGTGCACTTGCGGCTGCCCTCTCAACCAGATAAGTAGGTAGGTAACCCACCCTCCTGCCACCCTCCCGCCTTCAGCCTACCGACCTAGGTATGTACCTAACAGCCTACATCACTATAAGTAGGTACTTACCCCACAAGGGATTTCTTTGGTGCGCAGTTGATCAATAATTGTTTAGCTGGGGCTCATTTGATATATACCTACGCACCCAGCCAATCATTACTATCAGGCCGTCAGCAATGCATCCCACACTTAGCGAACCGTACTCCTGGAATAACACAACATGAGTATTGTGGGATTTTAACTACTACCTAGTAGGAAGGTTATATAGGTCCCTACTATCTGCCTACCTACATATCCATATTTTATGTAGTAGGCAGATACCTATTAATTAGGTGGGAATCTAGATATAAACTTCCCGTCTTGGACACGTTCCACCCCTGTAGCGGTACCTAGTCTATTACCTAGTGTACGTAGGCACTGGTACCTGAATATAAGTAACACCAAATCAACGTCTGAACGGAAGACTAAAGTCATACGTCACCAGGTGACATTCCTTCATATGACTTCGCTTATGTGGGTAGAGAGTACCTAGTACAACCCCTTTCTGGGGAATGATCAAATTTATGATGTTATCCTTGTTGGCTACAAATAAATATCGTCAAGTCGACGAAGAATTACGGTATATATTTTGAATCAGCCAAGAATCCGGTTTATGCAAGTGCTGCTGTGTATGATTTTCCCGACGTCCCTTTATATGCCCACTGTAATTCATAGACCATGCAAACCTCAAGCCATTCAAAACCAAAAGTTCCAAGGGAAAACATGACGGAAGATGTTCGGGAAAAAATGACAAGATCGTAAATCGTGAATGCAATTGTTAGAAAAACCCTCTCTTCTTCTTCGGTTTCTGATCCATGTCTTTTAAGATATCGTCAAATGTACTCCCGCCGACAGAATCTTGTCGTGAACTGTTCCTCGACTCCGCATGCGCGTGAACGGGAGAATCTGGGAGACCAGCTAAGTTACCTGAAGATCTACTACGATTCATCACGGCACTAATTGGTCGTTGGACCGGGGACACGCCTCTGGCACTGACAATCCGCGACCCCGACATGCTGTCTGAAGGTAGAGGAACTGGCTCGAGCCCGAAAGCTATGCTGCTTCGGTAAGACTGCCTAGTGCCCGGAGATGCCGTTCTTTGCCTCAGCGCTACTCCTGGAGGGCCCGTCTGGGGAGACTCGCTTCGGTTGATAGGGGCCGGGCTCGTCGAAACGCCAGGGTCCATATCCGTAAACACAGACTGTGGCGCTTGAAGCGGCGACAGGCTCTCTTGCGGCGGTGGGGGAGCGGGGTCGCTTCCAAGCTCCCAGCGCTTGGCCGCCAACCAGCAGTGGCTTCGGTGGTAGATACCCTCGATGCTGAATTCCACGGCGTCGGTCGAAAGCTCCACTAGGCCACCTCCGCCGGCCACTTCGTACCATCTCTTCTGCACCGAAGGCGCGTCCTCTATCCAAGGTGGCTGGCCTCTCGGTGGCTGGCACAGGAAGTACTCCACGCCTTCTGTGAACTGCAGGCCAGGAGCATCCACCACTAACATAGGGAGCGACTGGATAATGACATAGAGAAATAACCAGTAGCCCATACGCTGATCTGCCATCTCCGCAGCTGTCCTCCCTTTAGCCTCTTTATATTCGAATTCCTTAAACTCAGTAAGAAACGGGATCTGGAGTTTGAATGTTTCGAAATCGTAGGCTTTGTTTAGAATCAGGAGCATCTGATATTCCTGCAGATTCTTGTCTAGTCGCATTCGGTCCCGGGGAGGAAGCTCGTAATAGTTCTCTTGAACGCTGGTCATATCGGGTAGCTTGGGAAGATCAAACGGAATCGGAGGGAGTACGGGAGGCGAAGATTGGTCGAACTCCCCGAGAACTTTGCGCAAAGCCGAGAGGTGAGGATTCTTGTGGTCGCCGGTTGTCTCCTCCGCACTCTGGTCAATCACCCGTGTTGTTATCGACTCACGGTCAACGAGGAGGTCGTACAGGGCACAGAAATCCGAGTAGAGTATCTTAAGGACCTGTCGGTTCAGACCACTCTCTGTGAACGGGTTCTTCTTGCTGCGGGCCTTCGGAGGCCAGCTCCCGAAATTCGACTTGTAATAGCTGAGAACAAACTGTCTCATCCTGCCGAAAGACCTCTTCCAGGTGTGGAATTTGACGTCCTTATAATCTTGATTGGACGTCGAGTTGGCGACTCCGGAAAACAGGGCCGGGAATTCAAACGACTCCAACCTATTATTAACACCGTTCTGGCGAGTTACGAGTTCGAAATATGCGCGTTCTAATCGCTCACGCGTAGTGCGAGACACCTGGTTCCACAAAGGAGAGTTTAGGTCTCGAATTGCCGAGTATTTACCCACGGCATGGGCAAACGCTTCATTGTACAGGCTCATCGATCGCATCCGCTCACCTAGAATGAGAGACTCTAACGTCTTCTCTCTACTATGTCTCACATCCGCAAGAGCCATCTGGTCCATGAAGAAGCCGAAGCTCATCTCGACGGCATCGCCAAAAGTTGAGCCGTCGGCGTTCGTAAACTCGAATTCTTTCAATAAGGCGGAGATGTGCAGAAATACGCTGAATAGGGTTGGCTGTTCCTTGGTACATACCAATGGTTGGCCAGTTAAAAATGCAAACATGTTCCGAATCGATACCAATCGCTCCATGTCAGCTTGTGATCTATGTTCGGGAGTGGACATAGATACGGGGAGATAAAGACGTGACTCCCCGTTCCACTCGGACTCGGGTAAGGGGGGCGACTGAACCCTTCTGGTTGCATCTTCGATGGAAAGACTATCGCGGCCAAGGAAACTGCGGGCGCGACTCCTCCCTGAGCTGGTCGGAGATGCCATCTCGGCCTCAATAAGCTCGGCAAAAACCAGTGAATAATCCACAACAAACGAAGGCACCTTGAACGATGGTCCCGCGCCAACACCTTTAGGATCCAGGTAGATCAATATGTTTCCGCCTTCGTTCCATAACTCCGGTACCTTTTCACCGTTAGAAAGAAATGACGTGTTGTAATCTGCGTTCTGCCCGAGAATCCATGCCGCCGAACTATGCACATGTATATGACCCTGCGAGTGGGATCTTGACCTTCCTCCCGGAAGCCAACTTCTCCTCAATCGCCCGCGTCGTTCGGCATCTCTGGTTGGGCTTTGGCTTCCATTGCTCGACCCTGGACGAGACACGGCCGCAGTGGTTGCAGTAGCTGCAGTGGAAACGGCTAGATTTCCAGACGGCGGAGTCGATCGCGTGGCAGGCGGTTGCGCAGATACACTTCGAGTTCTTGACTCAGACGTTGGCGAGGCTTGCCGAGGCGCTAGGCCCGTTTGAGAATTTGATGGTTTATGACTACTACTAGTGACGGAGCTACTTCGCTGTCTCTGCTCCTTCTTAAGTTTTGGAGACGATTGAGTTTCTGTGAAGTGAAAGGTAGACACCCTTGGAGGAGCGTCGAAGCTTTCGATCGGAGGTATCTTGTCTAGTACTGGAGCACCTTTGCGTAATTTACCCACGGAGGGACTTGTGCTATCGCCCTCGGATGGGTTCCTACTGTGATCTGTGATGGGGCGGGCGGTAGTGGAGTTGTCGGAAGGTTCGTTCGGAATCGTGGTTCCAAGTCCTTCATTCTGGTCGGATGGCACTAGCGGTAAACTCGGTAGACTCGGTGGTCCGTCTTGAACGGGCGATTCGTCGGACATTGGCTTGCGGTGAAGGCCACCTGCGGGATTACCTGCATGGTGAGTACTGATCAGTGACGGAAAGAAGGATGACAAGCGGTCAAACCGCGATCTTGCGGAAAACATTGAAGCGGTCCCTTTATGGCTCTGAGGTACGTCTGATGGATGTTTGTTTGCTTCGATTTTGTTTTTGAAAGAAATATTGTCACCGGGAGACATCGACTCTCCACCGCTCTCTCTCGAGCGACAGGCAGTTTCAAGGGAGGGAAGGGAAGTATAAATGGAGGCTTGGCTCGCCGACTTACTTGAAGAAGCCATGTTTTTGGTCTAGGAATGAACAAGCAAGCACAGCCCTTTTTTTTCTTTTTCTGCAGACAGGGTTTGCCAGGTACCTATGTAGGTAAGTATCCGATGGAAACGATGCACGTGTAGTCCGATGTCTTAGTTTTAGGTATCTCGGTACAAACTGGTACAGCTCCACTAGCTAGTATTAACGAGAGTTCCCGTCAAGCAACGGTGATCCTTGAGGAGAGGTGGGCGCGGTGGCTCTGAGCGTGACGAGTCCCGGATGCGTGGACTCGATAGTGCGGAACGCCCTGGTGGGTAAGCGATTTTCTTATGAGTAGGAAGATAGGAGGATGGCTGGTTGTTTCACTCGAAAGAAAGGGAAAAGTTCTGTGCTAATTCTAATAATTCTTAGACAATACGCAGAAGAAGGGCGACATGGAACTCTCAGGAGGGAAATAGTGTAATAATCTACTAAAACACTTGCACCTTTGAAATGTGCGATTATTATATTATTATAACTTCTGAATGTAGGTAATTTTCCAAAAGTCTGAGTATTGAAATACGTTTTGGGGAGGGGGGTGACGTCGGCTGTTTGTGGAGCTAAGCAGGAAAGGCAGGGCGGGTTTTCGTACTCATGTACTTGATAGATGTACCTACTTTGAAAGTCGCTACCGGGTACTTACGAATACATAAGTACACGATTAAGTACAAGGGCTTTTTATATATCCTTTCGGGAAAAAAAAAAAAAAAAAAAAAAAAAAAAAAAGACGTTATTGAATATACAATCCACATAAACAGATATTTTATATTCGTTTGAAAATATTTATAAAAATACTTGTTAAGGTACGCGTTAGCTGGATAAAAGTGCTACCTAGATATGTCCATGTACCGCAGGAAATCAATACCGGTCCAGGCTGGCTCAGCCTACTAGGTACCTAGGTACATACAGTAACATCAAAATTGTGTACGCCGTATGTGCGTTGTCAAGCATCCGCAGAACCATACATTCAGCCGCAGCATCCAATATTTCCTCGGGCTTCTTCCGAGTCCCATCACGGGTTAAAAAACGTAGTTAAATCTTCGCTGCAAAGAGTCAGGAGTTCGAACATAACATGTGGCTCATAAACACGAATACCTTTAATAGACTCAGGATTTTGCGTTGCTTGAGTATATAGTACATAAACGCTCGATGACGTACGCCCGGCAACAAGCTGCAGGGACGGATTCATTCCTAGAATTACTAGCCCGCAAGCTGACGTGAGACCTTAAAAGGACGAGACTACGTACTCTGGATAAGAAGCAACAACAACGCAATAAAAGGCAATAATCAATAAGCAAGCCTTGTTTAGCGCATAAAAATACAACGATCGACAATGACACAATAAAGCTTGACTAATAATATCTCATATTCCCGAGTCGTTTCATTTATTACCTACCTACCTATTAGGTATTGTACCTAATATACGGAGTGCCAGGCGAATTTTAATGTAGCTAGCACTAGTAGATTTTTACAGCTATCATAAAACAATTCAACGTTTTTACTAGATATCGAAAACGTGACAACATACTTGATTAGGTACTTAATTTATGAACGACAATGATAAAAACACATGCTTTAAGGTTACTACATGTAGTTTATCTCTTTATTACATAAGAAGGGTGGCTAGGTATTACTTATGTATGTACAGAAGTAGGCATTGGAATATTTCCTGCTTTGGTTTTAGGTACATGTCAGATTTCATTGAATAACAAAGTTTCGGGTCGGAACGAAACCCTTCGACAATCCCGGGAGTTCAAAATCAATCTATTCTTAGCATCAAGTAATATTCGTATAGGTAGATAGCAAAACCCAAGTGCCATAATAAATATAATAACTTTAGCTAAATAATTATACGCATTTATAATGAGTAACCTTTTCATTTAAGGGTACCTGGCAGCTTAAGTAACGTTTACAGGGATGGTTAATATGTACTTATTCGTTTATATTCCAAGTTGTTGTAGGAATTATAGAATTACATTGTTTCATCTGTGGCGAAATGACCCAAGTTACCTAGCTTACGTGAAATGCATCGAGCGGCACCAGACTTATCTTTATTAGCTTTCATATGCATATCTAGGTACATACGATGTTAGCTCCTCGAGCTGTCGGGAAACTTCAAATAGTGGAGTAGATGAGAAGGGGTAGGGTCGTCCAATATGGAAACCCTATAATATAATGTCCTTCGGACGGATGATGGAAATGCTTGTTTTTGCCTATACACCTACATATGTACCTAGGTATGTAGTACATATGTACAGTAGCTGCTTGATTAGATATGGATTAGATAAGATTAGATTACCAAATTTTTTGCTGCACCCTACCTATGTATTATGTCCCGGACATAGCCAGGTAGGTATATTCATTACTTTCAGCTAATTTATAGCAATTCCTAATCACTCTCCTCCCGACTTTTTGGTATGTCATGGTCCCGTTACCTAATGAAACTTATCATGGCGCCTGAGCTGAAGAGGGTACCAATCCCTCGCAATGGCGTTGATTACAGAGGCAAAATTGTCCTCGCGCCCATGGTTCGTTCTGGAGAGCTACCATCGCGACTGCTGGCTCTTCATTATGGCGCTGACTTAGTATGGGGTGCGTCTCCTCCCACTTCTACATCATCTTCTCGGTATTCAGAATAGGTCACTTATCGCTACGTAGGACCCGAAACTGTAGATAGATCTATGATCGGAACGACGAGACGATTCAACCCAGAAACCAGGACGATTGAATGGACAAGGAAACCATCGCTAGGTACCAGGACCCCACCAACAGACGTAAAAGATAGTGTCATATATAGAATGCACCCCGAAAAAGAAGGACGAAAGCTCATCTTTCAGATCGGCACATCTAATCCCGACTATGCGGTACAGGCAGCTAGACTAGTCGCCGCCGACGTTGCAGGAATCGACGTGAACGCCGGATGCCCCAAGCCCTTCAGCACGCACGATGGTATGGGGGCCGCTTTACTTCGGACTCCCGATAAGCTATGTTCCATTCTAGAAGCACTAGTCCAGAACATAACCCCCGAATTTGAAATCGGGATCAGCGTAAAGATCAGGATCCTTGAGACCGCGCAAGAGACAGAAGCATTGGTGAGAAGGCTTGTCGCTACTGGCATAACAGGTCTAACGGTGCATTGTCGAACAACCCCCATGCGGCCTAGAGAGCGAGCTATTCGAGGCCAACTCCGTATGGTAGCAGACATATGTCGGGAAGCAGGCGTTGCATGCATTATGAATGGCGACGTTGAGGACAGAGACCAAGGCCTTGAGCTAATGGAAGAATACGGCGCCGATGGTGCCATGATAGCAACTCAGGCCGAGAGGAACCCTAGTTGTTTCAAGAGTAGGGCCGACGGCGGTTTCCTGCCGTGGAACGAAGTGGTAGAACAGTATATTCGCTACGCCATGGAGGTCGAAAACAAATTCGGAAACACCAAATTTTTGCTTTGCCAGCTCGTGCCGGGGAAGCAGTATGTTTATCGCTCTCTCAGCAGCTGCAAGAGTTACACACAAATGTGCGAACTACTCGACCTTGATCATTTAATAGAGCGAGCTCGCGAGGTTGATATCAGTCGTGATATCGATCCTGATACTGCAGGGAAGAAGGATAAGAAAGTCAACAACAGTGCACTCGCCGCAGGGGGGAGCACTGGGGAGTCGCGGTCGAAACCACAAACTAAAAAGGGGTTATCGGAACGAGGGGCTCGCGCCCAAGGAGAAACGCAACTAGCGGAAACTATAGCAGTACCTACCTAAGAAGGGATTGCAGGAAAATGCATTCAATGGCGTTGGGCGAGTAGATATCCCATTTCAGATTTCGGGGTGAGTTGGCGAACGAAAACATATCTGCATTTGCATGGCGGGGACTTGCCGATTAGATGGAGCAGGAGGGGATATTTGAAAAAAAAAAAAAAAAAAAAAAAAAACATGAAGAGACATTGGAACATTCACGATAGCTAAGAGCGGAAAAGCACACCGTGCGAGGGTAGAATAATGATCACGATAATATATCCTCTTACAGAGGACATGATTCTTTAGTCAATGGAACACTCGCGAGAACTACCCTAACCCATTTATATTTGGTCGACGGACTACTACACCTTCTTGCCCTGTTTGAGAAGATCGGACACCTTAGGGGGTAGTACTAAAGCGCTTCTATCATTACGCTTGTGAAAATCCACGAGTGATATCGCCGTCTTCTCCGGCAAATCTTCGTGTATGAAATGTCCTGCTTCCGGGAATATCTGCAAGGAGTATTTTCCTATATAATAGACAAATCAATCCTCTAGAACTGATCAAATTCAACGTAGTGTAAATGAAACGAACCTTGCATTTGACCGATTGTTAATTCCGTGTCTAATCTGTCTGTCCCGGCAAGAAGTAATAGCTTCCCGCCCTTTGCCCCGAGGAATTTTTTACTCAGCCCCACAAACCAGTTCTCCCAGAAGGGCTGCGTGGCACCAAGGTCCGTCCTCCATTTCCACGGCCTCGAGTCCCCAGGGCTTTTTTGGAGCATGAGCAAGGCAGGGACGCTCGTGCGTGCAGAGAGTGAGTTGCGAATCGTCCTAGTTCGTATATGCCAATCGATCCCTGATTCTAGGGTAGGGAAGCCGGCTGGGCGCGTCGAGAGATAGGTGTGCATGCTCTGCAGGGCATCAATGGCCGAACCCTCAACCACATCAAGAACGACGTATCCTAGGACGGCATTACCAAGTTTTCCTGTCTTCGCAACCTCGGTGACTACTGCACCTCCAAGGGAATGCCCAACTAAAATTATGGGTGGCAGCTCTGGCCATTTCATCTCCTTCCGGGCCAGTAAGATCACAGAGAGGAAATCTGAAGCAAGGGTCTCGAGACTGAGATCGACTGTTTGGCTGTCGGGAGTGGTGGTCGAACCGTGACCCCTTGCGTCGAGCGATAAGATGCCAGCGGACGGAAGGCGTTTCCGAATCTCATGCCCGACCACGGCAAAGGATAAGCCCGACGAGCCAGCACCATGGTGCATGACGAACAGAGGGCCTTTCCCGACAGGAGAGGTGAGGTAAGCATGGATCGTTGGATTTGTAGGACTACTTTGGTCATGTAGGAATAACTCCCTCTCGAAGTAGGTAGTCCAGGGGATCTGCTGTAAAGACCGTCCTCTCGGCGCGCTGTATACCAAAATCAGCTGCCGTGGAAGTGAGCGCATCTAGGTTGAGAGGGACTACCCCTGTGGTCTAGCAAATAGATTTTGGCTCGGAGATGGGATAACGGTTCCCGTAGAAGAAGCTGACGAGGCCGAAGACGAATCGTCGTCAAAATGTTCCGGAAGCTCGGGGACATGGCCGGTCTCTTCTTCTTCCCTTTCATCGAAACTCTCGGCAGGAAGAGCGCTCAAGCGATTCTTGGCCCAAGCTTTCTGAAGGTCACTCATTATGATAAACTTATGAGTGCCTGCAGATGCGAGAAGTATTTATTTTGTAGATAGGTGCCCAATCGTCCCATCAACGGAAGAGGTAAGAAGATAAGGATCAAGACTCCTTAACCGCAAGGCTATAGTTGATCAATGACCACATGAATTTTGTACAAGTCATAACTCGACTAACTGGTACATTTCACTTCCAGAATGTATGGGAAAGCGACGAAAGACGACGTATACGTGAAGTATGTATTTGGTAGAAAATGTCGAATGAAGAACGTTGAACATTGGAAGAACAAAGATCATGGTTGCGACTATTTCTCTGTGGCGGGGAAAGATCAAAATGTAGGTACCTAGCGTAGCATCACACTTCACTCATACCCGTGGACCTTACCTACATGTAGTGGTACATACCTACCTACCTAGCTGCCTGGGTACCCACACTGAAGCCTCTCTCTTTTCAGATTACCCCACTATTTCAATACTAGTAGGTATCTGATTGTCTCCATACCTACCTAGTAGTACCTACCTACTAGGTACATACATATATGTATGTATGTATGTATGTATGTAATTATAGCATTCGAGGTTATGATGAGCGTGGCGATTTTCTCTCATGGATTCATAGGTACCTACCTATGTAGTATACGCAGTCATCTAACTACTATACCAACTGTCGTTCTTAGAAGCCCTGATAAGGAACCCTTCATCTGGTAAGAAATGGTATCTGACATATCCTCAGCACTAGAAAGGATCGTACTTTCAATGGATTTCCGCTAAAAAAAAATCCTCAATCGATTCCATGGTAAATGCTTGCGCGATGGGTGTGGCATAATCGTAACTGCCTCGTGCATTTATCCTATATCCAAGGATAACGGGTCTAGCTCTTGCTCGCCATGTCCCCGGGCCCGGAAAACACTATAGAGAGATTTGCTCGTCGCCGGGTTTGCCCGTTATTCATAATAGTCCCGTATGGCCATTAAGACCCTCCCTTGAGGCATCGGGTATCACTCGCGTGTCGTGGAATTTGCTTTCGTGAGATGAATAATTGTCGAGGTATACACGCCAATTCATCATATCATAAGACGATAGGATGGTTAAGTCTCCTAGGCTCGAATGGGGCATTAAGAAGAAATGGTACTGGAGGCCTGCGGCTGGCTCTTAGTCTTCCACAAGACTGAACACACCGGAGCAAACCGGTACAAGGTAAATCGGTTATGGATGTGTTTTGGCTTCATATAATCTCTGCTGACTCCGATTCAACCAGCTTCTTCGCGTCGGCCCACCTCAGAATGACAACATCGCCGTTCTTCCCATTCATTTCACCATCGGCGTCCGTTCCGCGACCCTCGACAAGCGTATCCCTAAGTAGGCGAATGAATACAGCAGTATCAAGATCCGGGGTGTCGACCATGCTAATGTTTCCGGCAGTGTCGTTAAGGTTCTGAAGAGGTACAGGGAAAGATGACAGGAAAGAAGATAGGTAATGGTTATGGAGCAGGGCTTGATGACGTGTCGCATATGCCAATTCTGGCGGCGAGAGACGGGTCTGGAGCACAGGGCTAGAGAGATAATGCAGGGTGTGCTTATCGATCTAAAATGAATTCCTTTTAACACCAGTAACGGATAGGTAGAATGGCGTGTGGTCCTCTTACCTTAGCTATGCGGGCCCTTAGGTAGCCCCGTACCAGGTATTTGTAACGTTCGAGCTCGGTTTGTATAACGATTAATGCGAAATTAGTCTTGGGGTCCATATCACCAGTCATGTCTTCGATCTTTTCAATCTGCTGCTTAATGCGCTCGTTGATGCGCTCGAAGAGACTGTCGGTTGGCCAGCTGGAGGACACAGGTATTTATTAGTGTTGAGGCGTCAAGCATAGATGTAGAGAAATACGCATGGTGTCGCATACTCGAGTAGTTCGGGTGAGGATCTTTCTGCCATCCAAGCACGTGTTAGCGCCTGGAGATCGCGCGTTTCTTCTGGAATTGAGTCGAATGTAGGATCGACTTCTCGCAAGATATCGTCAATATCCATGGTTGATTTTATCTCGTTTTCCGATTTATATAATCGAGGAGAACTAATAATTGCGATCGATGCGATCGATTAGTTCGGATCGAATAGATTGAGCATTACGGGTGCAGATATTAAATTGTAACGCGTCAAAGGTTTAACTTCTTTGAAGTCGTGGGTATTGCGATGGTAGTGGGGTATTAATCGAAAACCATGTATGCATAATACCTACCTAACCGTACACAGTACAATGTTGTACCCGGGATCCAAATGCCAAGAGTATTAAATAGCGGGACGGTACAGAGTACTTCGTACCTACATATGGCTGTTCTATATGTAACAACATTGAAGGTACCTAATCAATTCCACTCCACGTACTTACATGTACCTACTTACCTACCTCGTATAGTACTATCGTCATAGCATATACCGTAGACATGTATTATGTTACATAAGCTTAGACGTTTATGTATTTCGTGCTATGACAATTCAATAATGACTTGAAAACGTCATATACTCGTCCATCCCGGTACATAACCCCAATAACGTATAAACCACAGTCATGGTTACAATGATCCGTATCGTTGGTATCAATCCGCAAGTCCCTAAGCCACATAGAAAATATTATATGGTTCCTATCCCTTCCCTTTATCCCAGTTACCGAATCTACTACCCAATAAATTCCGTGCTAACCAAAGTTTCCCAAGGTTTTTTGGTCTCCCATACCTTTTGCATTAGCCGGCGTGCATTATGTATCTGGACCCTGTTAGAATTAATGACCTAGAAGGTGTGCTCGTCTAACTTGCCTGTGTCATTCCGTGATTCTCGGCCGTTACGAACCTTTGAAGAATCAGGTCTCTCTGCCCTTTGTCCCTAGCGTCACATCCTGCAGTGAACATTGGGAATAGAAGACACGACTCTGCTGTTCCACCCAATCGAATGCGGCCAAAACATCCAATGATCTTTTGTACCGCCTTCTGCACAGTCCTGTCCTCAGACGGCTTCCCCATGATCCTACGGTAAAGATGGACTAGCCCAGCCCAATGAAACGCCTCATTTGTTGCCTCCATCTCCTGCCTGTCCCATTTCTCCACGTCGCCTTTCTTATGTATATGCTTACAAGGTACCGGGGATTGGACCATGCTCTCGGTAACAGCTTCCTCAATCTTTGAGGCCTGCTTGAATACTTCTTCGCTCGGCTCCCAGTTGTGCCGTATATTAAGATCATCTCCAATGCGCTCGATATCGCACTTACGGGCAAGATCAGCAATCTTGGCAAGAAGATAGATGCACCGTGTAGTGAATCCCATTATACAGTCTATCTCATCGTAACCGTCATCGATGTCATCCAATTCATAGTCGAATATCCAGGCCGATGAGGAACCTTTGGGGCCTCCACTAAGACTTCCGATGACATCAAGATATGCAGCCCAGCTCCATAGGAAGGAGCAGACCGGATCATGGCGGAAGTTAGATTGTAATCCGCGGAGACCGCCAGGGCGAGCGGTTATAAGTTCTCTCGCGAGGCCCAGATGCCTTTGCCACGAGATGTCATATCCGAATACTTTAGGTGAGATTATCTCAAGGGAAGCTAGCATAATAGCTGTTGCCAAGTTCGCATTGGAGAAATTCCTATTTGGGTCATCTAGGGCCTGCCGAAGGGCAGGGAATACGTCGTCCACCCAGTAGGCGATTCGAATTGTAGGTTCGGGATGATTCAAGACTCGTGCTCTGTGAGAAGCTGTGAAATTGGTTTAGGTCATGATTCTGGCACTGGCGCTATTGTCCTTCTTACCTGAATATGCTAGCAGAAGCGCTAAGAGGTTATCGTCCTTGACAGCCATCTGTGGGAGAATTATTCGAAAAGGGTTGGCATGTGGATCATCGTAAGGGACGAGGACTTCACAAAGGGTTAGTGCAGGATCAAGCAGCCATTAGGAAGCCAACTTACCTCGAGCTGTATGGTTCAAGAAATGGTGCTAATTGGAGAGAAGTAAGTAATATTCACAGCCTCGAGTTTGATGGAACGACTTACGAAATACTATTAGATGTTAGATGTGACCTGAAAAGGAAATTGAGGTTGAGACTACTTACAAGAAGGTTCATAGGATTATCTATGAGCCTGTTGGGATGTCAGCACTTGTTGTATAGTCGACATATCCTCTTTCCTGGTGAGTCCCGCTTACTTTGATGGAAGGGGCTCGAGATTTCGAGGTATATGTATTGATACCGGCTTTGAATAGTATCCACCCTCTTCGTCGTTAAACTCGTTAGTCTCTACCCCGAATCCAAATTCGGTCCAAACCGGATCGTCCCCTTGTTCGCTAAAAGGAGCGTCCGTAAACTCGCGCTGTAGTAACGGTGACGACCCACTAATTGCAATCATATCGTCATTCCTGCCCAGATCATGGTCCGGAAAACCTCTGTCAATTCCATGATAGGTAGTTCCTGTCGAGCCGCGCGCCCGGGTGTCTATCGGTGGAAGGCCAGTCCTTGGGCGGCCAGCGTTTTCATCTTGCAAGGCCTGAGGGCCAGGGGGCGCCGATAAAAGTGAGTTTACGGAAAGTCTCCGACTTGCGTGTCTTTGATCATCATCGCTATATGTAGACGACGTAGTAGGAGTTAGTGGAGAGCCAGCCGACAAGCCAGAGCCAAGTGCAAACCTGAAAGAGGCCACGCTAGAATCTAAAGTTGAACTCGCCGCGGAATTATGCCTATGCTCAATTAGTCGCGCCGATTGGGGATCAGGCGACTGATAATCCGACGTCAGCTTCATGCGCTTACTATTAGGCATAGAGGAAGAGTCTGTATCGTCAACACTCGTAGATGGTGAATTCTCTAAAGGGATTACGGGTTGGGGAAGTACTCTAGCCTTTGGCTGAGTTGCCGGACCGGTCAGGGGTTCAAGTCTCCGCGTTCCTGGGGCGTCAGATAGAGGATACTGGTGGACTAGCTTGAACCCTCTGGCGGGCAATGGCGGCGATAGAACTTCTCGGCCAAAGTCTATGACACCGGGTTCAGGTCGTTTTCCCCTTCGACCTTCCCAGTTCAAACGGATGCTATAGTCACATGTTTCGCCCGTCCTCTGACAACTTTTAAGCAGCAACCGTTAGCAGGTCACGGATAAGCTTCGCGAAATTGCGAATGTAAAGACGAAGTTTGAAAAAAAAAAAAAAAAAAAAAAAAAAAACATCAATACTGATGAAAAGTAATAAATAATAATAATAAATAATCATAATTATAGGGGGCATACTTTAAGCAATTTGGCCGTTCCTCGCCGCATTTGATTTTGCGGTTTTTACACGGCCTTGTAATTAAGTTAGCGTAATAGATCAACCAACGCAGGTAGATAGCATAGCATAACACAACGCAACAAGCGATGAGACGGATATGAGAAGAGAAGGTCAAACGGGGAAGTGAAACATACCAGCATCCATTTCGACTTCGCCGTTTCGGTTCAGGTGCGCCGGGTCTTTTCGGGCGTGGCATTATACGCCGGAGACTCCTGCCTAGAGAGACAATGAATGGCCTAAGTGTGGGAACTTGCACGAGCACAATATCCCTCGTTCCAGCGGCGACTGTGGCGCATATTCGACATGCAGGACTCTCGGCTTGAGAGGTAGTTTTTCTTCTCTTTTCTTCTTATTCTTCTTTTTTCTTGGGAAGGATTGTTACACTGCTCGCTGACCAATGCAGGAAGAGGAGGTGCGAAACTGAAGGATGGGACGAGATGGTACAGTTGCAGTCCCGAGGAGTCGGTTGCGAGAAGTATGGGTTGTATGGTAGGAGGGCGATTTTATGGATGGGATTGGGGATGGGGATGGGAATGGGGATGGATGGGATTGTGATTGATATATAGCCCTGCGCCTGTGGCCTTTCCTCTCTCGCGTGAGAAGTTTACAACAGAAACTTGTTGGACCGTCTATCTTTAGGTAGTCTAGCAATGCGAGAAGATAAGGTCGAGGACCAGGGGATGTGGACGTGGACGTGGACGTAGACGCGGTAGGAGTAGGAGTAGGAGTAGTGGCAGTGGTAGTGGTAGTGGTAGTGTTAGTGATAGTGATAGTGGTAGTGGTAAGCGCACATCCTGCAAGAAACCCCAACCACATGCGATGTCTAGAATTGGTCAAGCTCCTTTCTGCATTGAAACCGAGGAACACCTGGGATGGTTACGTGGGCCACGAAATATCAATTATTAGTGGTGGTATTGGTGGTGGTAGTAGTGATAATGGTGGAAATATCATTTGTAGTTGGCCTACTCTTGGTCCCGGTGACTAGGGACTCATGCGAGAAAGCGAGGAAAAAGAAGGAAGAAAAGAAAGGGCTAGCGCATAATTGCTACACAGCTATAACACAGTCTAAATGATATCCAATCCACACTATGACTATACTAGAACCCCGTATACACGTGCTACCCCGCTTTCCGCTTCACGCAAGACGGAGGCGCTGACTGGCTGGAGAGTTTAGGTAGTATGCTGTTATATCCGATCAACACCCGTAGCTCGATTTCGTGCTGGTATTGTACAATAGTACAAAATACAATAGTATTACTTACTATGCTAATAGTAATTCGATCAGGTTTAGCGATATCGTCCATCGCACATCGCACATCGCACATCGCACGTACGCATGGCGCTAATATGATCTGTGCTTGTTGGAGCACACTACTACATAGGTACTATCGGAAGTACGGTACCTACATAGTACACTATGCTCATCTATCATATTTTCGAATCGTGGGGCTCTAAGGCTGCGATACCGCCAGACTGTTAAGGTTTCGGAAGCGGATGCGGCAGCTCTGCGGTAGGGAACGGTTCACAAGGGGTTGTAGTGATTAAATACATACGTAGGTACCTAGTACATGCATTGTACATATGTACCTAGTAGTAGCTACACAGTACATGTGTCTGATAGCATTGTACTACATAGTAGGCATGTATTATGTGGAGGTGTGCTGTAAGTAGGTACTTGAATACATTTAGAGTACGTCCGTGACGTACCGTCGGATGTCATAAATGCCGATGACCTTAGAAAGTTTCCCGGGTATTAGGTACTTCACTAAAATGTTTAGGTGAACCTTGAAAGCTTGTGCAATACGCGACGCGACGTTAAGCCTAAAAAATTGAGCTATCTTATGAAGTAGCTTCCATTTTCAACAACTCCCACTACCTAATAGACATGCAGGATGACGAAACGCCCTCTCCTTTTCAATTTTATTCATTATTAAATCGTCAATTAAAGGACTAGCTTTTCAAATCCTTTAAACATTGCACATACCACACCTTCGTCTTCTTTCCAACAAGCTAATCTATCATCGCGACAGCACAAGACGATTCCAGGTACGGAATGGCCGAAGCAAGCAATAAGAGAAGTCATTCCGACTTTGCGGATAATAACAGCGATGGTAGAAAACCTTGACACTCTTTTAGTAGAAGTTTCATTAACAACTAGGTTTAGACAGTTCCTCAGATGATGATATGGGACCTCAACTGCCCTCTTCGGCATCGGCACCTAAGAAGAAACGGCGAAGACTACCACACGAGAAGCTATACGTTGAAGCACTTCCGAAATCAGCACGATATTACAAGTCTTTAATGCATAAAGAACAATTATCATTTGTGAATGTCACACGATCTGATTTTCTAATCACCACTTCTACCGATGGGGTAGTTAAGTTCTGGAAGAAGATGGCACAAGGGATTGAATTCGTAAAGGAGTTCAAAGCCCATCAAGGCGATATACGGTCCGTCTCTGTCAGCCAGGATGGTCGAAGCTTTGTAACAGCAGGAGTAGACAAGAGCATCAAGATATTTGATGTTGTCACCTTCGATCTCCTTGCGATGTTGACTCTCGACTATGCACCCAAATGTGTCTGCTGGGTGCATCAACTCGGCGCATCTCTACCGCTTCTGGCTGTTTCGGACGATTCGAGACCCTTGATTTATATATATGATGGCAGAGGAGAAAATCAAACCCCCATACACATAATCAAGAACTTGCACAGGAATCCCGTATCAATAATGGCCTTCAACGATGCCTACGACTGCGTGGTATCTGCTGATGACAACGGGATGCTTGAATACTGGTCCCCGAGTGCCAATTATGAGAAACCGGAAAACGTGTTCCAATACAAAAGCTCTACCAGCCTCTTCGATTTCAAGAAGGCGAAGTCGACCCCGGTTTCTCTGACTATGTCTCCTTCAGGCCACCAGTTTGTCACATTCTCCATACCCGATCGAAAAATTCGGGTTTTCGAATTTGCGTCCGCCAAACTGTACCGGACATATGACGAGTCGTTACAGGTCATTGAAGAGATGCAACGAGCTGGAACGGCCATGCAAAAGTTAGATGGTGTTGATTTCGGAAGAAGACTTGCTGCGGAGCGCGATATCGAATCCGCTTCAATTCAAAATAAGGTCAACGTCATCTTCGACGAGTCGGGTCATTTCATTTTGTATGGTTCCATATTCGGCGTCAAAGTCTTGAATACCTTTACAAATCAGGTTGTGAAGGTGTACGGAAAAGATGAACATATCCGCCCTGTCAATCTAGCTCTGTATCAAGGGCAGCCCCAGAAAAAAGGAGTCACGACTGTGGCGATGGCAGCTTCAAGTAACCCTCTTCTACAAGAATCAGAGACGAGAGATCCGATACTCTTCGCGACGGCAGTTGGGAAAGTTCGGTTCTATATGTTTACGAACGACGAAGAAATATCTAGGTCCGAAAGAGATGTTCAAAACGAGAAACCAACCGTATTAAACCCTAAAAAGACAGTCGAAAAGAAGACGAGCGAGACTGGTACGGCAGCTGTCCTCCACACGACGTATGGAGATATCCACATCCGGCTCTTTCCGGATGCCGCACCAAAGGCCGTCGAGAATTTTGTGACCCACTCAAGACGTGGCTACTATAACAACACCGTCTTCCATAGAGTAATACGCAAATTCATGATCCAAGGAGGTGATCCCCTGGGTGACGGGACAGGTGGCGAAAGTATATGGGGTAAGGAATTTGAGGATGAGTTCAGTACTCTCAGACACGACAAGCCCTACACTGTCAGCATGGCGAACGCTGGTCCGAATACGAACGGAAGCCAGTTCTTCATAACCACAGAAAAGACACCATGGCTGGATAACAAGCACACGGTGTTCGGAAGAGCGGTACAGGGATTAGACGTTATTCACAAGATAGAGAATGTACGGACCCATAAGGAAAAGCCAGAGGAAGATATTAAGATCCTCAATGTCGATATAGTATAATAAGTACTTACCCATAGTTCGGTGATACATACTGATATCAAAAGCTTGACTTGGTCGCGGAGTTATGAATCCGAACATCAAGCTAAATCACGAATGTGTAGAGTATATCATAAAAGAGACGAGCAACGAGTTCAATCCAACCTAATTCTTCTCATCGCTACTTTGATATTCTCCGAGGTGCCGAGATGGTTGATGTGTATTTATGTACATACATACATCTAAAACATGTGTGGTCCCACAAGTTTTAGCAACAGCTGGACCAGTAGATAGCGCTATCGGTACCTGGGACCCTGGGTTGATGCCGGACGTACCGGATAGTACATCCACAATACCACACATATGTATGTACCTAGTAATAGGTGCATACCTAAAATACAGTCTGACCTAATTACCTCCTTTCCTTCCAAGTTTTTCCCATAAGGTCAAGTACTTTATTTTGTTGCTATTCAATCTTTGGCTGCATTTCCCTTAATACTACATATATGAACCGTCATTTAGTGTAAAGGGGAAATTGGAAGATCTGGTTACATCACATCATCGTTCATTTTGTCAGCTAAAAATGGCCACTCTAACTCGTCATCCGCTCCAGAGGATCGCGTCCCCGTCTAGACAAGTTTCCATATTACTTCACTTGGTGGGAATATTGTCGTTTATAGCCTCTTTCAGGTTTCTCTTCACGTGGGAAACTCCAATGTCAGCCGCATTTGGCGGACACTTCCAGTTTCTTACGATTATCGGGCTAACTCTTGCGTTATGCACATACGTTGTCGGTTTCCTGGCTGATGTTACTCTCTCCTCGCGGCTATTCAAACTTAAGAATGTGCTCTCCATATGCTCGACGCCATTGGAGGTATTGATTAGCATTCTTTACTGGGGACTCTGCGCAATCGACAAAAGCCTCGTTTTTCCACCGGAGTTCCAGCTAGACTTTCTTCCAGACTTCGGCTTTCATGCGGCACCCGCACTATTCCTAACGATAGATCTGCTGCTTCTTAGTCCGCCGTGGACTATACATCGCTATTCGGCGTTAGCTCTAAGCGAATGCTTGGCGTTCCTATACTGGTTTTGGGTTGAGTATTGTTTCTCCCACAACGGCTGGTAAGAAGATCCTTTGTTGTTCCGTATGTCCTTAAAAAGAGCTTTGTTGGTTCCTAACCTCTTCAAAGGTATCCATATCCCATCTTTGATATCCTAAGCACATGGCAGCGCTCGCTTCTTTTTACATTCTCTGCGTTTCTAATGACCGGGAGTACGATGCTGTTGAAGTGGGCGTATGGAAGAATAAATGACACCAAGAAATTTAAGAAAGAAGTCTAGGATTGGTACGTATCAACGTTCGATATGATATTCAAGCATGCAGATCACGGGCTCAAACAATTACATCCATGATATATACAGGTCCCAGTATGTCGGACCGGCCGAGGTTTGAAAGAGAATTATGATAATGGATTAGATATGCTACTCCTAGCATATTTAATTTTTTGACAAAAGTTTCTTTGATTGTGTATGTACCTACCTAAGTAGGCATAATAAAGCTGGAACAAGGGATCAGCTCAACATAACTACCTACATAGTATCATATGTTTGTAAGTGAATTCGATCCTGTCAATTCACGCACGTTTTCTGTATTGTAGGAAAGCGCGAGATGTCAAATCGGGTACCTTACATTCGACCAAACTATATGTAATTATCAGAGAACTTACATGTGCCTAGGTAGGTACATATGTAATCCTGAACTTGGAAGCTACCTATACAACGTATAGCTCCGGACCCCTGCCGAGCCGTTGCGGTGTGACCCCGCCATCGGAGCAGGTACCCCCTCGGAGTTTCATTGAAAATTCATCAATTCATATAATTGACCCACCCCCACTATGACTCTTTGAGTGGGCTAATTTTTTTTTAGAACCGAAAAGGTAGATCCGTCTCTTTGCGATCTCTTTGCGACAAAAGACACTCAATCGATTACGTTGCCTCCAGTTAACCAATTGTCTGTCAACAGTTCATTTTATCCAAATTGACTAGATTACAGCAGACAAGAGATCAGAGTCGCTCTGGAACGTCGCCATCATGTCCGTAAGTGTACCCGAACGTAATATCCTAAGGATGAACTTGAACCATTGACTGACTTGTATTTTCTTATCCACTAGAGCTTCTACATCGAGAATAAGAACGTAGGCAACAAACTCGACAGCGAAGATTGGAGGAGTAGGCATTGACCCCGGAGCAAGGAAGACGACCAAGGGGCTAATTAGTCTCTTAGTTCGCGGTTACAATCCCCTAACACCCCCTGATCTTCTCCAACACGAGATTCCACAGACTGTCAGGTCGAAAAGAACGGTGCTCTCGAGCCGCGAAGAGGTGGTGGCCGTGGTAAATGGCACAGACGAGAAACAGAGACTGCTGGTGATTATTGGTCCATGTTCCATACACGATCCAAAATCTGCCCTCGAATACTGCGATCTTCTATTGAAGGAAAAGGAGAAACATCAAGATGAGTTGCTTATTGTCATGCGAGCTTACCTCGAGAAACCAAGAACGACGGTGGGCTGGAAAGGTTTAATTAACGATCCGGATATTGACAACAGCTTCAACATCAACAAGGGGCTGCGAATGTCGAGACAGCTTTTTGTCGACCTTACGGACAAAGGAATGCCGATTGCTAGCGAAATGTTGGATACCATCTCGCCACAGTTTCTTGCGGACGTCCTTTCGGCCGGAGCAGTAGGTGCGCGAACAACTGAGAGTCAACTGCACCGAGAGCTGGCGAGTGGCCTCTCATTCCCAGTAGGGTTCAAAAATGGTACGGACGGCACGCTGAGAGTCGCAATTGATGCAATCGGCGCCGTTAGACATCCCCACCACTTCCTTTCTGTCACCAAACCCGGAGTTGTAGCCATCGTTGGCACTGTCGGGAACGAGGACTGCTATGTAATCTTACGCGGCGGAAGTCGTGGTACTAATTTTGACTCGAAGAGCATTGCAGAAGCTAAGACAGCCCTGGCAAAGTCTGGTCTGCGACAGCGACTCATGGTAGATTGCAGTCATGGAAACTCGCTAAAAAACCACAACAACCAACCCTTGGTTGCCGCCGAATTGGCAGGGCAGATCTCCAAAGGAGAGGACGGAATCATGGGCGTCATGATTGAAAGTAACATCAACGAAGGTAGGTGATCCTGAAAGGCCTAAATACGTTGGTCGGGTCGCTAATTATGTTCCCTGCAGGCAGCCAGAAGGTGCCACAAGAAGGGAAGGCTGGCTTACAGTACGGCGTCAGCATCACGGATGCTTGCATTGGATGGCAAGACACTGTCGCAGTTCTTGACGGTCTTGCCAATGCCGTTAAGGAGAGGAGAAGGGTCACTGGTATAAATGGCTTTCAGTGAACCAATATTCCGTCATTCTTAAAAGGCATGGAGTAATTATGGTCAATTGTAATAAAAGGAAATTAATTCAAAAGATATCCGAATCTGCAAAGAAAAGGAATGGAAGGGAAAAGGCTATTTCTATGTTAAGATTATTATTTTTTTCATAAGTGAGGAAAATGGACTTGTCCTCGGCAATATAAAAACCACCAACGTTGAACTACACTACTAGGTTCAAGGTTCCATGATGTTTCCTTTTATCCATTGTCTTAGGTAAGAGGTAAACTTAAATCATGCCGTAATATGCCGTATGATTTCAAAGTTAAAAGTTATTAGTGGTTTTTGTCACGTGAATAGTGGATTTATTCGATGAAGCTAACCTCGGCCAATAGGATGCACCTATTTCCAATTGCTTCAAGGTCTGAGCACTTTTTCATATTCAACCTTGTGCTGCTTGCGTAAATTGGTTCGACCTCTCCAAACCCCAACGAACAAAAGCCTCAATTGACTTGTCAACCTACCCGTCGCACCTCCCACGAACGGGTAGAACCTCGCCCTCTATGTTGGCAAGATCTTGCCTGCGCTCTACGCGCATTCTCAACGGTGCCAGAAATGGCGCGACCGCTTTCACCAAGGTACCCTCCGACTCCCACCACTCACTGGCCCGAGTTCCGCCCAATGACTTCGACTACGATGACTATGATCACCATGTGTACTATGTAGCCGAAGAGATAATGAACTAGGTAGCTAATTATTGTGAACTTATAGCGATCTATCTCGTCGTCGAGCTCCGGAGCCTCTACCGAATCTCCGATGAAACTAAACATAGCCGCCGCGGCCTCAACAACTCTCGCTATCGGATCTGTTGCGTGGTACTATCACCTCTACGGACCCACCGCTCACGCAATGACGCCTGCTGAAGAAGGGTGAGTTTATTACTCTTTGATTCGACATCGAAGGGCAGATCGGAGTTGCCCGCTTCCCGTGTCCTAGCTCTATAAATCTAATACGTTAAAAATTAGTTTACACCCACCAGCCTACCCGTGGGTTCATGAACAGTGGTTAAAAACTTTCGACCACCAAGCGTAAGTCTCACCAACTCGTTTCTCTCCCCCCTTCCCCCATGTCTGACGGGTTATCAGGCTTCGTCGAGGCTTCCAGGTGTACCGTGAAGTCTGCGCAGCATGTCATTCACTCAGTCGAGTTCCTTACCGAACGCTCGTCGGAACTGTCCTGACGGTGGATGAGGCGAAAGCATTGGCCGAGGAGAATGAATATGATACCGAACCCAACGACGAGGGAGAGATCGAGAAACGTCCCGGAAAGCTATCTGACTACATTCCTGCCCCATATAAGAATGACGAGGCGGCCCGAGCTGCCAACAACGGTGCCCTTCCTCCCGATCTCAGCTTAATTATCAAAGGGCGTCACGGCGGATGTAACTATATCTTCAGCTTATTGACCGGATATCCCGAGGAACCTCCCGCAGGTGCTCAGGTGGGTGCCGGTTTAAATTTCAACCCTTACTTTCCGGGTACGGGTATCGCTATGGCCCGTGTTTTATACGACGGACTAGTGGAGTATGAGGATGAAACTCCAGCGTCTACATCGCAGATGGCCAAAGATGTGGTAGAATTCCTCAACTGGGCGGCAGAACCTGAGATGGACGACCGAAAGCGGATGGGGTTGAAGGTACTGACTGTCACTACTGTCCTATTCGCTCTAAGCGTGTGGGTTAAGCGATACAAGTGGGCGACGCTCAAGTCGAGGAAGATTGTCTACGACCCGCCCAAGGCATCTAATAATATCCGTACGTAAAGGCGCCCGCTGCTGTATGTACTACTAAGTTACTCTACCGCATCGCTCCTTTGTCATGGCAAGAGGGAGAGAGGAAAAAGGACGTGAGGCTAACCAAGGGGTCGGAATAATCCTGAGTCGCAACTCTAGAGTGTATATCAAGTTCCTAAATTTTAGACGTTCACAGAAGATTACTTGACAGTACCTAGTACGTGGGGCGACTTGACACTTGACGGAATGAACCGTACCTGAGAGAGGATGTTCTCTCCCCTAACCTTGGAACTGGATTAACTTTTTTACCCCGTTACCCAGGTATATAGATAGGTGTAAATATGTTTAACGGCGGTGCAGGTATTGAGAGTTACTAGGCAAAAAGGCACATCAATATTCATACTTACTACTATGTACCTACCTAGTAGTAGGTAATTGAAGGTTATATCTGATAGGCAGGTACACACATACTTGCGCACGCGTGGTACTACTTTCTAGGTACGTATACGTACTAGGTATGTCTAGTACATACCCATATGCGCCACACGAGCTTGACGAGCTTTTCTGAGAAGGTTGGAAGGTACTACCTAAGTACTATGTAGATATTGTGTCAGGGAAGTCACTTCCAGTTCGGCCACCCCAACTTCCATCAGCCTGCCACCTATATGTACTATCACCTTAATAAGGCACCTAGGTAATCTTCTTTTTTATATGCTACTAGGTAGGTGGTTAGTGGTTACATGCCTCCCTAGGTATGCACCTAGGGACCTAAGTATTGTTTGACAATAGCTACATGTATACGGGCTACGTTGAGTTTTTACCTTTTCACTGAGTAGTACCTACCTAGTAGTAGGTATTATCAGGTACCTAGCAGGTGCATACGGATCATGCTGAATACACCAAATAAAATGTTAATAATACGATCCACAACAACCTACTAGGTCGGCATTTCTCACAAATATAGATTTCCAAGGTTGCCAACTCAGCCATCTCAATCAGCTTTTAATTACTACGATACCAAACTCACTTCTCGAACCCGACAAAACTCTTGAAATGCCCGCAACCAGTGCCTGAACATTTCACACACACACACACACACCTACCTAGGTATATACGCAATCATTCCTACGTATACCTAATATCACCATCATATCACTACCATTGATCTTAGTTGAGTTACGGTGACGATGGATTGGATGTGGCAAGAGTATCAAGCCACGGTGGATAAGATGTCTCACAATCAATTAGCTGACGACTTCCTATTCGGCTTCGAAATCGGAAATGACTTCCAGCGATGGTACGTCGCAGATTTAATTACTAGCGGCTATGTGCCTGAGGATGACATGAACACTTTGACCCACCTCAGCTTGATGCGTGGTTTCGAGGAGCTTGACCAGCTGGTCTCCTGTGCAAGTTCAATGAGAGGGAAGGCATCTTTCGATAACCCCCTTGATGGACAAGACACTCTCACCTTCATTTCCAAGATTCTCCACCCGGTTAGCTCATTGGGCGAGCGATCTAGTGCGCTACAAACACCTCACCAGCATGCCAAAAATTTCAGGCAGAAGTTGGATGACTGTCGCGGTAAGATAGAATTAGGTCAAGCCGCTGTGAAGCGCGGAAAGGATAAGCAGTCACCATTTTGGTCCACCCTTAACGCGGAGTCATCTCAGAAACAGGTGGTTCAGTCAGCAGATGACCTGAGGCAACGAGAGAAGAAGATGACGAAGGGGAGAAGGAAATCGAGAAAAAAGAATATCAGAAAAAGAACGAAAACCCAGAAAGTTAGAGGAGAGGACAATAAGAATGATATTTCGTCTCACGCCTTACCTACGCGTCCAGTCCTCCGTGAAGCGACTCGTCATCGAAGCAATAAAGTACTTGAAGATCCCAGTATTCCTTTAAAACGGCACCACTCATAGATAGCCAGGCGTCTGTGAGTGGTTTCAATGTCCTGCGCGAAATCTCCTTGTCACTCGCGTCTACAAATACAGAAGTAAGAGGGTCATTACAGTGCCGACAGTCTCCGCTGAGAGATTTCAACGACGGTGGAACGGTGTCGAATACGATTGGATCGGATTCAGACCTGCCGCATGAAGGTGGCAGCCTGGATAAAATTAAATCGGCAACTGGAAAGGAAGAAAGGATATGTTCCGTATCTCAAGCCCAGAACCAAACACCAAAACGCACAGCAAAATCACCATACTTCAATACCGAGGACGCATCTCCTTCCCGGGGAAAAGTTGCCCGTCCCCTTCGTGGGACAGTCTCATGTATCCCCTTTCCGCGACTGGATGCCCCGAAATTTGGCTTGATTCAGGAAGACCTCGCGACCGACCCCTTTCGCCTCCTCATAGCTGTTACCTTCCTGATCCGCGTCAAAGGGAAACACGCATTGCCAGTATTCCACGAGCTCATGAGTATATATCCAACGCCAGAAGACTTAGCGGAGGCTAATGCGGACGACATTATAAAGACGATCAAACACCTCGGGCTTGCAATAGTCAGGACCACTGCAATCCAAAAGTATGCACGCATTTGGATAGATAACCCGCCTAGAGCTGATGTCCGATATGACGTGAAGAACTATCCCGGACCTAGCAGGGCCGATATACGGATGAACGAGGGTGAATCATTAAGTTCTATCAGCAAAAGGCTCCCAGCTTGGGAGATTGGCCACATGACGCAAGGTAGGTATGCTATCGACAGCTGGAGAATATTTTGTAGGGATGTCCTACTTGGACGAGCGGAGGATTGGAGGGGCAAAGGGCGAGAAGGAGAATTCCAACCTGAGTGGATGCGGGTGCTGCCGGAAGATAAAGAACTCCGGGCTTGCCTTAGATGGCTCTGGATGCAAGAAGGCTGGACATGGGATCCGAGAACTGGGGATCGAGAGGTTCTATCAGAAGACCTGCGGAAAGCAGTTGATGAGGGCAGGGTTGCTTATGGTGATGCCGGAGAACTAAAAATCGTCGACAAGTGAGGTTTATGTTTGCCCAACCCTCCTTAGCATATCGCATGGCTGTCTATAAATGGCCAATACTATATAAAATAAGTCAGCACTAGCTATTTAACAAACTGAAAGTCTAGCATATTTAGGCTATACTAGAAGTAACGACGTAATCAATGTAATGCGTGGGTCAAAATATACTTTAAGTATTTATACTTATATCGACATGATGTGGAAATCCATCTACCTACCTAGGCACTTAATCTTCCTTATCCTCCATTAACCCCTTAGACGCCTCTCTCTTAACGATAGCTTCGAGAATCAGCGCGGTCTTGCGATCATGGATCTCATCAAGGACAGCTGAAGCGCTCATCCAGGCGGCAATCAAGTTCCCCTGGCGCGCGAACGAGGTCCTCCACCAATGCTCAGAACGTAGTTGGCTCTTCCGTAGGTGCTGATAGCCCTGCCAGGGGAAATTGTAGGCTAGGTGCAATTGCATTAGAACCGGGTGTTCATCCAGGGATGACAACGCCTGGCGAAGGCATTGCTGGTAGTAGTGTATCGAGCCGCCCACGAAGCCGACACACGATCCAAGGAGGAAGCCTAGGCCACCACCACCAGTGAGGATACCTAATGCAGCGGCGGTGGCTAGGCCCAGTAGTGCCTATTTGTAGGTTAGCGAGTAATAATATTACAGAGATCAAAAACATGATATTTCTTTGATGAAAGGAGTTCGTCAGGAGGATACGGACTGCTGTTGAGGACGCAACAAACATAGAGCGGAACATGTAGAGACCGTGGCCACTTTTAGTAGACCATGTTAGCCACTTCCAATAGATACCATTAACTACCTACCTACCTAGGTCTACTCCAATTTCCAATAGTCCGTAGTAGCTGGCTAACATGGCTCCCGACGTGGGTTGCAGTGCTGACTTCGTAGTCAACCTGAAGAAAAGCGAATTTCTATGTCAGTGCTGGCTTTCCTTGATTGAGTCTCGGGGATGTTCCTACCATATCTATTCAAACAATTTGTTCGTTGATTTATCGCTTGTCTTTTCTCTTCCTTTCTCTTCCTTTCTCTTCCTTTCTTCTCCCCTTTCCCTTTTCCTTTTTTTAAGAAATTTTTTTTGACTTTGTTATAAGATTGCGGAAGGGGAGAGGAAAAAAAAAAAAAAAAGAGGGTTTACATCCATGGATATGTACATAGGATGTAGCCCTGAGGTATTCGATTTTATCCCTTGCTACGGTAGGTACATGCCTGCTAGCTAGGTACCTAGTAGGTATGTAGGTAAGTACTAGGTAGCTACAAGTACAGGTGCTACGATGCACTGTAGACAGCCCTGGAGCACCAACTTGAACTGATCCATAGCATAAAGTTACCCCCTATTGTTTAATGGCTATGTAGGTGCCTAGGTACCTGGGTATGGATGTCAGCGCCGCTAAGCACTGTCAAATCAACTTCAATCTTACATCATTAGCTCTTCATTCAACAGCTCCGATTCTTCCCACGGTCGTCTCTAAAACTGTACTGCAATGCAGAATATGCATTAGGTTTACCAATAAATAAATACCGTGACCGAAAACGGCAGCTTCTCACGTTAGCTGGGCTCGATTTTATAGGGGTTCTGGTATTGACAAAGACCGGGGTAATCTGCAACCTCCAACGCAATAAAAGCACAAACATCTATAATGACACCTTAGGTGCCCTTCATACTGGACCATTTCAGCCTAACGTCAGATTGATTAGTAGGTCGATATGGGTCCATAACGGAGGGTCGGGCGTTATACATACATACCATATAAGCCATACAGACCACGAGACAGTCACGAGCTGTCTCTCTCGAACTGAAGACGAGAACGTCTAACGTTCAACGAGAAGACAAGTTTGCCCCGCAACATCTGGGATCCAGATACACAATCCATTTAGTATCCATACATTGGCAATTATTACAGTCACTTGATCTTGTTTTCCTCTCTCTCCTCTTCTTCTTCTTCTTTGGACGTCATTCCCAACCCTGTCAATTATTCTCCCCGATGCGCCGTCAATAGGCGAGTGATGGGTTCTCTTGAAACTTCCAAGGATGAATTGACCGTATTGGTCACCGGCTTCGGGGTACGTTGCCCACAACATGCCATCACGCGGTATTCGGTATTCTCATCCTTCCCGGATATCTCGGCTAATTTTGTATAGCCTTTCAAGGTGCAATATCCCGTGAATCCGGCTTGGGAGATCACCGCATCCTTGCCGGATTACCTGCCTCCCTACCGGGTAAGGGAAACCGCCCGTCAAACCACGCCAAGCTTGCCTCCGGTTAGGATTTTAAAGGAGGGGCCGGTCCGCGTCAGCTATGAAGTCGCCAGGGAGTTGGTTCCCACACTTTGGGACGACCCAAAACAGAAAATCGATTATGTCATCCATATAGGAATGGCAGGCCCGCAACCGGTCTATTCCATCGAGAGGCGCGGGCATCGCGATGGATACGACAAACCTGATGTCGACGGCCAGCTTCTCGGGGATGAGCAGAAGCGCAAACGGGAGGGCGACAAATGGATATGGCAGTCAGTAAAGCCAACCTATTAGGCGCCTAGGATACGACGATTACTAACCCTATCTATCATAGCGATATCCCATCAGAACTATTGACTGACCTGGACATCGAAAATATATACAAAAGATGGGTTGATAGTAGCCCGGTAGGAGTTTCTATTCCCATCCCCTCGCTCGATCGGTGCTGACACATAGTACCATACGAAGGACAATCTCAGGCTACAGCTTTCCGAGGATGCTGGGCACTATCTATGCGACTTCATCTACTTCTCAAGCTTAGCTCATCTGTACAAGCAGCGGAGGCCTAGGAAGGTAATATTCTTTCACGTTCCCTTGAATCCGGACGAAGAGTCTCTCAGACGCGGAAAAGAGCTTGCCTTGCAATTAATTAGGTCAGTGTGTGAGGTTGGGTTCACAAAGGGACCCGTCGCTTAGAGTAATGTTCTCGGCGAGAAAATACTAGCCTGTGATATAGGATGTCATATATTTGTGCCTGACAGCAGCAATATATTTATATATACCTACTTATCTATAAGTCGATACCTATGCAACTTGTTTTACTTATCACTTCGAGGAAATATTATCAAAAAAAAAAAAAAAAAAAAAAAAAAAAAACGAGCTAGTTCTAGAATGAGTCATTCGAGGTGGTTTTCTAAAAACAAAACGAAGCGCAGCTTGTGCCGCTGTTATATTAAGTTTCAAGCAAAGCTACCTGCCTACGTAACGCTTCATAAAATATACACCTCGCTTCTTTGTCTCTAAATATGTATTTTAATCCTCAGTCCATGTACTCTTCTTGCGAAGTTCAAGTTTGTTTAATTGGTCTAGAAAACTGCGTGGCAGCTGTTGGCTTTTCCTGTCTTCGCATTGTAGGATAATATTTGAAGTCTTGACATATTGGTCACTAAAACTGTCCCAGACGCGTTTCTGTGTGGCATTCCGTGAATAACGCTTGGGAAGGTAAACACTGCCGAACACGGCAGCCTGGACTGCCTGAGAGACACCTGCAAAATCCATCGTAATGGGCTGGACTTGGTCGAAATTTAGCATCCATAGCACGGTCCTCCTACACAAAAAGTGCTCGATAACCCGAGATTTCGGGCCAGTATAGGTGGAAGGCTCCATCTCCTCGATGTCTAGATATCTCAGGGGCGAAGGCTTACTCGAACCACCCAAGACAAATTGCACACCCCAGGCATCAACACTAGCAGCCCAGTGCATGACAGCCAACGCCTGGCCGACTCGAGAAGCCATGCTATCAACGTCCAAGCCCATATCTATCATCTGGTTGAGATGTAGCTCGAAGTTTCTAAGGGAGAATGGCGTTTCTCCGATTTTTCCCTCCATAGAGCCAAGATAAATCTTCACGAGACAGTCATTGTTCTTAGGATCAGCTACTGCCCTAAGTCTAAGTCTTGGGGCACAGTATTGGTTGATGAGGGCAGTCCTTGTCTCGTCATCCAGGGGTGGGATCCGCTCGGAAACGAGAATATCCGTAGGGATATCGCAGACACGTCGAGCAGCCTCGACTAAACCTGGGTTCTTGTCGAAGAACGTAAGGTCCTCTGCCGGAACGAAAAAATAACACCTGGGTACCATTACATCGACTGTGCGGCGTTTGATCTCTTCGTAAATAAGGGTATGCATCACGTAATCGTTCCATTGGCCAAATCTCGATTCTTTGGAAATTTTTATAGCAAGTGACCTCCCTTTTAGTGTGAATACAGCGCTGCATCCTCCCTCTCCAATCTGTTTGAAGGATTGGGCACTTGGAGTGGTTTCTTGTCCATCGACCTTTGACGAGGGGGAGTGTATGGAGTCGTCAAGTGAGAGGTGAAGCACCTTTTTTAACATATTCTTAAACTCTGGGTCGCGGTCGTTGTCGATTTCCATAGAGGAGGCTGGTGGAGTCATTTTGAAGTGCCCAATGTGTTAGATGTATGGGTACCTAGTATCTCGATTAAAATATGTTATCCGAGAAACAAACGACTATTTACATCCATAGTGCAATAGGTCCTAAAAGAAGGCTATGTATTGATGATGTCGTAGAATTTGTAGTGAAATGACCTTTGACTTGTAAATGTATATTTTTGGGTTTAATATACCTACCTATTCCTACCAGTCGTAGTGCCTCTACCATATTCTCCGAGTGTACCTTCCAGACACGAGAATGATCCATGGATACTATGTAGATACCTGCTTACCTACTGGTGGACATATCATGGATGTAGGTACCTGCTTACATATTCATCAAGGAGAGTAGGCAGTTGCAATGGCTCACAACTTACACGCGTATAGCATCTAGCATACTATCAAGGCTGTAGCTACTTAGGTAGTTAAACGTACTACCGGGTACCCGGGTATAACCTTGAAACGATTCATGGTCTGTAGGTAGGTAGGTACCTAAGTAGGTTACTTGGAAGCATCACGCTAGCAAATTTGGTATGTACATATATGGTCCACTCTAACCTGCTAATTATATGTACGTAGATATTCGCCGACCAGCCGGCCTCTTACGCCGTCTACCCTTCGCCGATTCCTATTCCCCAACCAGTGCCACTCGGCGATATCGATCCCGCACCTTCACTATATAAATAGATAGAGATAACTCTGTCTCCTTTTAATGATTTCGAGCATATTCATCAAATCCCTGTCTGTTGGTCTGTATATTTACCAGTAGCCACCCCCACATAAAAAGTCACCACCTCCTCAATTTCTCAAAAACTCACTCAAGATGTGCATGAAGGCAACCTGTGGCACTTGCGGTACGTCGAGTATGAGGTCAGATCTATGATAATCTTAAGCATGTCTAAACTTTGACTCACTAGGTAAAACCACCTGGTTCGGCTGTGGAAACCATATCTCCTCCGTCCTCGACAACATTTCACCAGAAGACTGGTGTACCTGCGAACCCAAGGTCACTGTCAATGGCAAAGAATACCCTCCCAAGGGCCAAGTCTGAAAATAGGATGATATAATATTATTCGATTGAATCTGAGGGCCGATGGGGATTGGTGGGGTTCATACTTAAACGAGTTAAAAGATCAACGATGGATTGTTGACATTTAGGAGCTCAAATAATCTCTCGCTATAATTACGACTAGTACCTGGGCAGGTATCTATCAGCAGAATAAGCAAAAACATTGTTGGTCTGATAGGTTCACTTTTATTATTCAAGGTATCCGAGCTATCTATCGAAATGACCATAAACTATCACGTCGTTAGTAGTTACGCTGTAACGATGCCGTCTCTTTTCCTGTCATCAGTCATAAGTCAGTTCTATCTATGCATAAGTATATATCATCGCATTATCTCATCTAAATTCTCTGGCCCTTAGGCCACGCCGCTCTGTGGTACTGATTAGGCCACTTGACCTCCACACCTAGCTCCTGTGCCGCGCGCAAAACAAATTCTGGCTCGCGCAAGAACTGGCGGCCGATCAGCACCAGATCCGCCTGCGGTGCTTCGCCTTCCTGGACGATGCGCCGGGCCATTTCAGAGTTCGTGATGAGACCCACGGCTCCGATAAGCATCTCGACACCGTCCTTTCTCAGCTCGTCGCGGATCCGACCCGCGAAGTTGATCTGCGCGTAAGGGTGTATGACGAGCCTCTGTGCCGGGTTGTTGCCAGCGGAGCTGACGTCGAGCAGATCGATGCCTGCAGTCGGCAGTAGCTTGGCGAGCTGGAAGCTCTGCTCCATCGTCCAGCTGGGCTCGCCGGACCACTCCATCCACTCGGTGGCAGAGATCCGAAGGAACAGGGCCGCAGACTCGGGGATAACGTCACGGACCGCCTCGATGACCTCGAAGAGTAGGCGCGTGCGATTCTCGAAGCTGCCGCCGTACTGGTCCGTCCGCTTGTTGCTAGCCGGCGATAAGAACTCCGTGATCAGGTATCCGTGAGCGCCGTGGATCTCGATCACGTCGAACCCAGCCGCGATAGCTCTCTTGGCCGCATCCCTGAACGCCTGCACAACGGTCTTGATGTCCTCAGCCGTCATGGCCTTAGGCTCAGCGTAACCCTCGTTGAACTTGACAGCGCTTGGTGCCCATACGTTATCCGGCCAGCCGCCGTTCTCGGCGGTAACGACGACGCGACTCGAACCCTCAGGCATAAGCCACGGGGCGAAGGTGCTGGCTTTACGACCGGCATGGGCGAGCTGGATGCCGATCTTCTGACCCTGAGAGTGGGCAAAGTCGACGATGCGTTTTAACGGCACAATCTGGCTGTCCTCCCAGAGCCCGAGATCCTCGGGGCTAATGCGACCGTTGGGGGTAACGGCGGTGGCCTCGACAATGGTCAGGGCCGTGCCCCGCAGGATAAACTGCGACAAGTGGGCGAAGTGCCAATCGGTGGCGTGTCCATCGTCGGCGCTATACTGGCACATCGGGGCGACGACGAAGCGATTTTGCAGTTCAACACCCCGGATCTTTAGCGGCTTGAACAGGGTCGGGGCTGTGGCCTGATCCAACGCAGTTCCTGCGGGTGGGTCTTGGACAGGCGTGTAGAAGGGGACATTAGGGGCGCCCTTGTTCGTGACGGATGACATGACTTATGATCTCCTTGATAAGGTTGTGGGGGATCAACTAGGATCTTGACGATTGTATGTAGTACTATGCGGCGTGCTATTTGGCGGAGCTTACCGAGATGATAAGGGATTGTTATAAATTCGGTATCTTATAATCCGAAATAAGAAGTGTGTTTCTTTTCTTTCCCTGATTTCCTACAGAGGAAAATGTTACTCGGCTAGGGTTTACCTACATAGTACGCAAGGCCGGGATCATAACTCGGAGCATCATAAGCTTTTATATACAACAAAATGCAAGAAGTATTCGCATGGAAAGGTTAGAGGGGAAAAGAAGAGCCGGAATGATTAGATAAAATGCAAATTGACAAATTCAACCTTTCTATGCTGAATAATGTTAAAAGGTTTGGTGAAGTCGCCGGTAAGTCTCCGCTACCCGACTATATACCTCCTAGGTATATCCATAACGGAGCCGATGTGGCTCTTGAATACTACTATTAGGTAGGTACATGTAGAAAGTATGTGATGTTATCTTTTATGATTATCACGAAGTTATGTAGCGACATATGTACTTAGGTACCTGAATAGGAACATACATACATACTGGTATCAGTAGGCATATATTGTACATATTTGTACCTACGTAGGTACCTAGTAGGTAGGCATGCTTCAAGGTTTGAAACAGTTCGTTCACCAATCGCTCAAGTTACCGAGTTATCTCCCAATCCGTCCATCCCGTCCGTTTTTTCCAGATCGTACATAAAGTATCCACTCTCTATTAGGTACTCTCTTCCCCCCGTTTTACTGCGCTCTGTACTCTTACTTACATGACCGTCACCATGCCATCTTTTCTTCCATTGCATTACATTAGTGAATTTTCCGTCCACCTATCGTAAAAATTTATCTATCTACATAGCTTCTTTCTCCTAAACGCCGACGGCATTTAGCAGTTATATCTAGATTATGGGGCTCTAACGATTCATTCCGACCTATTGTATGCATGTGTACATCTTCCATCGACGTCAGCCTGTGTACCTGTATACATATGCCGCGACCCGCACCCAGTCGCCCAGGCAGTCAGGGGAGGGCAGATCGATCCTGATTTGTCACAATTCCACCCTTCCTCTAGATATGGAAAGATGCTAATTACTAGGTACCTACCTAGATATATCTGACCGCTCAGTGCGGTCTACAGCGTATACCTACCTAGTTTACACCTAGGCTGCTACTATGTAGGTCCAAGCTGTAACAGCACCACCGACCACACGAGATCGCAATCTCTCACCTCTCCCCAATACATACAGGGTCATTCCAGAATGTCTCACGAACCCTTTGAAATCCCTACAGCCCGTCGTTTCTTCTTCTTCAAGCCCTGCGACAGAAAAGCCGAAACGGGTATGGGGTCGTTAGTCTAAGCTGAGCCAGGAACACATCCCAGCCAGTTTCCCGCATCAAGGGGCTGAACCTGAAGCAGCCATTGAGATCCCGTCGTAAAATTCCCTGGCTCCTCCCCTCTTCCGCTAAGGCTCGACATGGCTGCACGGGACGAATACGCCTGTTCTCGTTTCGTCCCATGGTAGCCCCATGATACCGTAGGTTACCAATGATGCAACCAACTCTAACAGCCTCGACCTCCTCAGAGGCAGTAGTGTAGCAGCGTAGTAAGTATGTAGATGCGGCGGTGCGGGATGTCGTCGCTCCAAGTTTTAGCGAGGTGTTCGTGCTCCACCCGACCGATCACACGCTAGGAGAGCTCTTCCAACTCCTCGGGGCCTTGCCAAGAGGTTGCCTGGTTGAAACCCCTTCATTCATACTTCATCCATCTGTCCAGTTGCTCAGCCTCAACTTCCATTCGTTTTAACAAGTGAAGGGCTGGCTCTTTTCACTTCTTATCTACACTGACCCTAGTCGCTTCGCTTGATCCACGCAAATATCCAAGATGCTGAGAGGTAGATTCGGCGAAAAGAAAGCTTCGGGAAGCTCTCCAAAAACGTGAGTTGTCGGATACATGTAAGGTGAACGCTTTGCGCTGACCTCGTTCACGAAGCTCCCCTAGGCTGGCCGGTCCAGCTACCGTGAAGTTATTGGTCGGTCCAGACAGCCAGGAATTCCTGGTTCCGAGAGACATTCTAGCATCATGCTCGTATTTCCGGCAGCATCTAGACACGGCACGCATCGAGTTTGAGAAGGGTCAACCTCATCTCGTTATGATCTTGGAGGACCAATGTCCGGACACATTCGAACTGTTCGCGTACTGGTTAAACGGGCGCAAGAACTTCGATAAATTCATCGATGCTGCTGAGGCCAGTAATTCCTGCAAAGAGCTCCATTGGGATCTCGTCAACCTACACCTATTCGCTGCACAGATCGACATACCCGCCCTACAAGACTGTACCATGGACGCTATACAAGACGTATACCTTCGGTGCAATTGGGACATTAACCCGAAGCTCATCAACTACGTTTACAAGGCAACCGACCCGCAAGAGAGCTGCCGGCTGCGGAAATGGATCGTCGCGATGACAGCTTGGACACTCGGTGGCGTAGTGGCAACTGAGATGTCGAACAACATTCAGCGCCTTTTCGACCAGTGCCCCGACTTTTGGGCCGAATACCATAGTCACACGCGCAAGATGGCCCAGACCGGGCTAGAGGGCCACTTCAAGAACCCCCAACTTAGGTTGCCTTCCAACAACCTCCGAAACGAGGAAAGACAGTTCGGTTTTCGACAATGTTCGTTCCATACCCACCGGTCGACCGTCGGCCAAGGCAGATGTCCGCATGCCACTTCCTTCTCGCCCCTCGCACCGTCACCGTACACAGAGGGCTACGCCGAGTCCGATTCAGAGCGTGGCGAATCGAGGTTTGGATCACGGATGGTTTCTCCGTGCAGTGATACGATCCCCGAGTCTGACCTAGAGACCTTTTGATGGCCACCCATAATCAATATCGCCTGCTCCAATTTCACGGGCTAATATTTATTGGCCGTTGTGCCATGCTATATGGGAAGGGGTCCCGATATTTGAGATACATGAGGCGTGATGGCTGCTACAACCTCTTAAGTAAAACATCCCCTAGTTCCCCGATGAAGGAGCTAGAGCAAAATCCTCAGCAGCCTAGCGACTTCAACATTATGATCGGAGGTTGAGAAGAGTATAGAATATATCCGATTTACAAATGTATACTTATATGGATATACTCCTGTAGGCATTTATCTCTCTGTAATGCATAATTATAATACATCAAATTTAGTATCTAGTTTCCTATTATACTACGATAGAATTACCTCTTTGCCTCGTAGGTTTCTGCTATAAGTTGGGATATGTCCATCACGATAACTGCTACGCCTTGGTTAGATAGGTATTAAAAGTGTCAAGTTAATATGATATACCAGATCTCAAGTTCTCCCTATATCTACCTAGGTATATATTCTTTGGGATTGAGGTCTAGTGTGGTAATATAAACCAAAAGAGAGGGAAAAGCCAAAAACTAGAACACACAAATTGTCACACAGAAAAATGCAATGCATATAATTTCAATATTGTAATGGATCATGTTGGTCTGTAACAACATTATCGGAGGAATATCCTCATCTGACGCTAGAATTGCCATATATGACATTGTCAAAACTTTTTTTCTCAGTCCGAGCCAAGACGCCGGATTCTAATCGCAACCATAGCTAATCATCTCACGTCGCTCTGATTGGCCAAGAGATATGCCAAAGTCGTAACCGTGATCCGAACAAGAAGGCACTCTTGTTATCTCATCAATCGTTCATCTTTCATAATACTCGTTAAAAAAGAAACAAAAAAGGAAAGTGTCGGGTCATCGAGGAATCTTCTCTGGCTAGGAGAAATGAACTAGCTACTAATAGTGTGGTCTCCAAACTGCTGCTCTCCGAGAAGGCGTAAAGTTCATAAGATGGTGAGATTGATTGTGTCAAGCCCCCCTCTCTTTCATGAGAGGGAGAAGTAAAAGCTTCAGCTTGGTAGAAGGAATATGCTTCAACCAGAATATTGCCTTACTGTGCATAATGCGGACAGCGTAATATCATTCAAATCGTAAAGAAATCATGATGTGTGGTATAGTTGAGTACAGAAAAGGAAAAACAAAGGCTATGTGATAGTGTTGGCGTAAGTTTTGGAGGATGCGATCGCTGATACCCAACTAGAGGGGTGACTGGGAACGTCTGCGATCACCGCTGCGGTTTCGAATTTCCCTTAAGCGTTGGTCAAGATAGGCCAGACGAGACGCTAGAGAGGACCTTGGAGGGGATTGCGTCCCTGAACGTCCCTGGTTTGGTTGCTGTACCGTCGCAAAAGGTCGACGCAAAGCCGTTAAGTTAAAGTTGATGGGTGTTGATAATCTATTAGGGAAGCTGTGACTGGAGCCTGCGCCGGAAAACGGAGACCCCAAGCGGCGTGGCTGCATATCTGAGTTTTCGGATGGGGTCGATATAACGAAGGGGTCCTCATTACGTGGCGCAGAAAAGGCAGAAAACGATCTACAGTGAGTCTTCTGACCGGACAAAACCTCGCTCTGGTCACGCCTCTTCGAATCTCGAGACCGAGTCGGATTATCTGAATCCTCAGACGCCTTCCAAAAGGCAGTCGATATACTTGGCCGCTTTCGCGGTAATTCCTCTAGGCTCTTTACTGACCGACGTTTCTGGGTGCCGGAGCGTGACCTAGTGAGACGAACCGGCGATTTGAGTAGCTTCCGTGAATCTAATGTATTTGACTGTCGTGGCAAGTTAATACCATCAGCAAGAGACGAGGATGAGCTAGGTCCGTAGCTCTTAGCCAGTACCGGGGATGGGAGATGGGGAATATCGGCAGATGGTAATTCTCGTTCAGGCGTTACCATCTCTGGCCTTATATTGACTGCGGGATCCAGCAAAGGTTCGGCTTCGGAGCTCGTGAGTTGGGCCAAGGGAGCCTCGGGCCTCATGGTATCTGATGTGCTCACTGCCAAAGAGAATGCCATGTCATGGGCAGAAAATACCGATGGTGATGTAGCCGATAGATATTTTCGGTTCCAACGACGATGGGCTGCCTTGTGGAAGGGAGTAGGACTTGGAGACTTGTATTTCCCCGGGCTAGCAGTAGCCATGATTCTACAAAGCTCACGTAGATGAGCTCGGGTAGCAGCACAGGTATGAGGCCATTCCATATACGGCTTTGGAGACTCTGCTGTAGGCGTATTGCTACCACTTTTCATATCTGCTGTTAAATGCGCTCTCGAACCCTTCCAGCTTCTTTTAGCTTCTCTGGCTACACGTAGACACACCCCACTAGGAGGAATGCGACTCCTACCAAGGCGAATCGGAGTGACTCGCGGATCTTGTAGATAGAGCATGTATGTTGACCATAAATGCGAGTCCATGGCCTTAGTCCAGGGTGCTTTTCGCGACCTCTCCTCATGCGTTACTTTTATATTAGAATGCGGCTTCAAACCAGAACACTCTGGAGGGTTGAATTCCGGGTTAGCGAAGTCATCATCCTCAGAAGCATGTGACAATTGGCTAAACAGTGAGGCGCTGGTCTGAGTGGAAAATGCCGTTGATGGTCTACTAGACTCATATTCTGGACTTGACTCAATATCTGAGCAACTCCATTCCGAACCAACAGACCAGTTGGGGTACTTGGTTTCCGAAGACGGTACAACCTCGACAGCAGGAGTTTTGGGGGGAGAGAATGTCCGTAAGCTCAAGTGCTCGTAGATCTCCATGCTGTCTGAGTCGTCTACCTGCACCTCGATACTTGGAACTGGTACATCTGCGGCTGCAACAGAAGCTAAAAAGTGCTGAGTTGGCGCATTCAAATGTTGAGGTACATGACGTCTCTTTAGTCTCAATCTTGGTCGTGGAGGGGACGGCTGGTGCAACTCCTCATCGACAGCTGAGGGCTCAGGTGTCTTTGGGTCAGCTCCCATATTGCGACTGCTGGAATTGAACGGCAACATTGCGAATTTTGGATAGCGCGTCAATTCCACTAGAAGCCGAGGCCTATCATTCCTTCTTGATCCGCCGCAATGTGCCAATTTCAATCAAATAAATGCATTCATGACCGTTCTTTTTCTTTTGTAAATCCACATGAACGTTAATTTCACTAGACCTCTGGAACTAGTCAAATCATTGCCGCGCGGTTATTAAACACAGTATGTGAAAATGGGAACAATTATCTCGTAGGATCGTGATTAATATTTCGATTGATCGGTTGGGGTGGCGCGTATTATTAAATTCGATGATAACAATATGAGGGAACTCGTAGACAGCGTTCGTGACATTCACGTCGAGGAAATGGGGCACGTCGTTAAATATAGTGATGTGATCGCATGTATATTGTCGTGTACGTAAATAAAAACAGTGGCTACCACGAGGCAACTGGTAGCCACCCTCCAACCGAAGATGAATGGCGGGGGGAGGAAAAGAACGACGGTTTAGATGGTGAAGAATGAGAAAATAGGAGGCAGGAGGTAATTGTAAAATGTAGGGCGGCGGATGCGTAAGTTAAGGGCCAGTTGTAGACGAGAAGGAGAGAGATGGATGGGTGGTAGAATCACGTTGCGCTGCAGGTGCAACGGGCAGGGGAATGAACAAGACGACTACTACTACTACTACTACTACTAGGTATTATCAATGGATGATTGTACGTGGGTACAGTATACATACATATACCTAAATCATCCACCCATGTATCTCGATCGTTCCTACCTACTGTACCTACCTACCTATGCAGCTGTGGATGTACATAGTATCGAGACTACGAGGAGCACTGGGGGATACTTACCCTGAATTAGCCTTGAATTAGCGGGAACATGTGCCACTGGCGCGAACCCTTCATGCTAGTTATGGCAGTTCTAGTGGCATGGAATACAGCGCTAAGCTATTTACAGGCCAAAGGTTGAGGTTAACCCCACTAAGAGCCCTGGAGCAGTGGGAACTTCAAAGCGGTCAGTTTGGGGTTCCTTGTTGATAAACTGTACATAGGTGGTATTTTAGTCTGTATGTTAACTTCTATTGGAGCTTTTTACTAGAGTCCCGATTCCCAAATATTCAGAGAATTAACGAACAACATTAAAGGGGCGAAGAGATCCGTTGGATGTAGTGTACATATGCACATGCTACATATTAATACATGTATGTACCTAGTACTATAGAACACGTCGGGGATATTTTGACTTAGTTGCAAGTCAGTGGAGTTGGAAGAGGATATATGCCTTTGATGGTAGAAAAGTGGTGCTGAATACGTTGCGTGCAGTGCGTGGTCGAAACCTAAATACCTTAGCTTAACACGCTGACACGATGCATTTCTGCTTGCAATTGGATAGGACTGGACAAGACTGGACTAGCTGGGAGCAATTGGAAAGACTGTTTATGCACTCCGGACGCAGCTTTGGCCAGCGAAGGGACACGACAGGAGTGCATATGCAGTGATCGCCTGGTGGGAGGATACTGATGATAGGCAGAGGGCACGGGCTGAGCGAGACTTCCTGCACGCGAATCTGGATGGATTTCCCGTTAGGTACCTGAATTAGGTGGATTATGTATAACGTGCGAATTAAAACTCTCTTCAGATTAGACGCGTCTCGACAAGAGCGCGAAATCGACTGGATGAGAATGCTTGATGCAAAACGCGCTACTTTACATTCTCTGTTCCCTGATTCGCCTAAATTCTCTCTTTCATTCGTTGGATTCCTCTACCTAGTATTCATGCGAACAACTATGCTGCTGCTTGGGCTTACGAGTCTAAAGACCTAAACATACACTATACGATATTTATCTACTACCAGGCAGGTGAGTATACTAGTATAGTAATGAGAAATTGTTGATCCTATCGTCTTTTTGTCGTTGGATATGTATTCCATGGGCGAGGTGGGCTGATTAGCACCTATGTGTTTAATAATTACATAGCTTCTTTGGTGTTGTCATGTAGGTTCAGGTTTTATATACCTACTATGTAGTACTTGGAATACGAAGACTTCAGGTATTACCTGGCATACCTCCAAGGTAAGGTACCAGTACCAGGTCGACTCGAAATAGTAAGATGCACATAGAAGGGGTTGTCAATCTAAGAGGGGTCTATTTGAGACAAACCAGCCAGGACGTACATGTAGCAACACTCATGTGCTTTAAATTTTCCAACTCTACGTACCTACCTGCCTACCTACCTAGCTGTACATCCCATCTAGGAATAGGCGTAGGTTGGTGCCGGCATATAAAATGAACTATGTAGGTAGTGTTGGGAAAGATCAAAAGGATCTGTGGTACGGGCGAGGTCCAGCCTCCAAAAGTGATACAACATCAAATGTGACGGGATGTAATGCGACGCGACCGTTCGATGTTTAAAATGAGTGTTGCGGCTATGGTTGAAGGGTGCAACATTTCCATCGGGGTAATATAATTGGTAGGTTTGAAAAAGAAAGGGGCTAAAGTTGTATGTAAAGAAATACTAAGTAGCTAACTACTTCGTACCCAATAGTACCGGCTAAGAAAAGAAAACGTATTAAAGCCAACCTATTCACGTAAGAAATTGATGAGGCGTTGTACTCGCACTAGTCGGTAGGCGTTATCGATAGATATTTCGACCAATCAAAGAGCATGTGCTCGGACTTGAGCCACAATACTATTACTTTTCCTTAATCATCCAAAGTCAAAGGTGGGTCTCGGGTTAACATCTAATCGATCGAATCGGAAAATATCCTTTATTAGAACAGGAAATCTTATTAATATTCCAACAGTACCCCGATACTCCACGTCTATAGCTACCTTAACTCAACCTTGCTTACCTGCTTAGGTACCTAGTAGGTAGTCAGCCTGGCCTAACCTTACCTCTCTACTACCTAGTAAAGAACACTCAACCTTCATTTTATAAATTCCATTTTCAAAGGCCAGCAATGTCTCCCTCGATGGACATCATTCAACTCGAAAACTTCGCTTCCAAAATGCCACAATGGAGCCCCAACCTCCCCAACCACCTTTACGCCTTAGTTGACATAGGAAGGTTTGTCACATTGTTACCCTACAAATCTTGAAATGAGCAAGCTTGCCCGAGCCCCAATCTTTGATATTTTTTCGCCTCTTCATTTTTATTTTGCAGTGTTGGCTTTCTCCTCTGCTTCATAATAACCTTGTGTAGCAATGGGATACGATTTTCCATCTCCGATTTGTCCCCTCCGCAAACTCGCCTCCTTAGGTGCTTGTATCGCGAGCGCGTCGGCATATCACTGTTTGATGCACTTAACGCATCGCCCTCAAGCGGCCCCTTGACATTTCCACACGATGTCATTAACCAGGTCTCTAAGATATTAGCTCAGTTCAAGTCCGTCGCCGATGATTTTGGCGTACCGGCAGAACATATCTCCGTGTTTGCTACAGAGGCAATGCGGAAAGCTGATAATGCAGCTTCAATGTTAGATGCTATCTTAGCAACTTCGGGACTAGGTGTTCATGTGCTTGCCCCGGAAGTTGAAACTTTATTCGGTGCCATGGGTGCCAGGAGCGGATTCTCTACGGTGAATGGCTTGCTTCTAGATTTAGGAGGCGGCTCGGTCCAGATGACTTATCTTAACTCATCGGCAGATGGCTATGAGATGGCAGCTGCACGGACAGGGAGAAGCCTACCCTTCGGAGCAGCTAAGTTGATCAAAATTCTTGAGGATAACGAGACAGATGCCCAGGTCACGGCGTTAAGTGCACTTCAAGGGGGTATGCGAGATGCTTTTGCAGAGCTTCAACAACGATTTCCATCGTTGAGAGATACACAGATTGACCGCGATGATGGTGGCGTCGAGATATATCTTTGCGGTGGAGGTTTCAGGGGTTATGGCAGCATACTAATGCACACCGATCCTATCCAACCGTACCCAATACATGCAATTGGAACATATACGGTACAGGGTTCAATCTTTCGTCGGACTCAACACATGTGTAAAGTCAACGACGAATACAATGGCAAAATCTTTGGTATGTCGAAACGGCGTCGCCAACAGTTTCCGGCTATCGCCGCAGTTGTGGAAGCCTTGATCGAAGCCGTCCCTCAGATTCGCACTGTCACATTTTGTAGCGGTGGCAATCGAGAGGGTGCTTTATTTATGAAGCTCCCTAAAGCTATGAGAGAAGAAAATCCTTTATCGATTCTACATCCAATTAGTAGCACGCTGGGACTTGGAATTGTGCATTCGGTGCTGGATATTTTACAATCGTCTCTACCCGCAGACGTTGATATTTCCAATATCCCGACCGTCTTCACTCTAGGACTTGGCCCCCTTTTTGTCGAGAACATATGGATGCGTGTCGGGGAACCAAGGGATGCCAACGCAGCCTTTGAATTACATCATGCCATCCACCGCGACTCCAGCGCGCCTGGCCTTAGTCATTTAGCCCGAGCAGTTCTGGGCCTGACTCTCTGTTCTAGATGGAAAGCTAGCCTGAGTCCGTCTGATAAGCTGCTCCAAAGAAATTTGCAAAAACTTGTCGATCAATCAAATCCCGAGGCTAACTTTTGGGCGGAATACCTCGGTGCAATTGCCAATCTACTTGCCAAACTCTGTCCAGCAATTCCGAAGGCCGCCGAGAAAGTGAGAAAAGTGGTCAAGTAAGTGACTTGTGATGGCATAATGTTGCCATGCTAACCATAATACAGATTCAGTTCCACTATGGAAAATGGCAAGTCAAAGAACAAACTTCGGCTAATTGTCTCAATATCTTCAGTCGTTTACCAGTCCCTAGATCAACACGAACTAGAAGCTTATTTTAAGGATATTGGGAAGCATCGAGGGGGGTCAAACAAGACTAGCACGAAGGTCGAGCTCACTTTACAGATAATCGACTCCTAATTCCAGACATACCAAGACCATAACATTATACAAATACGATCGAAAATACGATGCCCGCATTTTTAATTAGAAATGGAATACCCTTCCGGGATGCTGATACTGGCAGCGAATGTCGTTAAACAAGCAATATGCCTTTCGAAGTGTCCCCTTCCCCTATCATAACAAGGCATAATGCAGGCTCAAAATGCGAATGGGTATCAGCCTGTCGCAAAACTCCTTCGCTAAACCGTCGACCTTCATCAGATCATAGACTCGTATTGAAATTCTGCTTGAAACTCCGAAACCTAACCCGAGATAAAAACAACAGCAAGAAACGAAATCGCCAAGGAATTTGTGTTGCGGCAACATTCTTATCGCTTGGCTCGCTTTGATGCTCGAGTCCCAGACCGCGTGACGCTTCTTTGTGATCCGATTAACAGGATACAGATGAGGCGGTCGAACGTGGAAGGATTTGGGCAGGTGTTAACACAATCTTGGATGGCTTGGTCTAAAATGAGTGGTTAGCCTACTAAGCGCTCTATCTTCAAAGAGGTTTCGGTGCAACATACAGAAGTCATCTCTGTAGCTTTCCACTCTCTTAAAATCGGCATTCAGTTGCCTTTTTATTGGATTTCCGTCATCGGCCATCGGCTCCGGCTTTTTCTTGCCGAAGCAAATCTCACACATTACAATCAAATTGTTAAAGAGGCTCATCGTTACACTTTGTATCCGTGTCTGGTCTCCGCAGAGATCTGATGAAAGTGTCAGCTGGGTCTTGGTATGCTAGGTAAACATGAGATCTTATCCTTACCTTTCGACCGGTTGAGGATGTCCCGGTACATCAGAATGAATTGCATCATGCAGGCCCAGAGCGGTAATCGATCATGTGGCTTTTCTAGGATCCTCCAGAATTGCGTCATGATAGTCGACTCAAGTGCCTTCATTCTAGAGAGCATAATCCTCTTTAAGTCCTGGCATATATGGTTTGGAAGTTCCTCTAGGGGAGTGTTTTGGAATCTTTGACAGAAAAATTTCTGTTGTCTCCAGATCCTGTACATGCATCTCATGTCACGGACTTGGCGTACTAGTTGGTGCTAATCATATGTTAGTAGGTATGTCGGGGGGTATAAGAAGACCAGCACAGAACTAACATGTGGTAGAAAGCAGTGGTCCTCTTGAGCATATTTGCTGAGTAGAGCATCCAGGGCTGATTGGAAGTTTGAACTGTCGTCTTTGAACATTTGCCACGAAGCCCATTCGATGAGCTTCGCGTCTTCAGGACTGCAATGCGGATTGAAAACGTATTGGTGGGCTGTCTGCCACGTCTGGCCGTTGTTGAGGTTATTGCTCTCATCGCGCGAGACAGAGATTACTAAAGGCGGCTCCGCTGAGGGATATGGATTGAAGAACACATTCCACTGTTGTGGGTTACCTCTCTGCGGTGCGGCAGGGGTGTGTACATTGGCCCCTGTCACGAGAGTCAGCTATTTAGAACTTCATCCGAACCCATACATGAGCGACGACGATAATCAGGTTGACATACTCAAGATAACATTAAAGACGAGTTCGCTGCTGCCGGAAGGACGTCGGAAACACATGTGCTCGGCTAATTCGCCATCGTCGCCGTACTTGGCTGCATCAGTCGTGCATTTCGAGCAAGGGCTTTGCTGGTCGCACTTCTAGCTGATTAGGAAGGGAACAAGGGAAAAAGGAAGAAAAAGAAGAAAAAGAAGGGAGAAAGGGAGAAAGGGAGAGAGGAGAAGAAGAAGAAGAAGAAGAAGAAGAAGAAGAAGAAGAAGAAGAGAAGGAAGAATAAAGATAATGTGAAGAAGAAATGGTGGTGTGACTACTTACTGGGATCTTGCGCGTTTTGCAACGGAAGCAGGCGCCAATTTTGCGCATCTGGGCGACCTTTTCTGGATTATCCAAGGGGCGATGTCGTTTGCCACGACTGAGATGAGAGTCGGCCGAACTGGAACTGTGGTACGCCGATGATGACGCTCCGTTGGAGGAGGCCGGGGAATGTGGGCTGCTACCACCAAATCCCTGAACGTCGGAACCACCCGAGCCGACTGTATTATCTATTTCCATCTGCCATGGATAAGACTCGACTCCGTTAGGTCTGATCTCGCGTGCTGGCACGGTGAAACGGTCATCGTGTTGCTTGATCTTTTCGACGGCTTCTTTGAAGTGGAAAGCGTTGTCCTCGGTTGACCTAGGGGAAGGCGCACCGTCTTCCTCCGAAGGACCGGAGGTTAGGCCCGGAATAGACGAGGCGTCAGACCGGCTCCGCGAGTCGGCATCGGCGGCTGGCGTTCCCTCGTAGAAGCGTTTATAATCAAAGTACTGGTCGAATTCATCCGGTGGGGCATGCCCCTTGGGTTGTCTCCTCTTGGATAGCCCGCCAATAAAGTCAGGGATCTCCGAGGTGATCTGGGATAGGTTACTGTTGTTCATGTTGGCGGTTGCGTGGCTCGTGTAAGTCGCCTGTATATGTAGGTACGTCTCTTTTGTCAGACCGTGCACGAGACAAATCAGCAAGCGCCAGCGGGTCGCCTCGGTACCTGAAGTGGGGGAAAACGACGATAAGTGATGATGAGGAACCAAAGGGGCACGAGTGATGAACTGTCATGAATCTGCTAAGACATCGTCTCATGGCGAGGCCTTGACGACCCCAAGTCCGCATCTGCGAGTACCTTTGAGAGTGCGCATTATGGCCGCTAACTCTCATTGGCTATCCTCCGGAACTGGGTCACCACAGGGTCGCTGGATTGACCTATAGATACCCCGGTCCAGACCGAACTGGAAGTCTTACTGCTGCGGATGATTGTGTCGCACCCAAGGCATTGGGTCCTTAGATCATGTGACGAGGGAGTAGCCATGACGGAGTTTCCTATTGATTTAGCACCGATTTTGGGGTTTATTTTACTTGGGGGCCAACCAATGATCATGCAGCTATGTAGTGTTGAGAGTCGCAATTCTTTTTTTTTTCTTATATAAAATTTGGAGTTTTGGTGTATAGTTTGGCTTAGGATGACTATAAAAGTTTCAAGTTTCGAAATACACTCAAAGAAAAGACTCAAGCCATGTACTAGAGGTAACTACCTACCTAGGTAGTTCCTAGGTAGTTACTAGCCAGTACGGAAATTGCTAGGGATCCAATCAAGGGACCGTGCATGATTTGCTAGGTAACCAGGTCACTCTGCAGATTTCGCAAATATTGTTACTTTTTAAATATTCTTGTCATACCATCCGTACCAGACTACCAGACTACTAAGCATATGCATTGGACGCCAGCTAACTTCAAACATGGCTAAGTATGGTATGTACTTCATGTAATAGCGGGTAATAAACGATATCTGGTCCCGCTCCCTCGTTCATCCAAAGTTGCGAATCCCTGATCCATGATCCTTCTCCGATCCTCTGTCCAGACTCCAGACTCTCACCGAACTTGGATAGGTGGTTGCATGGCCATATCACCTTCTTCAGAAAGCCCCCCCACGTAGTCACATAATGAGAACGGGATTTCAAATAGCAGAGCAATGACCTGCAGTCTTCCGTTCTTCTCTTCTTCCCTTTCATCTTCTCATATATGCTGCCAGTGCCGGACCCTTTCCAGATCTCAAGCCCCCCTCTCCCTTCAAGCTCAAGGCCTATGCAAAATTGATTTCAAGTGGAATCATAGCAAGTGAAAGCATTTCCCCATATACGCAACAAGTGACATTAGTGAAGTCGACGTGGAAATCGATGAAAATGTTTACAAGTAGGTTCGTCGTGACTGGCAGAGCTCTCCTCAAGCAATGAGCAGCGTAGGGCAATCCAAGAGGTATATAACTATCCATATAGCAAAGGAAACATCATTCTACTACGACCACTTCTTGCGGCACCACTGACATACCTTCTAGGCTAATCCACCAAATGAGGTAGGTGTACGTATAGATTCGATAGCCTGAACATTGGTAATTATCCTAATACGCCCAAATCAACACCACCTTCCCTAGCTACATTGCTCGCTAATCTCTTACTAGGTTCCCATATATAACCTTACAAATTCACAAGAACTGGTTATACGCACGAGATTTCGCAGCTTAGCTTAGGCACCTAGTATATAACGTATAAGTTATACTGAGGAGATGTGCAGGCTAACAAGGCCAGATATGAGTGTCTTCGAACTGTTTTAAATATCAGCAAGAAACTAAAGAGAGTCGGAGCCAGAACTTGTTTGAATCGTCATATAGGTATGCAAATTCTTGCGAATATTTCAGTTAAGTTGAAAAGCTCGCCCCGGTCAGTTACAGAAACAGTCCCGCTAATTATTTATAGACGATAAAATTTTATTCACGACTCAATTATTCGGAGACGCCTAGAGTTCGGTGGCATAGTCCTCCTAATTTATGCTCCACCGCATCTACCCGCCGTAAAATGAATGATGTCGATATTTCCATAGAAAAGCCATGGTGTCTTATGGCAGTTTACTAGAAAGAGGGTAGCCGAGAGCGAGAGCTATATGTATAAGGAGAATGTTTTATATGGATATGACTCCTTCAGTTACCTAGTAGGTACTTCGCAAAACACGGCTCGGGGGCTATGGATGGTACTATGAGTTAGCCTCTCTTATCGAACATCGAAATAAAGCATAGGCTATAGCTAACACTATTTCCTATCTTGCGGGGGAAAGTGACGATGGTTGCAAGGACGTATTCCCTTAGAAACATAATTAACATTATAGCCGCAAGCCATGAGATTCAAAAGCTGCCATACCAGAAAGATGTTGCTTTACACAGACAGACAGGTCAGTTACATCCATCCATATGTTTACTACTAGGTACCCAGGTAACTGTGGTAATTAGAACGATGATGGAATAGGTATGTATTGTGGCAGCTTTTGTGGCTAATAAGGAGATGGGGTTGGTTGAGCCACACTAGGTAGGTACATATGTACAATACAATACCACATTCGACCGGTACGTACATATTTGTTGATTTTGTGGCGGGTGTAAGAATCTACCGATGGTCGCTAGCTTTTTGGCACCGATGCAAAATTGCAAACACTACCTCGTAGAACGTTTAAAAAAACCGAAGAAACTAAAAACTACTAACATATTCGACTACGGTCTGTGAGCTAAAGCGGTAAAAAGGAAATCGGGTTATTTATTAAAATCATATCAGGTACCAGTAGGTAACAAGGGATAATATTTTCAGTCTTTACTTTTTACGAATTCCCTCTTTCATCTTCATTATTATAACAGATGATATTTCTACGGCTAGGTCAGCAGTTTTCACTACTAGAAAAAAGAAAAGTACAGCACTCTGGACTATACGAGCTATTTGGACGGCTAGTAATCCAGCGGAATTATCAGACCAATCACGTCATTCCGACGATCAAACTGGCGGGCCACTGCAGCAACACGATTTTGACCCCTCCCCCTCCTTCCTCACCAACCACTGCTGTTGCTGCTTCCACTTCTGCTGCTGCTGCCGCTATAATCACCCACTCGTCCTTAACGAAACCTAATTTTCGCCATCTACAATCACATACGCAATCTTCCCATAATTCAACCCAGATTTATAAAACAACTTCTTCAATCCAATCCTTCAAAATTGCGTCTCAGCGCACTGCTCAGCTAGCTCGTCACTTTTCGAGCTCTACTTCATCTGAGAATACCTATTACAAGACAGATTCCAAGTCTGAAATGGCTTCGCAGTACGGCGTCCGCAAGGTCGCTGCACCCAACACTTTAGAACATCGAGTCTACATTGAGAAGGATGGCGTTCCCGTCTCGGCCTTCCACGATATTCCCCTCTATGCCAACCCTGAACAGACCGTTCTCAACATGATTGTCGAGATTCCTCGGTGGACCAACGCCAAGCTTGAGGTAATTTACCTTGACAGTGTAGCTACAACCGATACTTGTGACTTGTCACGCTAACGTCTTTGCTCCTCTAAGATTTCTAAGGACGAACTTCTCAACCCTATTAAGCAGGACATTAAGAAAGGCAAGCTACGATATGTCCGCAACTGCTTCCCCCACAAGGGTTATCTGTGGAACTACGGTGCCTTCCCCCAGGTATGACACCCCCCTGCTATCATACCGTCGCATACAAATTTTTTGGGGGTGGTTGTACTAGTTCTCGCTATACTTGCTAAGACTGTTCGTACCCCATCTAGACCTGGGAAGACCCCAACTCGATTCACCCAGAGACCAAGGCCAAGGGAGACAACGACCCTCTCGATGTCTGCGAGATCGGTGAGCTAGTTGGCTATCCCGGTCAGGTCAAGCAGGTCAAGGTGCTTGGTGTCATGGCTCTGCTCGATGAGGAGGAGACCGATTGGAAGGTTATCGTCGTCGACGTGAACGACCCCCTGGCACCTAAGCTTAACGACGTCGAGGACGTCGAGCGACATCTTCCTGGTCTTCTACGGGCTACTAATGAATGGTTCCGTATCTACAAGATCCCTGATGGGAAGCCCGAGAACCAGTTCGCTTTTACTGGCGAATGCAAGAACAAGTCGTGAGTATTTCCGCGTGTGGTGTTGTGCTCGATCTACTACTAACGCAACACTTAGCTATGCCTTTGACGTCATCCGTGAGTGTAGCGAGGCTTGGGAGAGACTGATCACCGGCAAGACTCAGCCCGGCGGTATCTCTACGACCAACCTAAGCGTCAACCACTCTCCAAGCCGTGTCGGCTCCGAACAGTTGCCACCCCTGCCACCTAACGAAGAGGTGCCCGCCGAGAAGATCGATAGCTCGATTGACAAGTGGTTCTTCATCAGCGGTGCTGCCGCATAGGCTAAATATTACTGGGCCTGGTAGAGAAAAGTTAGGCAGATATATGAGCTTGAACACAGTATGAGAGCTCTGTTTGATAGCATATTCTGCATGACGCCCCACACGCGTTGGCTTAGTTCGAATACATGACTTCATATAGAGAGTACTTTTCTCGTGGCTCGTGACCCGTGACTCCGGTGTGGTTATCTTGTGCCTTAAATAGACAGTTGGAGAGTGTACTATGCGCCAGCATCCGAAGCAAAACGCCGCCTGATGCTTGATGCTTAATGTAGTAGATAACTTAAATACCTACGGACTAGGGAGATACTAGGTACCTAGGTAGGTAGGTATCTAAAAGTAACAGATCGGTCATACGGATGAATCGTAAGATTAACCGTCTGTTAGATCCGCCTGCTTCTGCAAAGCTCGAGAATGTCTGTCCACCTCTTCGACAATGCCTTTTATACCTAGTTTCTCGCCATCCAAATTCATTTCTTTCCCATCCTCTTCGAAATATGGTTAGTACGAGGAAACACGGAGCATATGATAATATATATGTCTATATATATTTCGGACTAGACGCACTGAATTTTACAAGGAGGACAGGTGGCGACGTGGACGCTCGCGGTAGGAGAGTTGTATTTATTTGCATGCCAGCTTGTCGTGCAGTGGGAGGGAGCGAGCTTAGGAATAATCGTGTAGCTCTTGAGCGCATAGAGAAGGGATTGAACTTGGTGTTCACCTCGGTGATAAACCGCGTAATCATTGTATGTCGACGATATATGTAAGTGCTTTCGAAATCGTGAATATGAACCGTTTGCCCTCGTATCTTGGGTCGGCGCGTGCCTTATAATATCATATCACCGAATGTTCAATAGGAGAGCTTTATGTGGAAGATTTTCTAGAGGCGTAAATCCGAGATGTGGCTAGTACCTACCTGTACCTAATGATTGTGGCTGCGCGTACGCTACACTAGCCACATAACCCTTGAAAAGCTTACCTACAGTAGCAGCCTAGGTACCTCTAGGTAGGAATACTGCCCCTGCACCTGCAGACTAGAACTGGCAACGTCACTGCTAAAACAAGTTCCCTACGAATTCCGTACCTGCAGCTTTGTCTCACAAAACTCATCATTCCCCTCTACCTCTACCTCTACCCTCGACGCGACAGCAGCATGTCGAGCCAAGGACCCTCGGCTTTATATTTTGGCTAATATGTCACCCAATACCCTGGAGAAGCGATTTACCGATTTGCAAGACCGTCTTACCGTCTTGCAAGATGCGACAAACCAGCTTAAGGAGCTAATCGATCGATTAACCAACTTCAATTTCCAACCTGGATCCGTGCCTGTTGGCGTGGGCGATGACGACAACGTCTGCTCAGAGCTTAGCTCCGAAATCAACCAGATACTACGCGAACAGGAGGAGGAGCTTGAGTTGTTACAAGAAGAGATAATAGACATTCGACCAGGCAAGCCTAGTAGCAATTTACAGCATGACAAGGATCGGTTAAAAGACGGTGCGAGCCGTCTTGGGCAAGAGTTGCAGAAGTAACGAGATTTGTATAGGTTCCGTATTGCAGCAATATCTGACGTTTTTGCAGTTGTCGAATCGCCTTTAGGAGAGCCCAGATGTCGGCAAAGCGCAACCTACAGCTTGCTCAGCGACGCGAGCGAGAACTTCTCTATGCCTCCTTCTTGAACCAACGATCCGGTGCCTCCTCTCCCGCAGCTGCAGAGGCTGCGATATCCATACCGAGCCGACGAAAACCGCCAAAGCGCTCCGAGATGAGCAAGGAGGACCAGATGATAAGCGCTAGTAACGACGTGACCGAGTCGATGAGGAGGGCACATGACCTAATGGCTGCCGAGTTATCCAAGAGCGACTTTGCCCACAATACGCTCAAGGAATCGACTACCTCTCTATCACAACTATCCGAGAACTATTCGAGTCTCGACACCATGTTATCGAACTCTCGCGCCCTTCTCGGTACGCTATTGAAGAGCCAGAAAACCGATACTTGGTATCTACAGTCGGCTTTCTATCTCCTCATAGTCACCATCGGTTGGCTAATATTCAGACGCCTCCTTTGGGGTCCCACCTGGTGGCTGATCTGGCTTCCTCTCAAGCTTGTCTTCCGGAGTGCGGTTGGCGTGACAAATACGGTTTCACGGCATACTTCACAAGGAGTCGGGTCCAACTTGGATCCGGCTATGATGCAGTCTATGTCACAACTAGCCCAAATGAATAATGAAGGGGTTCCAACAGTCCACGTCGCCCAACCATCACAGACTCCACGAGAACTATCGGAATCTACCATGGAAGAGGTCAACGAAGTTATCAATGAGGCAGATTCGGTGGAGGAGTATCCTAAGGAAAACGATACCGGAAAGGAAACTCAAGAAGGTCAGCAGGAAGAAACGCTAAGAGAGCGTAAAGATGACGAGCCCCCCAACCCAAAGAAAAGGATGATGGAAGAGGACGCTAGTAACCAGCAGGATGATGGTAATGAAGGTGGCGGAAGAATCAGAGATGAGCTGTAAGATTAGAGAAATAAGACCTATCCTTACCGTGTCTGTCGTTCTTTATTCGCGTCCCCCCTTAATGATAGGTATGGATATATCATCTCAACATTCTCTATGTTTCGACAGATACTAGTCTGACTCCTTAAACTTCCCGGCGAGCAAGGTTTTTCTAGATTCTCCCTTTGAGGCTGGGTGGCATAAAGCTCGTGTTAGGTGACCATTTCTTTGTCCTTGGGCGGGAAGGTCGCTCGAGCGGGGTTTTTCTTATTTATATGATATGACTTGGGCAACACACAATGACAAAAAGGGGAGCAGAGGGTGAAGTCATTCAGAGCCATGTAAGTTCTCAATTACTCAAATGTCGAACAAGGGTAACTACACAATCAATTTCTCCCTTCTTATTTACGCGCTTCTGCGCCCTTTCTTTGCAGTTGAAACAGAACTTCTCCAAGTTCCAACTCAGCCCAACTCAGATACAAATAACCAGTCAACTCCAAGTAGTGTCCATTCCCCTTATCCCAAATTGCCTACACACAATACAAAAACTCTGACACTTGGTTTGCCCTGATTTAGAATCCCCTTTTCCAATCCATCTATCAATAAACGAATGGGATGAGGGAAGAAAGAAAAGGGGTATCATCATCACTTTCAGCCGCCAGCCCGTTCCAGCTCAACCAAATCTATGTCCATGGATGATGCTGAGCCCTTTAGACATAAGAAAAAAAAACTCCCCAACCAAAACCGACGCACGTACTCAAACAAATCAAGGGGGGGTTGCAACAACCCAGGTACAAAAGGGGCAACAGAAGAGAGCTGCGAAAGAAATAGCAAAAAAAAACAACAAAATCATCGAATTTAATTACAAAAAAAGGTATGTATGACCTTTACATTGCCGTCCATTTTCGTAAAATTAACATGCCTTCCCCCCTTCTCTTCTCTTCTCTTCTCTTCATTACTCCTTCGTCGTCCCCTACCCCCCTGGACTATCGGTCGTGCCTAAAATCCCATCGATATCGAAATCCGTCCCCTCTAGCGTCGTCTCCCACTCGCCGCTGTCCATCTTTGACGGCACATCGTGTAGCGATGCCAGGTGCATGGATGGCTCGTCGTGCCATGGGGTCTCGGCGCCGGCGTCGACATTCGACGATTGGTGGAACGCCTGCTCGAACTGCTGCTGGCTATGATGGTTGACGCCATCGTCCATGACGGAAGTCGTCGAAGCGGCATGTCCGCTCAGCGACCCCTGGTCGAGAGAGTAGTGCACTCCGCCATCGTTATGATCTCCTAGTCCTAGGATTCCTAGGGCATCGTACTGGTGCGCCCCACCCTGGTGCCCCATGAGTGAAGGGTCTATCTGGTGCTCGTTCACGCGCGAAAGTCCGCGCTGATGTGGCATGGCGACCTGGTGCTGCGGTGGCGGCGGGTACGCAGAACCCATCAGTTCGCCGTACTGGTCGACCGGTGACGGGTTGTGGAAAGATCCCGCAGGCGAATTCGCCTTGTTCATGAACACGTTCTCGACGAACGAATGCATTTGGCCTTGCAACGCGCCGCCGCCGTATGCCGCCATGGGATGTGAATAGCTTGGCCTAAACTCGCTCGTCTGCTGGTAGTATTGGTTCTGGCCTAGCCCGGCTCCATAGTCGGATGGCCGGGGCTTGCCCGGGTTCGAGTACTGGAATGAAGATTGGTGAGCCGGATACGGGAGCCCTCTGTGATGTGCCACCGGCGATTGATGATACGTCGGGTACGCTGTTCGCATTCCTGGTGGCCGGTAATCTGCGTCCGGGTCGTACATGGGCCTCGCGGCCCTTGACGCATTCCGCGACGGCGGCGCGCTGATATCCCACTCATAGCCCTCTAGATCGGAGCCGTCGTCTTCCGAGTCACCAGTGGCACCCCTGCTTGGAGCGACGATATTCTTCTTGTTCTTCGCCTTGGCCGGCGCAAATTTGTAGTCGGGGAAGGCAAGCTTATGGTTGGCACGCTCGATCTTGGCCCAGCTGTCATACTGGTCGCGCAGCTCCTGTGATTCCATATTCCAGCTTGTGCCGCAAACTTGAGAGATGACCTGGTGATTGTCGTGCTTTTTCCACTCCTTGGTGCGGTTCTGGTAGGCTTTCCGGTACAACATGAAAGCATTCATCGGCCGCTTTATCTTGCCTTCTTTCGAGTCTCGAACCTCGGCCTGCCGCACCTCTGGTAGTCGGTTCACATACTCCTCGATGTTGGTGTCCTGCACCGTGCTAATGTCTTTAACTAACACACTCAGTGGCGCCTCCAGCACCACGGCCGGCTCACCCCCTACTCCCTTGCCCCTTCTCTTCTTCTTCGCCTTGGCGCCCGCGCCTGATTTTACACTCGCTTCAGATTCTGGCTTTGGTGATCGCTTTACGACCCGCGATGGTCGCGGACCAAGTACTGGCGTGCTGCCGTGCACACGGCTAATAGCTCTTCCACTTCGAGTCATCATGCCGTCTGATTGCATTGGTGTTGGCGGTGATGTTGCAGGAGTGCTGTAGGCATTGTGAGGAGTCTTATATAACGAAAGAGTCAGCTAAAATTTTAGCCTCTCGGGAGAAAGGGGCAGGGATAAAGAAAACACGTTTATTGTTCGTTCATTCAATTCAAGCACATTCTTTATCCTAAGAATAAACATACCATTGATGAGCCTGTATCAGGTAATTGCGGATACGGGCTTGGCTCCATCTGGTAACTCTGTTGCTGGTAACCGCTACTATACGCAGAGGCCGGAGGGGCGCTCGAGTAAGGGGAACCGTGGTCATACATTGGCATGGTCATCTGCTGCTGTTGCGGTGCTGGGCTAGAGTACCGCGAATGTGGATTTGAGCCTATATGGCCGTCCACGTCGACAGGTGCCGTTGATGCATTATGTTGGATGAGCTGCTGGAATTGGTTCCGGAGAACCTCGTCGGCGGTAGCAGAGGGATGTGTGTTGCTGTTAGACGGCGCTGGGGATGGTGGATTGGTCTTCTCCATTTCATCGATTCTTTCTTAGTTAAATGCCACACGATGGCTAAGGGGAGGAGGGGGTTCGAGATTTACGCTCGAGATGAAGCGAGGGGTGGTAAGTGTATTGGGGGTGGCACAGATTGGAAAGAAGTCGATGGCGATGGCGGTAGAGAGTAATGGGGGGAGAAGATGATCTTAATAGGTACTAGAAGTAGTATCTTTAAGGAGGTCGCGTGTCCCCTATCTTTTTCGATGAAGGAACAGATTAGAAAAAAGAATATATTCCTTCACAGCTAGAGCGTCACTACTCTTCCTTCCTGTTAATAGATAGAGATCCGCTGCGCTCCCTTGCAAGCAGTATCTCTCCAAGTATGAATTCTCCACCGAGGCTTTAAATATTCCTAGTTCGAATAATACGATAGCAGCGTATTGATTTGGTTCGAATATGTGTTAATAGCTAGTAAGCTAGTAATAATAGTATGGCGAAGAGTTGGTGCGTGAAAAATCGGACACACAGTGTATCTGTATATCTGTTTCTCTGTGCCAAATGTGAAATCCGGTGCCTTGACACTATGCAGGCTAAAAGTCCGTCTCTTAACTTGTATATCCGAACGTGTCTCTGATAATCGATTTCCAGCTTTCTAGATACTAGCTAGTGCTCCTAACCCGGGACACTTTGCGCGTGACGCAACCACGATTAGGTTAAAATGGTATCCGTAAGATCGAGAGCGAAACACTGAGGGTACGGAGGCAAAATACGATTTAAAACAAAGACTAGTATTTTGAGGATTCAGGGATTCTAGAAAACTTTCGAAGAAATATCCAGCGACTGGTTGCGGCCGCCACTTTATCTTTTTTGGGAGGAAGGGTTCGCGAAGTGCAAAAGTGCTAAAGTTTTCATCTGAAGAGTCTCTGCCTGCGAGTGGGTAAGTGAGTCTTCAATTTCAGCCGCCTGCTTCACTGCCTGCCCTCCCTGTAACCGGCTTGCAAGTAGCTCTAGATCTTTCTCTGGCTGGGGGAGCGGTATGCTTGACCAGACAAAATGGACTGGCTGGCTCAGTGCCAGCGTAGCCCGCAGCCACAAGCATGGATCTATCAGAAACTGGGTTTGTCTCTGCCCGTGACGCTGCACGGGATGGGGGGGCGTGCAGCAGCATTTGGTCATGTGAGCAAGGGAGAAAAGGAGAGAGGAAGTATTAAAGGATAGGAACACGAACCTATCTCAAAAGATCTGCTTGATAGAATGTGAATCGCGCACTTTGCTCTTATCCTAGCAACGTTTTGCGGAATGTAAATTCTCTTACTCCTTCTGCGTATGCGGGCGCATATGTAGTATAGATGCGTTATGCGGGTGTTTCTTCACTTTGTCTAGTGATTAGACTCAGAGAAGTGATAGAAGAAGCCGGACTAGGATATCGGGATAGATAGGTGTGTCAGGCACTATTCCGAGGGGTGAAATATGTGAGTGATTGATGAACTCACGCCCCCTTTCTAGGTGGGTATGGGTCGTAGGCACAACGAAGTGCTGGCTGATGCAGTCTTCCCTGTCCTACAGCCCGCACGAGCGTTCTTTCTCTTTCTTTGTTCTAATTTCCTTGTTAAAGGACCTTCAGCTACCCATGTGCCATGGAAGCAGCAAGAGGCAATGTTGGCCGCAGGGCTGAATTTTGATATGATCGGTCTTTCAAATTGCTTCCTCTTCCCCGGGCAAATATACCGATGGAGTGATCGTTATAGGTATTAGGTTATTATTTGTCTTCGATGAGCTGTGTAGGTATCCATCACTGTTCCTAACAAATCGTATAAGATGGATAGGGAATACCTAGTATGTGGGAGAAAGGGAATAGGTAGAGTGCGAGCAGCCACAGCCCGATGTATTCTTTGTCGATCCAACGAGAGCAGCAAAAGGCTGTGATATTACCAGCGACAGGAGCAACATAAAGAAAAATTACCAAAAAAATCCCTTTCAGAAAGAACTATCCTTGGGGCTACGGTTATTTGTATGGTGGCTTTCTTCCCAAAATTCGGCCATTTCGCTTTAGGATGCAGAATGTGGCCGCTGGGTTGCACATTACCGCTTTCGGAAAGCAAAGCAGAGGAACGCGAAGTACTCGAAAAGGCGTACTAACCTAGAAAGCTGCTCTAGATCACTTACGGAACTATATGTAGCCGTGTTCGGGGCGAGCGATAGAGAGAGAGAGAGAGAGAGAGAGAGAGAGAGAGAGTATTCAGAGGTTACCTATGATTTTCTACTAGGGCGCCGAGAATTCCGACCCGGCTAGAGGCTGAGAGTATACTGTTGATGCTGTTATTGCTATCCCCTCTGAGCGGCGACATTAGTACGACTCGCCTTCACTGTCACATACTTTTTTACTTGCTAGAGTAGGCGGGTAATGGACTTCCATTCAACTATTGCCCGCTAAGGCAAGACATATGTAGAAAAATCGCACGTTATACCCACATTATGCCGGAGACTGCACATCTCAGCAGATTGTATGCGAGATTGCATGAGAGATACCGTAGAAGGGATCGGGGAGTTGGGTAGACTTGGCCCCTGTCCGATCTAACTTTGGCCACATCTCCCATTTCAGCTGGGACGGGAATTCTTCTTCAGATTACCCACTAGGAGCTTTCCCTCGGAACCGATTTGATGCGGTAATCCAAAAGCTCGTCTTAGGGGATCGCCTGTGACTGCTGTTGGTCGGTGGGATGAACTGGAATGCTGGTTCCTGAGTAGTCCCGGAAACGAGTCACCCGCACCTGAATTCTTCAGTGGCGTGTATTGATCACATGCCTCTGGCATTCCTTTGAAACTTGGCTGAAGAGATCGTCCAAATGCAGACACCTAGCTGCATTTCTTTCTTTCCATATTTGCCTTGCTTCATTTTGGGATTAGACCGAGGCTTACGCTCGGTCCATCGTGATGGTTAAGATGATGTGCGGCCAGCCCCTATGCCGATTTGAAGAGGAGCGGTAGATATGCCAGTAGAGGATCCCCCAGATTTCCTCTACATGTTGCGTTTATTATCATGTCTCTAGATTGACACCTTCTTGCTCGGGGGTAGACTAATCTCGGCAATTGCCCCGTCCCCAGGGAAAGAAATGCAATGACCACTGATCAGTCCTGTCCATCGATAATATAAGTGTCAACTAAAGCGCTCGCTGCCCGGCCGTGCTGCTTCTCTGGCGATGAATAGGGATGATTAGTTAACCATCCCTGGACACCTGTTTGCAGCCACATCCCTGCATCGATGGCGGATGGTTGCAGTAGCTTCGTTGGCTGTTTGAACATCAGCTCTGTAAGGGCCAAAAGGGGGAAAGCCCAATTATTAAAAGTTGACGTACATCGATATGTGCAGTAATCAAGCTAGCTAGGGCTTTATAAGAGAATATAAAATCTCGAATGTAGTTTAGAGGTTCATGCAGCAAAACTTCAACCTCTCGACAATTGGGAAGTTGTTGGTTAGTGACAGGAGGACAGGAATGCTGATGAGCGGTATCCCGTATACTCCAGTACATATATACTAGGTATTCCTTGAAAGACTGGTTTGTGTCCTCGTCTTTTCTTTCGTCCCTTTAGCCTCGAGGGCCCCCTTTGAGGTCATCACGTTGGAACCTCTTCTTGGGTATCTTTTTTTTTATCTCCCTTGCTATGCACTGTCTTGCTTGCCCCCAACCCGGAAATGCGTAGAGCTGTAACAATGAAACAGCTAGAAATAACTCCGGCGTTGGATTTCCGCGACTTTGATCTTCGGGATGCTCAGCCTAGCATTAAGAGTAGCATATCAATACGATGTGATAGCTTCGTGCTATGCTATTCAATCGCTTCTCCAGCTTACGGTAAAATGTAGCAACATAAGCAATACATCTGCGCACAGTTTAATCTGCTTGTACTATGTATGCTGCTCAGGGCGTCCGTCCCCACCAGCACCAATCTGTATGCGTCCTGTCTCAGCGCTCTGGCCAACGGTTCGTGCGAACAGTCGGGATTTGTGTGACAGCTCAACTTTGTCGGAACCACTGCTTGCCCAATAGTAGCTTCTATGAGTCTGGGGTTGCCCACAGGCTGGGTAAAAACAGGTTGAATGGAACTCAGACTAGTTAGCCTATCCCCGGTTCTGGAATATGTAAGCAGACCCTGACCATGAGTACGTACATATGTCCATACCCACCGTACTATGTAGCTGCGAACTCCTGTGCGTCTATGTAGGTTGCCTGCCGCCTGCCGACGAGAAAACGTGGAGTCGGTGTGCCTAAGCCAGCTTTGACCGGGATATTAAAACGTGGTGAGTGAAAGATATTTAAGACCCATATTGAGCTGAGATACATATGTATGTAGAAATGATATATCATTCTAGTCTTAGCGATCAATGGTTGTAGGGGTAAATGGAGGAATAATATTAAAATGCAAATACATGAATGAGTAGGAGACTACCTAGACGCAGATACAATAATTCCAAGTTATTACATAGGTACCTAGTAGGTATGTACATCAATACCTACATACGTGCCTACCTCCAGGCTATGTAGTATTAGGTAGGTGTAGGTGCCTTCCAGTCTACTACTAGGCTACTACTAGGTAGGTAATACCTAGTACCTAAGATTTGCAAGAGGTACGCTATGTACCTATGTACCTGAAAGGTACCTTACTAGCTTACATAAGAGCGTATTAAAACAGGCTGGGTTGTGAGCTACAGGGCTTTAAAGCCTCTAAATCCATTGTGGAAAGGCCTAATACACATTCGACACTGTCACGCTGATTTCCGATCCCCTCTCGTTGTAAATAAGTAAAGCACAGAATAATTACTGGGCCGGCTCGATTTTTCGTCATCAGCACATATAAAAGCACGTCTTATACGTCTCCGTTAATCTACATATCGAAGTTCGCCCTATCTTGTACGCCATAAGGTGCATCATGCAACTGTCTAGTATTGCAGCCTCTTATGCTTCCACGCCTCTATGCTTCCAAAGGCCTAATAAAAGTGCCACCTACAAGGCTGTTTTGCCTAGTCCCCCTTGAGGCGGAAATCTATGCTACTAGAGCACGAAAACATGCCCGTCCTGTGATGACATGTCGAAAGGTAATTGCTGGTGAATGATGGGTTCGGAATTTGTGATCTCATCGCACTGATGACAATCCAAGTCGCAATGCGAGAGTTGGTCCGAAAACCGCAATTTGCCTCATTGAGGCTACAGAAGCTTTCATCACTCGACGACTCGGATATATCCAGTCGGCTGCTTATTCAAGCATTCTGGTTGAGACATGTCGGATCATCCGCCCCCACTGACGCCGCCGGAGTTATGTGATGCTGACCGCCCGGGATCAGCAGACTTGACTGGCGGTGTTAAAATTTGCTGGGCGGGTGACGGTGATAATGCTGTCGCTGGTGGCAGAATTGCAGGTGCTGGTGTTGAAGATGGGCCACCACCGGAGCGCCGGTTGGGCGGCGATGAGCGTTTCAGGGGTGAGAGCCCATTCTGGGTCGGCGGGAGACTAGGTGTTATATCAAGCCTTACTCCTTGCTTTTTGAGTTGCGGAGTGGTAAGTGTCGCATGCTGGGTACTGGCATCACTACTTGGAGGCCGCGCTACAGCAGGGAATGACACCGTCGGAGGGGAAAGGACCGCCAAATTATGAGTAGCGGCGTCAAAAGGTTGCTTCAAGGGTGAGTCGGACCTAGCTGCGACTGGAGGTACGTATGCATCTGCATGAGGCGGGAGACTACTTGATGGTGTCGGTTGTATAGAGCCATTGACCTTCGGCGAGACATGGAACAATCCCTTCTGCGGCGCTTTGTCCCCTGAACGACTTCTTGGGATTGGCGAGGATGACGGGTTGAACATGGTTGAATAGGCCCTGGCTTTATTGGGCGACTGTTCGGGAGGTGATAGATTCGGGTGCGGAGAGGAGAATGGATTAAGCCCGTCGCCGTTGGCGAACGGTGATGATGGCAAAGGGGCGCTTGGTTGGCCCCCTTGCTTTATGGGGATTACTGGCTGAGTGGTCGGTTCAAGTTGCGAGTCGTCGGCGCCGTTGACCGGGCGAGACAGTTGAGTGCCATCGCCAGGCTTTGTGGGTATCTCAACCACGATACCGGAACGTTGAGCAAGTCGAGCCTGTTCAGGGACAGGCGAGTTATCTGACTTCATAGGATACGACGGAGCATTGGTCTGATTGACCTTTAATTTGATGACCGGGGACTTCGGTGTTGTCGCACGTAGAGAACTCTTTTGCCGGCAGCTCTTGCAAATAAAATGGAAATCATCGCGGTCTGCTTCTTCCTCGCTGATCCCTACACATTTGCTGTGTTGCCAGATATTACATGTCTCACACGCGACGCTGTGAGTGCCATCATCAACCTGACCGTAGACGCCGCAGATACAATCGAAGATCCAATCATCTTCCTCTTCGAGATCCTGTAGGGCTTGCCTATTCTTCTCGATTTCCGCCTTTAGCCGCCTTTCGGATAATCGACCAGCCCCTGTGCTTAAATTCTTGCTATCCTCAGATAGTTGAGCTAATTCGTCTTCGTGCTGTCGCCGGCGGATGTCTCGTTCCTTGAGTCGTTGCGTGCGCGACATCATACGGTTGTCACGTTCCTTCTCCATCTTGATTCGTTTCTGTTCTTCCTTACGAGCCGTAGCCTCCTCTGCGCGGCGTTTCTGCTCGTCTTCCTTAGCTAGTTGATCTAATCGCTGTTGCTCAGCCTTGTTGGCAAGACGACTAGATCGTTTAGCATGCGCCATCTTTTCTAGACTGAGAAGCTCTTTCTCTCTCTGTAGAGCCTTTCTCTTTCGTGACTCCTCCTGCTTTTCTAGAATAGGAAGCAGATGATTTTCAACGGTAGTCCTCAAGACCTTCTCATTCTCATCTCGAGTTTTTCGAATGGTGTCGAGGAAATTTTGTACCTCGGAAAGGTTCGTCGCAATGCACTCCCACTTTGCATTCCCAAGACCATCGTCTTCTAACTCGGTAGGTTGGTCGGCGTCCGAGGCAGTGCCATCGTCAGCATCCTCGCCGTTTTGTGCAGTAGACCTTGACACGCGACGCCTTTTGGCGGCCCTCGCCGCGGCTTTGGCTTTCTTGGTATTCTTCTTTGGCTTCCAGGGCGAGGGTGCGGGAGGGGTCTCTGTCATACGGTATATCCGGTTATCATCTAGGATATAGTAGGTACGATCATCACTGTCCCAGCCAGACGGTTCGATTCTCTGTGGCTCTGTCAGTTTTCTTCACCAATAAGCGCAATAGTGATCATTCGCACCCATTCGGTTTGGTCACTTGGTTTCTGCTCATCCATCTTTTCTCGGATGCGTTCGGGATGCAACATAACCCATTGGGTTAGCTGCTGTAAAACTTTGAGCTGTGACAGGAATATTTAGTACACTATCGGAATTATGGCATTGTTAACATCGCTCACGAACCTTTGTGAAGGCGTCGAAGTCATCAAACTTGGCAGGTGTCTCGGCAGTGCCGAATGGGTTTCGATCGGGTGCCTTTGCAACATATTGTCGGCGTGTGTACTCGTCAAAGAGGTCCGGCCTACAGAAATGTCAACGATATGATTATTGAAAGTGGCACGCTTGGGATGGAACATACGTCAAGCCACGATGTGACGATACGAATTTGAGTAGGGCAAGACCAATATTGACTAAAACGGAAGAACGAGGCTTCAGACATTCGGTTTCGAGGTCCTAATGTAGCACGGAGTCAGTCTTATTGAAATATTACCCGAGTTCTTGGAATAATAACAAGGTATATACTAATGTACGGTTGGCATCGGGAAAGGACCACATACATCTATATCAATACTATCGTCGATCTTGACTACCTTGCCGAATAGGTAGATCCACTGAAACAGATTGGCAAATTGCCAAGTGTTCCTGATGCGCTGAAGCAAGGTTAACTCTCGAGGGATCTCTTGCGTGTCGGCATCGGGTTCGACATCGCGCAAGGCGCGCTTTCTTGATGAGACCATAATGGCAAGCGTACTGTTGTTTGCGACCGGGCGATCGTGTAGATGGAAGATGCGAAAGGGATCCGAAAGAATTCGATGAAGCTGGCGATTAATTGAGATTAAGGTAGAATGATCGGAAAAGTTGGTAGTTGACAGTCTGTAAGCGGTAAAGGCGGGTCAATGTGTCAATAAATAAGGTTAGGTTTGTTAAAGGTTGAAGGTTGAATGTTAAGGTGAATTAAACGTAGACTCAAGCTTGATGAGATATTTCATGGCGATGAGTTTAGGGAAAAGGGAACTGGGATTTGATTACGGCCAATACCCAAAAGATGTATTGGGTTGGTTTGGCGATGTCGAATATACGATAGCCTATTAGCTGCCGTCGACGATTGAAAAAGGCGCACCGTCAAACATTCGGCAGTTTATCAAGCGATGTGAGTGCGTGAGGTCGAGTGCAGTTGTCAAAATATGGCGTATTGGTATTGATTTTTGGAGAATAAATTTCTAGGCGCGATTTGGGCGTTTGGTACTGACGTTTGGACTTTTTTTACGCGACGCAACTTCTCCGTCAAATGGCATGTGGATCCCACTTTAAATAATTTCTAACGCGCTTACGCGCTGCAGCCCACTTGAAAAGAGGGGACATAATACTGACCTAGTAGACATACATAGATAATTACCTACATGCCCAGTGCATTTCTACATGTGTGTAAACTAGAGAGGTATACTGTACATGTAGGTAGGTAATACTATTACTAGTACAAGGCACGTGATAAGCTATACACATGTACCTAGATATGTATCTATTTGCCCACATACCCAGGTACTAATGTACTTCAAGGATGATCCTTGATAGATTATACCTCTATTCATGTCTGTATCAATTGGTTTTATCAGAGAATTTATAGTTTCTCATAATACGTAGAGCGACATATACCTATTACGAGTTTCTCTGAGATACACAGCAACCTACTTACTCCAGACCCTAGTTTGGTAGGTACACATTCATGAAGCTGGTGAGATTTGCCAATGAAAGCAGGTAACTTAAGATAAAACATCTCATCCTAAAGATTTGTCAGTTGTTCCATCTGCTGAATGCGTATCTAGACGTAGAACAAACGTATCAAGGCATATATCTTTAACATCATACTATTGTGTGTAATCATTGATAGCTAGTACGAATTCCAAACGTCATCATTGAAGAAGGGTTATATGTTATTTCATCCAGCTTCTACTGTGGCTTCCAAGGTCCCCTTTCATGACCTCAAATCTCGTATTTCAGTGTCGTACCTGTTAATAGAACTTCGGAAGGTAGGTATTTATTGTTAAAGTTAGAAAGCCTAACACGTGTAAACTAGATAGGCTAATAGCTTATCATATTAGCAAAAGTTACAACTACATAAGGCTTAGCGTGGATAGAGATCTTCAGTTGGTTGGTTGATTCCTCCTTTCTAGCCCCACCCACCAGTTTCCTTAAGCCAATGGCTTTGAAAAGACCTGAGGCTGAGCCTTCTTCAACCCTTGAAAAGCTGGAGAGAGAGTTCTAATGCATTGTTGGTGGAAGTCAGCGGCGAAGTCAAATTCGAAATTGGCGGGTTGGGACCTTCCCATTATCATATAACCGTCTCTCGGTTTTTTTTTTCTTTTCTTCTCCTGTAACAACAATAACAATTATCACCACGACGAAGTTGAACGTGTGAACGGGTAGGCAAAGTTTAAGAGTGGGATCATTTACCGTCTATCAATTGCCTGTCTTTTTTTTTCCTTCCCAATCTGCCACCTTGCGACGACCCACGCGTCCCGATTAATGTGTTTCATACTTGCCTTTCCTTGTCTCTCGTTTGAATCTGACTTCATACCTCATTAACAAATCTTGGCTACCCCCAGGCTCACCGGGTTTCTCGACTACGATACAACATTCGAAACGAACTACCTATCCGTATTCTTAACCTACCTTTAACCCTATGTGATGCCATTTGATATCGCCGTAGTAACTATCTCGCCAGTGCGCTTGCCTGCGTATTGCGCTAGGCAATTACTTCTATCTTATCCTATTCGTATACATTCGTACATCTAATTAATAAATTGTCATCTGGATGACACCGATTTCACAATGACAAGGTCTGCCGCCTCGCCGAGGCAGTCGCAGCAGAGCCCTACCGCGCCTTCTTCCCAATCAATTCCTTTACAAGATCTCGCGAGGCAACAGCATCGAAATAACGATGCTCAATCATCCCAGTCGCAAGCTGGTGACCCGAGAGGCTCACCTGCGAATAGCAATCCCCTAGGGCTCTCTATGTACTGGGAAGGTTATCAACCTCATAATCACCACGATGAGCCAGAATTGAGTCCTTCTTCGCCTATAGATGCTGCCGCTTTGCAGTTTGCTCTTCCTCCGGGCATTACTCCCCCACCCCCCGCGATGCCTCGAGCCGCATCCTCATCAACGACTCCGAATCCATATGCCGCCCCGGAGACGCCGTATTACGACGAGACCGTTCATGTTGATTACTTCGAGTCGGATAGCTCGCCGTTGACGTCTGCTGCGCAGCCTATTTCCGGCGCCCTAGCCACCCCACAAGGCGAATCACAACCGAGAGATAGTTTTCAGACCGTGTCGGACTTGGATAACTCTCGCCCGCGTGAACGATCCGCGCAGATGCTAGGATTTGATTTGGAAACCGGGAACGATCTAGGCAAACATCGAAGTTATGGCAATTCTCTTACGCCAAGCGATAACCGGTCTTCGCGGATTCCAGGAACAGCTGGTGATGCTCTATACAGAGCTGGGTCAATTGTTAGGGCCATGTCCCAGCGAGTCGTTAATATTAGTGGCGAAGGGGAAACGTTCGAACAACAGCAGCAGAGACGGCAGAGGTCAAGATCGCCAAGTGCTGATGGACGAATGTCCGGTCGAGCATCGCCAAGCCACGTTTCTGCTCAGTTCGGTATTGACACATCATATCCTTCTCAACTTTACAATTCGCAAACCGAGAAAAAGGGTGATACCGAGTGGAATGTACCGGTATCCCCCTTGTCTCCCCGACGGGGACCGATGCCCAATCCCTTGAAGGGCCGTTCGCTTGGTATATTCGGACCTAATAATATTATCAGGAGGAAATTGTGCGATGTGCTGGTCAATCCATATATGGAGCCGCTCCTGCTCTTGTTAATTGTACTTCAAGCCATTTTACTCGCCGTGGAGGCTGCGAATAATGTTTATATTCCTGGAAACGAGCGACCCGCCCTCTGGGATCCGTCTTCGGGGATAAATTGGGCACTGCTCATTCTTTTTATAATATTTACGCTTGAGACTGGCGCCAGGATTATTGTATCTGGCTTCATACTAAATGCTGCAGAATATAGCACCATTGATAGGAAGAAGGGGATTCGAGCTGCAATATCTGATCAATATAACGCCGTCTTCAGACCCCAGCGTCAAAAATCGGTGAAAGCTTCGAAGGAGCAAGCCTACGGACCTTCCACCTTTGCCCGATCCTTCACCATGATGCATGGCAGCATGCCGGAGACGATCGAAGAGCAGCAAAGGATGCAATTAGCGCGGCGAGCCTTCTTGAGGCACGGGTTCAACAGACTAGATTTCATCGCAGTCGTATCCTTCTGGATCGCATTTGTTCTGAGCATAACTGGCATTGAGATGGATAAGCATCTGTTCATCTTTCGAATGCTTAGTTGTCTTCGAATCGTGCGATTACTTGCCCTTACGAATGGAACAGCGATCATATTGCGAAGTTTGAAGAAAGCGGCCCCGTTACTTGTACGGGTTTCCTTTCTTATCGGGTTCTTCTGGCTCTTGTTTGCAATCATCGGCGTACAGAGTTTCAAAGCAAGTTTAAGCCGACAATGTGTTTGGCTAGATCCCACGCAGCCTACCAATCTCTCTGCAGGGTATACGAACGATATGGCCTTCTGTGGCGGTTATCTTGACGAAAATGGCACAGCGAGGCCCTGGCTTAAGATGACGTTTCCCGACTCAGACACTCTGGTGGATCTCTGGAGCCCGTCGACAAAACCGAAGGGCTACATTTGTCCAAGAAATTCTATTTGCCTTGAACAATCAAGCCCATTCAACAAAACTGTTAATTTCGACAATATCATCAACTCGTTAGAGCTAGTCTTCGTCATCATGAGCGCTAACACATGGTCCGATCTCATGTATTACACCACCTATTCGGAATTTCTCCCGGCAGCTCTCTTCTTCGCCGCTGGTATCATGATCATGATGTTGTGGTTGACAAATTTGTTAATCGCCGTTATCACTTCCTCTTTCCAGGTCATCCGGGAGGAAAGCAAGGCTAGCGCTTTCACGGCGGACGAGGACTATCAAGTTCCCGGTGGACAAGACGAGCGACTACGGAGAATCTCAACTCTCCAGAAAATATACGACAAAACCTGGGTTTTCTGGGTCCTACTAATCGCATACGATCTTTTTGCTCAGGCTTGGCGAAGTGCGACGATGACAGATGTACGAGCAAGGTTCATTACCGTTAATAGTGTTGTAGTTACGATACTACTAGACATTGAGATCGTCATCCGATTTACTGCCAGCTGGAGGTCCTTTCATAAGAGTACCCGGAACTTATTCGACCTTTTCCTAGCGGTAGCAAACACAGTGATAATTTTCCCGCCGATTTTTAACAGCGGCCAGATATACGCATGGTTAACGATATTCCAAATTCTACGATCGTATCGTGTGGTCCTAGCCATACCGATCACGAGAAAGCTGATCGTGTTAGTTCTCGGAAATGCTACTGGTATTGCAAACCTTATCGTCTTTGTGTTCTTAATCACGTTCATCATGGCTATTTTTGCGGTCCAACTTTTCCGAGGGGAAATCCCCTTGTACGATGATGGGGGTGAGCTTGTTAGGATTTCATTTTATAACATTTTCAACTCGTTTCTCGGCATGTATCAGATTCTGTCGAGTGAGAATTGGACGAGCATACTCTATGATGTGACGTCGTATACCACTATTCGCCACACGTCCTGGTATGGCGCGATGTTCCTTATCGGCTGGTTCATCCTCGCGTTCTTCATTCTTGTCAATATGTTCATTGCTGTCATCCAAGAAAACTTCGACGTATCAGAAGATGAGAAACGGTTAGAGCAAGTCAAGGCATTCTTGCAACGCAAGGAGTTGGGTAGCAATTCGAACACCAACATCACTCTTTCAGACATCTTCTCTTTTGGGAAGTCTAAAACGAGAGATCCGCTGGACTACGGGCCGGCAACGATGGAGATGCTGTTGAAGGATGCCGTTGTCCGAGAATTTCTTGACGATACGCTAGACCCCTTACATCAAGAATCTACCAATAGCCCCTCGCCCCGAGAAGGAGCTGTCCGGCCTGGCTTTTGGTCGTCCGTGTGGACCAAAGTCAGGGCCTTGTTCACCAGCCGCGATCCGAATCCGTTCTACTCCAATATACGTTTCAATGGCCCTAACGACGCTCTTGATCCTCGACAAATGGCTCGCCAGGCCGTGTCTGCTACTGCAGAACGTCGCAAAGCTCAACGGGAATATCTTGCCCGCCACCCCACATATAATAACTCGCTTTTCATCTTCACTCCTAGAAACCCCATTCGACGTCTTTGCCAGCGGCTTGTCGGGCCGGGAAGAGGCAATGAAAGGTTCGACGGCGTAGAACCAAATAAGATTGCTTGGTATACCTTTACGGTATTCATCTATGGGGCCATCATCGCCATGGTAATTCTAGCTTGTATTACGACTCCGTTGTATCAGAAGGAATATCTTGAAGAGCACCAAAACGAAAACCGATTCAAGAGTTGGTTTGTCTGGGTTGACCTCGGCTTCGCAATACTCTTTACGGTCGAGGCTGGTATCAAGATCATTGCTGATGGCTGGTTTTTTACACCTAATGCCTATTATAGAAGTTCTTGGGGTATTATCGATGGCGTAGTGCTCATCACGCTGTGGATCAATGTCCTGACCCTTCTTGCCAGCGACGGGGCTGTCTCTAGAATAATTGGCGCATTCAAAGCTCTGAGGGCTCTTCGTCTACTCAACATCAGCAACAGTGCGAGAGACACTTTCCATTCCCTAATAATAGTGGCCGGATGGAAGATCATCAGTGTAAGCTCACTTCTTGCTGGTCGTCGACGTACTTGGATAAACACTAACTTATTATTATAGGCTGCGCTAGTCTCGTTGTCTCTGTTGATTCCATTTGCCATATATGCAGTGACCTTGTTTTCAGGACAGCTTGTACAATGCAACGACGATAATGTGAACTTTCTAAGCGACTGTTTCGGCGAATTTAATAGCACACCGTCTAACCCGGACTGGCTATTACTAGCGCCTCGTGTCGCGGACAATCAATACTTCAAATTCGATGACTTCGCCTCCTCCCTCTTCATCCTCTTTCAGATCGTCTCGCAAGAAGGGTGGGTTGATGTATCATTCGCCGTGCAAGCCATTACCGGCCACGGGAATCAACCCCAAGCCATGGCGGCACAAGGCAATGCTATGTTCTTCGTAGTGTTCAACCTACTCGGCACAGTATTCGTGTTGACTCTATTCATCTCTGTTTTCATGCGAAATTATACCGAACAGACTGGTGTTGCTTTTTTGACGGCGGAGCAGAGATCGTGGCTTGAATTGCGCAAACTTCTACGGCAGATTTCTCCGTCCAGAAGCTCTTACAACGACTCCAAGAACAAATGGAAAATATGGTGCCATAAGCGAGCAATCGAAAAACGGGGCAAATGGTACACAACGATTACCGCCATGCTCGTCTTACACCTAATTTTATTGATGCTTGAGTATTATCCCGAGCCGACCTCGTGGTCTCTTGTGAGGGATGGCATCTTCTTAATATTCACGTTGATCTATATCGCGAATATTGTCATTCGTGTTGTCGGCCTTGGCTGGAAACGATTCAGGCGGAGTTCTTGGGACGTTTTCTCCTTGGTGTCCGTCTTCGGTGCCTTGGCGACTTCCGTCCTACAACTCGTCAAGCTGGAAAATCAGACATTCGTTCAGCTTCACAAGTACTTCCTCGTCAGCATTGTCCTCCTTCTCATTCCTAGAAATGACGCCCTCGATCAGCTCTTCAAGACAGCGGCAGCGAGTCTTACAACAATCGTCAACTTACTTGCCACTTGGCTAGTGTTCTTCCTCGTGTTTGCGATAGCGTTGACACAAACATTCAGCTTAACTCGGTTTGGAGAAAGCGAAGCAGTCAACGTCAACTTTAGAACGGTACCTAATGCCCTCATTCTCCTCTTCCGCATGAGTGTAGGTGAAGGTTGGAATCAAATCATGGAAGATTACGCGAATATCGAACCGCCGCTCTGCGTCGATGATGATGACTTCTTTAACAGCGACTGCGGTAGTACTAATTGGGCTAGATGCCTGTTTATCGCGTGGAACCTCATCAGCATGTATATCTTCGTCAATCTTTTCATCTCGCTCATCTACGAAAGTTTCAGTTATGTGTACCAACGCTCGAGTGGAATGGCACACATCGACCGAGACGAGATACGGAGGTTCAAAGAAGCTTGGCGCAGCGTTGATCCTGCTGGTTCTGGCTTCATCAGCAAAGAAGCCTTTCCAAGGCTATTAGGAGAGCTATCCGGCATCTTCGAAATGCGAATATACAATTCGGAGGACTCTGTCCGTCAAATTCTGGACGACATTCGAAACGACGAGGCACCCATGAGGCATTCATCAATCGCTACCGCAAGTAATCTTGGTGGGGTGGACGTGCGGAGATTAAACCAAAGGCTCGACCAGATCGACGTCCGGAAAGTACAAGAGCGGCGCCGCCGATTCAACATCTTCTACGAGGAGGTGATGGTTTCCGCAGACCCCGTTCAAGGGATCTCTTTCACGACAGTGCTCATGATTATGGCGCATTACAAGATCATCAGCGACAGTAAGAGTTTAAGGTAAGCAGATACCATGCCAGCTTCAATTAAGTATTAGTTAACATGATTCTAGGCTTGAAGAATTCTTGCGGCGCCGTGCGCGTCTTCAACGAGTTGAGGAAGAAGTTCGTCGAAGGGTTGTTGTTGGTTTCTTCGACACTGTGTAAGTCTTGCTTCTCAAGGGCACATTCATTTCTTTTCGCTAATATAAGAATAGTTATTGGTCTCGGAAATTCAAGAGGCATATAGAGAAGAAGCGATCCGCACGGATGACAGCAATTCCTCAACTTGACGTGCCCGACATCTTCGTGGATGATGAGGATGATCGTAAACGGCCAGCGCAGCAGCGGACAACTATGGCTGCACCGCCGGGTAGCACTACATCATCCGATTTCCTTGCTGTGTCTGATGCCGCACGACCTCAACACAGAAGCTGGGCTTCCGGCACGGACATATCGACGTATGACGCGTCCCAGACGCACCCCCTAAGCCTACCGCGGGCAAGCCCGTCCATGCCTGGACCTCGCTCACATGCTTCGGCCTTCAGCTTCGAGCTGCAAGACTCCCGGCCAAATTCGGGCGAGAATAGCAGGCGCGGCAGTTCGGTAAGCCCTGCCCAGGTCAGAGAATTGCTCGACGATTCTGTCTGGGTTGAAAGCATTCGGCGAAGCGCAACAATACGACAATCAAAATCGGCCGGCCGATCTGACTGGAGTGGAGCTCGGTAAGGCCACGGATGGTTGTTACAACGACTACATTCAGCCCCGTCATGAAATAATACAGATCAAGGAGGGGCTTGATGACAATTATGGTACCCCAGTAACCTACAGAGGTACATGTCAAAAGATTCAGGGTGGGCTCAGGATGCATCTAAAGGGGTTTCTACACGAAGAGGAGCATGACTTGGATGAGGTTAACAGGCGTTTTTTTGGCATGTAACGGTTTGCATCGGACGGGACTGTCGTCTATACCACGAATTAGCGAATTTTGTTTTATACCATGTATTCACATCAATTTTAGAGAGGGCATTAGTTGGATGCCGATGTTCCGAAGCATTAGACAGACAGAGATACCAATAGCACATCGCGGGTGCTAACCTTTTATATGTATTTATCAAGAGTTCTGAGTCTAGGGGAAGGGGGGAAGTCAAAAAGAATAATAACATAAGAACGTAAAATTAAGTTAGGACCGTTCGTTTAAGTGCGGCGGTGCCAAGGAGTTCAATGGTACCTAGTAATATGTTGCCTACCACCTTCCTAGGTACTCAGTACCTAGTACTCGAAGCATTCAAGATAGAAGATTCAAGCCACAACCCGCTAGGATTGCTTAAAATGCCAAGAGCGATAAAGCTTAAGTAATATTGGCGTGCCACAATGCAATATCCATGACTCGGGGTACAATGGCTGAAGGTGCGGGTCCGAGCTCCTTCAAACGTTATGCAACCGGTACTAGGTACTGTAGGTACCTACAGCCAATACAACATGAATCAAATCCTGCCAATTTCAACAACTTCCCAACATTCGAACATTATTGTCAGTTCTCTTCTTCTAGCATACTCTGACACGGTATACTCCCAAGGCCGATACTTACCGCATATGTATCCCCTCACTTAATTATGAGAGAAGAAGAAATTGAAGGGAAAAAAAGTAACCAAATTATCACGCCTAATATTATTTTGTTTCGAACTATTACTAGGTACCTACCTACGTAGGTCCTAGGTATCGCGCAGTCGCGTCGGAGATTCCAGAATATTTCTATTTACGGAATCATGCCCTACATACATACATATGTAAGAACCCACGCAGCCCACGCTCTCGGCATAATTATCTGTGGCACGCATATCATGTATGTAGGCTGTATGCGTGTGCGATGATGAATGATGTCTCTGATGGATCGACGATATCATGCCTGTCATGAAACGTCCTGAATCATAGACCAAGCCATTTACGGCAACCCCTAATCCTAGCCGTCGATCACACACCCGAGAAGAGAAGTGTTCCCGTTTTACATAGTAAATGAGTAAATGTTGTAAGTTGTAACCCCAAGGCTGCAACACGTACTCCACGGCTACCATACTTAGCAACCCTAGTTCAAACAACGAGACCGGCGATGGTGCGATATTCTATTGCTGTCGGCAGGGCTACGAGACAGCAAAACTGCCATCGTGAGAAGCAAGCCCAGAACCAGATTGGTGGCGAGTTGTTTCACTACCATCGACCACGAGCGAGAACATACATATTTCTCACATCCCTAGGTACCTAGTAGGTACTGTACTACCTGATTACTAGGTAAGTATGTATGTCTTATCTTTTCTTTTTCTCCTATTGACCGGCAGACCAGATGGGATATGTAGTGCAGTAGTGCGTACTATTATCGTTTCCTACATTCAAGATTTCATAACGCTGTCCCTGTCGCATAAACACGAGCCTCGGATCTTCAGCCCCTGGAGCAGAGAGCAGGAGCTCCGGGGATCTGTGTGCTTTAACGAAGTAACATCGCTTGCTGTTCGTTCGAATTTCGAAGTTCGAACCCCATGACGAAGTGGATCATATGTTTATCAACTCCCTGCATGCCTCTCTACTATGCAGCGTATCGTGCACTGTCCCACCCCCATCTTCACAGCCCTCCGTTCAAGGTTAGAAGATCGTGTAGGGGTCATCGGGATCTCATAGTACTTAAAACTGGCCGAGCCACATACCGTCTACGAGGTTTTTCTCTCCAGACTCTTCTCTCAGTGTCCGTCTCTTCGACCACTCCTCAATAGGACCTCGTCGCCTCACAAGTATTAGCTGCTTGTTTTCTGTTCTATTCATAACCTCGCCGGAATAGACCGTCCTATCTTTTAATCGAAACCAGCTTCGAGCCATTCATTCGCACCTTACCTTCTTCAAATTTACGGGCTGAGCCTCTTTTTTTCACAAGCTTCTTTAATCAACTAGGCTTTCTCAACCCCAGAGCTATCAGCTATCAGAATACTCGAGCTCAACTAGGACGGCTTCAATTCAGAATTATTCAGCCACAAGCAAAAATGCAGTCGCGATTCCAGACCATCCGATCGCGATTTTCGCCTAGCGTTCTGCGCACATCATTCCGCCGCTCATCCTCGGCCTCGACCACCTCGACGAGTTCCTACCATTCATGCAGCTCGACCTCCTCGTCACCAGTAAGCACGATCAACGCCGTGTTGTTTAGGCAGCCATCAATTGCCGATCTGGAAGAGGAGAAGAGATGCTCCGGCCCTGAGTTAAGCGTACTCGAACCCAGGCCTATCGTATACTGGGGCGGTGTCGAAGAGCGGATGGGATCCTTGAATTTCTAAATTCAAGCCTGCGGCGACCATCTCCATCTTAGCCACCGAAGTTGAGTTTGCTCGATCAACATTGGTGTAGACGGAATGGTACCCGAGCCTTATTTTCGACCTATTTTTTTCTTCTTCTTCTCAAGAACCTAGATGGCTTTGGCTTTGCGCCTAATTTTATTCGAAATTTGGGTGCCCCCTGGAGGAGATCCGCTTATGACTTAGAGGTCACGACATGACGGTACGGGATTTATTGACTGAGGATATGTAATTCCTCTCCCGATAATGGGACACGAACATAACTTGAGACTCACAAACGGCTGAGATACGGGGTTTGGAAGGAACAGGGCTAATGGCGCTCGGTGAGGGTTATTCGGGATTAGAGCGCGTGTGCTCTGTAACTGATTTTTCAGGTAGAGATTTCCCAGATATTTCAGAGCGATCAAAATGAGAGAAGGCTTGTTCTTCGGACATGCTAGTTTGCCAAATCAATTGTTCATATTAAGAAACTCTGTCCGGTCGTGGTGTTTGTACTAGGTATGTATGTATGTACGTATGTACATACCTAGGTAACTACAGTGTATTACGGTTTCTATTACGGTACATTGTAATGTCCATTTTCAGATGGTCAATTACTTCATGCGTATGGTGCGGGTGTCGGACTTCGGGGGGAAGGTACTAATCAGTGTGGAAAAAAGCTCCGGCGACCGGCTCTTGCCCCAGTCTCTTCCGATCGAATTTCCACTAATAAAGTAACAACAGTATCGCGATATTCTCTAATGGCATAACACAATTCAAAATCTCGGTCTGAGTCATTCATTAACCAATCATTCTCTTACCTGAATGAATGAAAGCATGCAATTAGTTTACTTAAGGTTAAGAGTATAGACGATGTCTAATCTATGTTCCTAGTAGTTTCATGGGCCAGTCAGTCTCTTATAATGGACAGCGAGAGTGAAGATAGTTTCGAACTTTCCAGTAACTCTGGTAACTCCAGCAATGCAGGAGACGGTAGTGGCGTCTCTATCATTGATCTTACTCGGTCACAAGCCCTAAATTTATATGTTAGCCATGCATTTTCAACTTGGAACGCTCGTGGTTACGAGTTTGCCACGGTATGTCCCCCAAATATGTCTCCTCAGTGGAAGTTCAAATATCTGTTAGCTCATCACATTATGGATAACAAGATTCTCTTCACCGCATCGGCATATCCGGATACCCTCGTAGCAGCTGCTCTTCGGCAAGCCTCACCCCTATGTTCAACCCTCTCGAGGACTGCTATTAATCTAAGCCCGCACCTAGCATGATCATAGTATATTTTGCCATGATCTTACTTTCTGGTTCTGTCGGACGATGGGTTCAACATTCGCCTAATAGACTTCGTACTCTGCTTTCGACCATCATCTGCAACCGGGGCTCCGTCATCGTTGGCTCGTTTTTCTGGATCCTGATATTGAGCCAGGAAGACCTCGTTGGGCGTGAGGCTACCTTCGTATTGCCCAAGAATGCGCTGCTCAAAGGCCTTGGATTCACCGTCGCCGTAACATTTGGTATTATCGAGCGCTTAAGCGCTTCCGGTAATCTTATATCGATGGAGCGAGATTGGGTAGTCACCGTGGCCGCCCCGGCCGGCAGACCATACGACCTGACGCATCTAAATGCAGTCATGCGGCGGATCGATCTTGTATGCAAATTGATTTCCCCCATCTTAATCGCAGCTGTCATTTCAGTCCTTGGATCGATCCGCTTGGGCGTTGTATTCACTGGCCTAACAAGCCTACTGTGCATCCCAATCGAAGTCTTCTCTGCTAAGAGGGTTTGGAATAGTAGCCCCTTGCTGCAAGCACCACGTGCGATGCCCCCATCCGAACCCCCGCTAACTCAAACAACACCGACGCCATGGCTAGCTAAGACCCGGCAGTATACTCATGGTTTTGAATTATATTTTAGTACGACGGTCTGGATCCCGTCAGTTGCCTTAGCACTTCTACACTTTAACATGTTGACATGGCGCGCAACCTTCATCACATATTTGATCAATGCAGGGTACTCCCTCAACATCATCACCCTGGCTCGGGCTCTCGGCTCCTTGTTTGAGATTACTAGCACAGTCATTACGCCGCGCGGTATTGTGTACATGGGAAAGGCACATCATCACGCCAACTCGTCGTCGATGGATGAACGCGACGAAGCGGAAGTTGGCTTAATCGGCAGTGATCATGGAGGAAATCGTGACGTCGAAACAATAATTGGACTGCAGCGTCTTGGCCTTTGGGGTATGAGCTGGCAGCTCGTAAATACGGTAAACAGCTCCATTCAACAAGCCATCCTTGCGGCGGAGTATTAACGCAACATAGTTCCCTGTAGTTCTTTCATTGTGGATGATCTCATCGCAAAGTGACCCAAGTGAAGGCCTATCTACATTTGCTCGAGGAATTACCGGAATCGCCTCTAAGCAAACTTCGCCTAACGTGGGTTGGAGCATAGTCTTGTTCTCATTCCTGGCCTTTTCGAGGCTTGGGGTATGGATCTTCGACCTTACAACCCAGCAACTGACACAGACGCTTGTGGCACAACATCAACGCTCGAGTTTTGCTGGAACAGAAAACTCAGTGGTGAACATTTTTGAACTGCTCGGTGCCAGTGCTGCTATCGCCTTCCCTCGCACCGAGCAGTACAGGTGGCTTGCGCTGGCGAGCCTTATGACGGTGATTGTAAGCTGGATAATGTATGCTTTCTGGGTGCGTCGAGAAAGGGGCCACTTGGTTCACTGGGAGAAACTAGCTCAGGGGTTTTGTTCCAGTGGAAGGAACTGGTAACGGCTACGTCTAGTGTAAAGAAGAAATATCCATATTCTACTAAGTGAGATAGGGGGCAAAATTTCGGATGGAACGCGCGTTCCGTGAGTGTTGGATATTTTCAAGTGGTCATCAGAAGAGATGAAAATTCATATGACAGTGTAAACCGTCACGGAGCTATCGCTGGTTTAATACTAGGTACTTACTCGAGATCGAAATCGCACATTATCGAGTAATTCCACGCAGAAAACATGAAACTGTTTTCTATCTCATGATATATTTCTGCCGAAAACCGACTTTATTGCCCCTGGAACTTTTCTTCTTTTCTTCTTCATCACTTATTTAAAAACATATCTAAATTTTCATCACATCGTGTTCGAATACTGGATTTAAAATATCCTGCATTTAGCAAAGACCAACCAGCAGGTACGGATTATCTTCCCAGATCTTAATTTTCAATTTTCGATATTAACGAATTCCTTGCAGCCAAGTACTTCATATAAATAATCCCCTCTGCAGTCTCGACTGAGGGGTATATTTCATTGCCAACACTCAGTATGTCGAAGCTTCCAACAATATCTTCTCCAGAGAAGACTCCATCCCCCGAGGGTCAGAGCCCATCGCATGAGCCTTCGCACGACTCTCCTTCTAGTAGATATAGAGAAGAAGGAGAAGAAGACCCCAACACGGGGTTGTACCCAAGCCAAGATCTTTCAGATCATTTTGTCGACTTCTCAGTCGAGCCGTTATCCATCATCTCTCTACCCCCGAAAACCAAAAGTGCGTCAGGAGATTTGTCTAGTGTCAGGCAAAATCTGCCTCCTTTGCCTCCCATACCTCTCCTCGCGTTGACACCCTACCAACCCACACACGATATGTCGTGCCATTTTGTCTACGGGCACAACGACAAGGGACAGAAGCAGGTGTCCCTACCAGAACCAAACGGTATGACTATAGAGGTCAAAGGATACTTAGACCTGGATAAAGATGAGGTATACAAGGAGTGGCTTGGGACAGGTAAGGAAGATAACGGGTGGTCTATAATCGACAAATCGGTTGAGGCAGTCGGTGGGAGTGAGGTCCTAGGAAGGTCATATAGAGAGGACATTGAGCTCGAACCGGTTAACGGGGCTATTGCTGAGCAGCCCGAACCCAAGCGACTAAGGGTACACCCACTATTCACAGCCCGTTATGGAGACGACCCGAATTGGGGCTCAATGGCCGAGTCAGGCGGTGTGTAGTAAATCATATACTCGTTATTGGGTGCCCAGGTACTGTACTCGCTGCTTATAAATGGAACGAAAGCTAACCTCGTCACATATATTATGTCATTTACCAATATGTCGTTTATTAACTGTGAAATTGCAATATGTATGGTCCTAGTGAGGTTGGCGAATACCAGAAGCTAGGGGGGGAATTATAGGAGCTACATGTACCTTAAACTAGAGACTTACCTCGGTATACAAACCCGATACAAACCATACAAAGAGCTAAAGAGTTCTCTAAGACGCTATCAATCTATAAAATATTGTTAGACCGGTGTTGTGTAAAATATAGCAACGCATGATGGCAAACAAGTCCAACATTACAAAACGATATGTTGATGGATGTATCAGGAGCACCTGATATACATCTGCTAGTGACAATGCTTCTGTCTGGGGTGCCACAATATACATGATCCTGGACTATTCACTGCCTACCTACGTATCAGTGACACTTTCAAAGTATCCCTAGGTACCTATGTATGCGAGGCCTTATACCCATGATACGTGTTGCTGGATAGGTAACGACATGATGAAGCAGAAATCCATCACATATTTAACAAATGATTGCTTTAATGCTTGGCGAGTTATAGGGATTTACATATATCCAAGGACAAGGTGCGAGTGAATATGAGATGTGGTAGTAACTCTCCTGAATAAGGGACCAGGCCAATAAAGCTTCATCCGTACTTATTCACTCATGACTACCTACTTATGTATCATATGGATGTTATCATTGCTTCAACTTAGCAAACCTAACTCCCCCGCCCCCCATTTCATTCCATCTCTTCTCTCCCCCCCCAACACAAGCAACGAGCTTTTTACTGCAAGTCTTGAGTACCCCAACCGTCGTCCCCCTCCTGACACTTTCATACACATCACTGAATCCTCCCACCTCATCGTATAGCATCTACGTGTAAGAGGATGCCAAAACCCATATGTTCGATTTCGATCCCACGAACTTTGCCTCCTCCTTGCTACGTTTTCCCAACAGCAAGCAAGCAGTTGCTAATTTCCAACAACCAAATCCAAAAAATATCATCATAATCGTCACCATAACCATCCTCTACAGTACGACAACTGAATCCCAGTAAATTCAAACCATGCCCCCAGAAGGCGAACCCGCCGCTAGGACTGGCACCGGTGCTGGTGCTGCTGTCGCAGCAGCCGCCGCAGCCCTTGCTACCGCCAACGAAGCTGCCGACACCACGCCTCAGCCGAAGCACAAGTCCACCCGCAGCCACGATCCCGAAGCCCGCATCCCTTTCTTGGCGTGGTTCCTAGTCGGGGGTACGGGCCGGCCACCCAAGAAGCGGAACTTCATGCGCATGGCTAGGGAACGCAACGAGGCCGGCAGGAAAGCCAAGGCCAAATCCGCGCCGCGGAAGTAGGCCCCGCCTCAGGGCAGTAAGTGCCTTGCAGACTGAGAGGAGCAGTGGAGTTCGGTGGACGGCGCCGACCTGTTGAACAGGGCTCTTAGACAGAGGAAGAAGTAGGTGGTCAGATATGAGGGAGGGATGAAAGTGTGGATGTGAATATGTCGTTGGGCGGCTGTTGTTGAATATATTCACATTCGGTTTGATATAAGAAATTTGGGTGGGTGAATGAGGTAAGCTAGAATGAAGCGACAAGACGATACTCCTATAGCATATTGAGTAGCGATAACAGTTCGTTGACACCTTTGTCTACTATCAGTATTTAGTGCAAGCACGGGAAGCTTCGATGAACACTAGTTCATAGCTCATACTGTGATAAATCAACACTTAGATACATACCGATGTTTACCGTCCCGGAACTTAAACCAAATATTCAAGCCACGAAAGTTGGCTCAAGACTCGTTGTAATATTAATGATCAACTTCGGAGATTGGGCGTGTTCTACTAAGAGTAATCTCACTTGAGCAACGTTATAGCACTGACCAGCAGCATCAACAGGAGCGATTATTAACATGTAAATCATAATTAATGCAATGCGAATTTATTGCCCCCCACCCATTGTGCCCGTGTTATGACCGACAGTTTAACAATATGTACAGGTTTATAAGTCTTCCATGGCCATGCCTCAAGAGTTAGCTCGCAGTATCTATTCACCGAAGCTCTGCAGGGAAGCTAAGCAAAGTTAAGGCGGGCAAGGCTCACAACGATTATCTGACAGTCCATTGTGAGCCAAGCCGAGGAGAACTCGGAAAACTAACGTCGGTTTTGGGAGACTCGTAAAAAGAAAAATAAGAAAAAAAACCACCAGCTCCACCTGCCTTGATCCATATACCGTGGCAGCACGCGCCTAGCACACAGCAAAGAAAATGTATAGGCCAGTGGAGATGCAATCAATGTAGCCGCGGGCTACAAACAGTTCCGGTCCAGTTTGGCGAAATGTATACTTGCAACGCCGGCAAGTCGACAATTTTCATACGCGCCGGACATCAACCGCCCGAACTAAAACGTTGAACGACGTCTTTCAATGCGGTCCGGTTGAAGAGATTATGAGAGTCGTAGGCTGAGGCGGTAACATCAGTCATCGTAATGCCATCATCCAACGAGACCTTGGGTATCCTGACACCGACCGAGGCCCCCAAACGTCGGAATATCATTACGGTGTAAGGGTGGAGAGTAAGATGCATGGCAAGTAGGATTTACTAATAATCCAGTGCCGCCAAATCGTCCACCGACTCCTTAGTATCGGTGATGCCGAAAATGGGGGCATTCTTCTTAGCCCATTGACGGGTGATGAGAGAAGCTATGGGCTGTTAGTAAGGAAAAGGGACCAGGAATATTAAGCGGGGTTGAATTACCTTTCATGAACTTCTTGCTGGCATACTTCTTGTAAAACGCCTCGTGACAGATAGGTCGAGCCAAGTAATCGACCATGAGCTCGAATACCGGCTCAATCTCTTCCTCGGTATATCCGGCGTAGAAAGCGATAGTCGGGTCCTAAGAGAAGGTTAGAAAGAAACTCGATATATATTTTTTAAAAATAAAAATAAAAATTCTGGTAGTGAAAGTACTTACCCATTCACCCCGATCAAGAATCATCCGAGCCAGATACATCGCCGCTGCAGCAACATGGCTAGGGCGGTACGCTAAGAACCGGTGATCGACGATACTGATCTCCATCAAGAACTTTCCAATGGTTCGAGATTGGATATCGTAGTCATCTGCCTTAGAGATGCGTCGAAGGAAGTTCATAGGGTTGGGATAGCTGAGGTCGTAGTTCAATGTTTCCAGAATAAATCGCTCCGCACTAAGGATCTCGGCATCACTAAAGCCGTCGTCGGATACCATCCTATAGTTACTAACATGGGGTGATAAGACCTCCTCGTACTTCGCAGCTACGAACATAGCAGTGATGCCAACAAGCTGGACGCGGTCAAGCTGTACAACCTTCTGAGAAAGGAAGCGATCGATAATGTTGGTTGCAAGGAATAGAGTCTCAGGAAGAAGGTGGAACCGCGTATGGACCTCGATCATCCAGTCGACTAGGATGCTTCGCGTCTTCCACTCTAACTCGTCTTGGTGTATTATGTACTGAGGGTTCGGGACTGACTTGCATTCAAGGTCGCGGAGGTAATCGAAGATCTCGTGGGCGTATTCAGCAACCATCAGAGGGTCCTCGAGGCCCTCCTCTTCCAAGTCTTTAACACCCGGCGGCAGCACTAGACCAACCTCTTGTTGAGGAGGTACAGCCTCCTTGCGAGATGCCTTCTCAGGCACGGGCTCCAACTTCTCCAGCTGAGGTTCTAGTCGTTCCTGTTTTTCAAGAGTATGAGCCTTCTTGCGGACTGGCTCCTCGGTAAGGACGTCTTGCTTGATCGATGTCGAAGTTACCTTTCGCTTGTGAGATCCGATAGCACCCGAGCCGGATCCTGCTCGCTTCACTTCCGTCTTCTTCGTCTCCTTGGTAGCCAGGGCAGATCGGGTTGTGGTAGTACGAGCTTGGCTCTTCTGAACACCTGTAGGTTGTGCGGCCTTGGAAACTAGGCCAACCTTTCCTCCACCAAGAGGCTTCTTTCCCTCAGCTGCTTCACCTTTTCCAACATTACTGACATCGCCTAGAGCAGCACGCTTTCGTTGAGCGGCAGGGTTCGCATTCACTGCTGACTTCTTCGACTGAAGGGGTTGCTTAGAGGGTTGAGACGTAACGTCGACATCAAGTGCCGCGGCCTTAGCACGCGTCATACGCGTAGAATTCTCATCATTCTCGTTGGAAGACACGACGCGTCGGGCGGGGCGTCCCTATGAATATCAAATCAGACATCGTTCAAATAGTGCAGCAGGGGAGTATAAATATGGAAACATATGTGAAGCAAGTTCAAGTTGTACCAAGATACAGTCGAAGGATTGTCGGTAGGGCGAATCAAACTTACAGGAGGCATCTTGAAAGATGATTGGATACCTTGAAGACACAATTGAACTTCGAGAATGGTACTAGAATGGCGAGACAAATTAGCTATGACCTAAACGTGTTGCGAACATACATATTTATATATGTGTGTGAGAGATAATGATAACACTGAAGACTTAATTGTAAAGTCGTGTAATGCTAATCGCGAATTGGGATGAAGGTAGAAGCAATGAAGCAATACATGCTGTGATTAGGATTCGAAGGAAACATACTTTAGAGTTGGTTCACTGAACCGTCAACAAAGGCAACTTTATCAACAAGCCTCTTTCAACATCAGACGTTGACTCGTCCCAAAGCGAGAGTAATATGCAGCAAGTCTAAATGACAAGACGTGATGTGATGTGTGATGCAACTGCAAATGCGGACGCGGAAGATGATGTATGATTGTACGGTGTAAGGAGTATTAAGTGGAAAAGAGTAAGATTAAGCAATGGGGGAGGAAGAGGAAGAAAAGAAGAAGCTGAATTGGATGTGTGAAATGGTGGGAGAAGATAAGGTCGATGATTGTTTATGGTAGAAATGGCAGAAGAATTGTGATGTTTTTGAGGAGTACAAGCCAATGTTTTGGCTTTTGGTAATTGGGGATTGAAAGCAAAAAAGGCGTGGTGGAGTAGTGCAGCAGGTACCTTTTCTTACCTTTACGTGACCCTAGGGATATGTTTGCATGCACAGCGTGGAAAGCGGTACACGGTTGCTTAGCGCGAATTTGACAGTGTCAAAGTACCCAGGTACCTTAACTCTGACCCCTGCTAAAGCAGTTTGTACCCTCGGCGACCACCTGGGCAGGCTTCGTCAATACCTGTAGGTGTGAGGTACGTACCGAAAGATCAGACTACTCACCCTGGTACGCGATTTGGTTTCAAGCCTACCAGAGGTCAGTCAAATAGGCAGATGGAAAATTGATATTAAAGAAGCTATTGTTCTTCAAGTGAGACCCAGTTAATGAGTTGAAGAAAGGGATGGAAGAATCAATAGATGCAGGATATTATGGGAAGATAAGAGTTCCAGTGTCGGCAATATTTGTTTGACAATGGGTAATGGTGAATAGAGAGGTTGTAGGTGGTAGGTGTAAAGAGTAGGTGAAGGTTTAAAGGTGGATGTTGTAGAAAAGAGGTTGGTTGGTGTTGGGTATGGGAAGGAATTGCTGGAGCTTTTTAGGTACTTCCTCGAGTTTGGAAGACGCGATCTGAAGATCCCACACGGTACAATAGTACAGTATACTGGGTCCTGCCACCAGGCGACGGTTGTTACGGTCCCGCACTTGTCTTTTTTTTTCCTCACAAACGTGACTAGATCCACAATCCCACTAAATCAACAGAAGCAACGGCGGAGCAACGGGTTTTTAATTGGTTCAACGTATAACTGCCTGGGGAAGTGCCTCTCTTTGGCCAATCCGCTGACGTGATTCCGCGTTCGCGCTAGCATGTGGCTGAACTGTCCAATCGTCATCAGGGTGAGTACCTATGTACTCTTCAGTACATGTTCTCACTGTCCATTCTCATTCAGCCGCATCCACTGACTAATCATCTGCAAACTGGCAAAATATCGGTAAATAATGAGACCGACTTAATGTGCCAAGCCTTGACCCTTGACCCCTGACCCTTGACTTCGGAAGAACTTGAATTCCTGAATAGCTTCAATTGCTGAATTTTGATTCAAGGTTGAATTAGATCAACCTTGCCCCTCCCTTGCCGACTGTGCGCAATTCGACACATATATGCCGCCCGTCAGGTGCGAAATGATAGCATGATACAGCCGCGAATCTTTTCCCTCTCAGCTCGGAGGGTATTGACAAACTGTCAATGCTCTTCGTCGAGCTTTTCCCTCCGAAGCTTTGCGACGGTTCGCGAGGCTGTAACTCCCCCCGACCCCTCCGTCGATCCTTTTTCGTCGGTCTCCAAGCCTGCCAAGAAATATGTACCAGCCATAACGAAGTCTGACAAGGAGTCTTCAGAAATTATACGCACCTACAAGCCTAGAACACCCGGTGTACGACACTTAAGACGGCCTATCAACGATCACTTATGGAAAGGCAGGCCCTTCCTCCCATTGACCTACCCGAAGAAGGGCATGGCCAAGGGTGGGCGTAACAATAATGGGCGCATCACAGTTCGGCATCGTGGCGGAGGTGCAAAGCGAAGAATAAGAACAGTGGATTTTCACCGTTGGGTCGCCGGCCCTCATACTGTCGAGCGAATCGAATACGATCCGAATCGTAGCGCGCACATTGCTCTGCTCAATGAGGATGCCACTGGCAAGAAAACATACATCATAGCTGCCGAGAGTATGAGAGCCGGAGATGTGGTACAAAGCTACCGGTCCGGTATCCCCCAAGACCTTCTCGAGAGCATGGGCGGCGTGATCGATCCAGGTATCCTCGCTGCTAAGACGGCACATCGTGGAAATTGCCTACCACTACATCTTATTCCTATAGGAATGCCCGTGTATAATGTTGGCTCCCACCCGAAGGGAGGTGCTGTCTTCTGCCGAAGTGCAGGCACTTTTGGTGTCGTCGAGAGTAAGGACGAGGAAATGAGAGACGATGGTGTGAAGGTCGTGACTGGTAAATATGTCACCGTCAAGCTGCAGAGTGGTGAGGTTCGGAGAGTTAGTAAGGATGCGTGCGCAACCATTGGCGTTTCGAGCAATCCTCACCACCATTACCGCCAGCTTGGTAAGGCTGGTAGAAGTCGATGGCTGAATATTAGGCCAACAGTGCGTGGTGTAGCAATGAACAAAGGTATAGCCTCATAGATGTTTGATGGAGGCCAGAGCCGGACGAGAGCTAACCGGTAATTTCTAGTGGATCATCCTCACGGTGGTGGCCGTGGCAAATCAAAGGGTAACCGACACCCAACGAGTCCCTGGGGCACACCGGTACGAGATTATCACCCCCCTGAAGGCGGTATAGGCAGCCAGGTACTAATATATAATCTTAGTCAAAAGGTGGTTACAAAACCCGCAGGAAGAATAACCCCAACAAATGGGTTGTGGTTCCCAGAGTTCGAAACATGGGCAAACGAAGAGACAAGAAGGGTAAGGAGTGATAGAACCAATTTTCGTCGAGATAGTTCTATGCGCTTTACCCACCTGTATCATATAAACTCTTCGCAGGTAGAACGAGGCGTACATATCGAATGTACCATACTGAACGAAGCTTAAGTCTTGTTTTCTTGCCATAGATAGTGAAGCATGGTAGGTTCAGACGTTCTTTACATCTATGACATGTTTCTGAGTAACATCCCCGTCTCCTACACTATCCCGTACTAGCACTGGACGTGAGCGGTCCTCACATTTCTTGATAAGTCGATAATTTGACTTACTAGAACATGTGTACTCGTTAATAATGGATTGCCTAAAAAAAAAAAATTTGGTGAGAGCAATGCAATTCCGATGACTCGTGTATTTGCCTTGTGTCGACGATAGAACGTAATTCGCAATGGTGACAATTAAAACAGAGAGCACTATCTGTACTACTTATGGACCTCATACAGCATCCAACGGAGCTCGCATATCACTTGCTATACCACCGTTGTTATTATCACTACCATTATTTGAAGACTTTTTATACTCTCTAAGGCTCTTATCATCGTACCAATAAACCCCCCCAAAATGGTGCCTCGCTACCATGAATGCTTCCATAGAATGTAAATATTTACATACAAGACGTCCACCAATCATAAATCGTCCCAAAAAGCCAAATATTCTCTGAATATGCCGAAACAATAGATATTTTCCCAATTAGATATAATTCGATGGTTTCGTTCGTAAGAGATTTTAGTTTAATTTTCCAGGTAGTTGAAGATGTTGGTCAAGCTAATATTTATTTCCATTAAAAATAGACATTCATCTACATGATTACCTGCTCATAAATGAGGCATTCCGCTTTGCCTTGAATAGTGATGAATATGTACTCCTATTTCATGCCAACTTCATATCTATCCAGAAATCTCCAATAAAGTCGTATGCACTAATTCCAATTCACCAATACTAGCGGTAACAGGAAGGCAGAAAGTATTCTCCTACGCAACCTGTCTATACCAGTTACTAATCGGGTCACCCAGACATTCACCAACAGTAACAGCCTTATAACCCCGGCTCTGGATACCTTGAAGCATGTACTCCGTCAGATTATGGACAGTCTGCTCATGGATGTCATGTGAAATAACCAAAGCATCGTCTGTCCCTGACGACTTGTCCTCGAAATATTCGTCGAAGTTATCCTTAGAGTTCTGGATCAAGCCGGGCGAGTCGTTAAGGTAGTCAGCGGTATCTAAGTCGAAGTATACGACATGGTACTCCAAAGATGCCATATCGTCTTGACAGCCGCTTAACTCTGTGCAAGAACTGTAAGGCGGTCGCATGTATGTTGGGATGAAGCCGAGGATGTTGCGGAGGGCCATCTCATTCTTAACCATCTCATCCTTCCGCCGGGATGATGTGACAGTGCTGAGGTCGGCATGAGACCAAGTATGAGAAGCGATCTGATGTCCATCGGAGTACATGCGTCTGAAGAAATATATTTAGAAAGGAACCACGGTCGCTAATGTTGGAAACGCTACTCACCGAATCACCGAAGGCCACACAAGACTGGTATTATCGATTTCACCTTTGCCGTTATTGATACCGGTGATAAAGAACGTGGCTTTGGCGTTATACTTTTCCAGAAGATCCAGGAGTTCAGACGTATACTCGCCAGGGCCATCGTCAAACGTCAGAGCAACGTCACCCTCATTCTCACAGTCGTAAACGCCCGCGCCGCCAACGGCAACGCTTCCTAGAGGTGATCGACTCAATGTCGACGTGTTGATACCTGTAGGGGTCTTGTTCGCATCACAGGCTGGTCCGTAGTCAAATAAGCAATCTGGAGCGCGGCAGTGATCTGTAGTGGTGCCGCAGTATCTAGCAATGATATGTAAGAAATGCCATAATTGATAATCGAAGTAAGCTTACCCAGAAGCAGAGCAGCATTCTGTCTCCTTGCATACCGCATTATCGAAATCAGGACCGCAACGTCCGTCAGTATCACTCCCGGTATTATTACCACCGCTGCCACCAGAACATGTTCCAAATGCAGTTTGACATCCAGTCTCGCAATAATCGGTTGAATCACCGCAATATCCACTAGGCACTGGTCTTAGCTTGAGCTTCAAGAAATCCAACCCCTGGTACCCACTATTGAGAGCAGCACATGCCGGTCGGGCAGATATATCCATGTTCCCCAGCTCCTGTTGTTCCGCATGTTAGATCTGGTGAGACTCCTCCATCACCATCATCACCAGCTCCCCCGTCCCCGTCGCCGCCAGATCCACTGCAAATGCCGAACTGAGTTTGACAACCAGTAGAGCAGTAATTAGTTGTATTGCCGCAATAACCATACTGGGAACAGCACAGGTTATCGGAGCATGTGTAACCCTTAGTACCGGCTCCTGTATTCCCACACGTTAAGTCCGGTGATACATCGCGCTGGCTAAGCCACGGAGGTAGCGTAGAGGCGAAGCTAATCGTCAATTGGCTTGCCAAGGTTAGAGATTTCAAAGCGCTCGACCGCATCTTATAAGAGACCTTAAAGCAATGTAGCCAACAAGGCGAATGTAGTTAACGAGAGTGGCTAACGAGCGTATCGTTTGGTAAACAGAGTAACTAATGAATAAGAAAATTTAAGCATGGGAGAATCAGCCGTTCATCAGGTATATACTTATTTGAAGCCGGCCACTCAGGTCTCCACAGAGACCAGATGGAATCGACCTCCTAAGTCGCTTCCCAGCGACGGCAGCGTGCTACCAATACAGCGAAGGCCCGGGGAATCGTGTCTGGACACATGGTGGACCATCGTAAGGAAATGGAATCTTGGGGACTCGTGCATGTGCGAGAATCGACGAAAAGTAACCTGCAGCCACGATGACATACAACGGATCATGTCTTGATGTTACCGGCCAATCGCATCTCATCAAACAAGCCATCAGGTCTAGATCACGGGTCATCACCCACAATATTTATACCGGCATGGAAAGCCCCTAAGATCCTTTTTTAAAAAAGAAAAAGAAAAAGAAAAAGAAAAGCCTGTCTACTAGATCAGACCTAACTACAATTAACTGATGAGGTCCTTACCAGGTGGATAGTTGATAGGAAACGAAAAACAGCGAGGAATGGTCCAGATACCCCGTAGGGAGACACCACGATCAAGAGCCCTTATCCGACCCTAGGTAGCTAAGTAAATGCGTACGTAACTCCTGAAAAGAATAGGGACGGAGCTGAAGTATAAATCCAGAACCTTTCGATGGCGTGAATATTTGATGCAAAATCAACAAATCATAACCGGCTGGATGCATGGCTGAGCTCCGCGGCGAGCTATCTGTTGGTCTGCCAAGCCGCACTTGCAGTCGATAAATACGAGATCGGACGCAGTCCTGGAGAACACTGGGCTGAAAGAAAGCCAGCGTTGAAGACGCACTCGATGATTTAAATGATCGAGAAGTTGAGCCTATAAATTGGATATAAAGGTACCTACCTAGGTAAGGTAGGTAAGGTAGGTATGTTTTTATGATAGTATAATGTTAACAAGGTATTTAACATCTAATCGAACATTGATGTTTATATGGTGATACGAGGCTATTCGCTACTTACCTACTTAAGTGGGTACGGTGTATGATGTACGCCGTATCCATGGATGTATGTAGGTCTATCTCTGACCACTGACCACTGACCACTGACTGCGTACGTATATGTATGACATCGTATACGGCGAGATTGAAGTATCTAGGAAGTTAGGTGATATTGGCTGACTTGACTGGTGTAGCTAAGGATATACGTGGCTTAGGCCAGTTTGGGTTGACCTTGCAAGAGCTATCATAACGATACGTTAATAACAAGCACCTATAAGTACAAGGTAGGTATGATTTCATGAGTGTCTATGGGTAGATGTCTGTGAAATTCGTGGACGCCGAGGTGTTGAGAGGCGAATATTAAGAGAGTGGCAGTGTGGCGTCCACGAGAGGCCGAGAAATGCCTTAGAATGGCTTTAGATCGGTCGGGTGAGCCGTTATAGTACGGACGTACCTTGCCGTTCATTTTCGGCGATGCTTCCATTGGTTGATGAGAAGTTTGTGTGCTTCAATAATACGTGACATATTCAAGGTTTAAGGTGTTCAAGCCGCGTAATGATTCAATATCAGCCACACTGCCACAGTAGATTGGTGAAGTACCTAGGTACATAACTATATTGATACATAAAACCACTAACTAAAAAGAGATTTAGAGTCATTATAGGGTGCTTAAAATAGAACATAACCTTAATTGATTCCCCAGGAGTTAAAATAACCTTATGACTCTTGGAATTGAACATTAGATAATACCTAGGTACTTAGGTAGATACTTGGTGTAACCATTAGATAGGTACGGTAATATTGTATGAACTCTAAAGGTAAAATAAATATTTATCTGACTTGAAGATATGTCATCTTTTCGACGATGATGCGAATCGCATTGCTTCTAATACATTATCTTAATGCGAAGATGCTGGCTATCTTGTTCAAATCTGGAATTGCATAGCCCTCTTAAATGAGATTTTAGTGCGCTAGGGGACAGCCATGTGCCATGGCCATAAAGTCTGACAGCTCACCAATGCACCAATGGGTCTTATTAATAATAATAGGAAAACCAAGGGATCCTAAAACGAGACCGATCTATTTCACTTGGACTAATGGGGCTACCTAGAGTTACATATTTCTTTTCCCCCTTTCCCGTCTCCATATTCTGGATCTATGAACCAGGATCTGCCTGAGATTTGCCTGAGACTTGACGCGAGAGAAACAGGTTACTGTACACTTTACGCAGCACGCTTCTGACACTGCCACATCGCTATTCGACAACGGTAAACCGGCAACTCGACAGCTCGATCCATTATTTGGTTATCCCAGCGTTTAATAAGACCAACGATCGCTGAGAGCTCCAGAAAAAAAAGGGAAAGAGAAAAAAGGTACAGACAGACAGAGTAGTTTTGGAAATAAATCCTACCGCGCGGCATTTTACCGTATCTTGGTACGAAGCGCATCGACAACTCTAAGCCAAGACCCCCGGACCCACGCGACCTACTACCTCATTGGGTTTGATTCGTCTCAAATTCTTCGCATTCTCATCGTGAAGGCGCGGCATTAGGACGATCTCCATTGGCATTCGTTAGCGGCAAAGGCTGGCCAGGCTCTCAAGTTTGGGGGCTTTGGTTATTGGCGTACGTAGCAGCGTAGCAAGGAAGGAGAAAAAATAAGAAGAAAAAAAGGGCGAAGGATCTTCTGGGGAGTGCAGAATACATACTGTAGCGATTCACAAAAGAAGGAGAAGCAAAGCACCAAGACAAGTTCAACTTTGGCGCGCTCTTGGAGCTTCTCGACCATTTCCCCCATACTACATCATCTAATGCCTACCTGGCCTACCTGCTACTAGCCTATTATACTACTAGCATAACCTGCCTACCTAGGTAGTAGGTGTTCAAGCTAATATCTGAAAGCCTAATAAAGGCGACCAACAAAACCTCGTTGAAATGCCCGAGGACGACCACAACATCCCGACTCCTCTTCTCTCCCAACCCTACAGCAGAATGTCCGAACATGGTTTTGCGAATATGTCGAATCGCAAGTCCAAGCTTAGTATCTTAGTCATCGGGTCCTATGTCTTCGACTGGCTGATACTTGTCGCCGTCGGCGTCGTTGGTGTCGTGCTGGGTAATGTCACCCCTAACAAGAGACCTTTTAGCTTACAAGATCCTAATATATCGTACGTATACAATTTACCTTCGTCGCGAAATCAATCGAGCTTCATAACAGGCTAACTTTCCTCATAGTTTCCCTTTCACCGTCCACGAGACCGTATCGTCTGCCATCCTTTTGACCTGCAATGCCGCTATCCCGGTCGCCGTTATTCTAATAGTTGTTATGATATTTGTACCTGGACCTACCGTACCTAAAGACACACCGAAATCGTTGATTTGGAAACGGAAGCTTTGGGAATTACATACGGGATGGCTAGGCTTGGCTCTTTCATTAATATCGGCTTGGATCATTACTCAAGGAATGAAGAATCTCTTCGGAAAGCCGCGACCAGATCTCCTATCCAGATGCCAACCCGATCTTGCCAATTTCCAGAAATACATTGTCGGCTTTAACACGCCCTCCGACGACGGTTCTCTTGACGGTCCCTATAATGGCCAGCTGGTTAGCGGAAATATTTGCAAGAACCCGAATAGTTCTTTACTCGACGATGGATTCCGTAGCTATCCCTCGGGACACGCCAGTTCGGCGGCCGCAGGGCTGATTTATCTTTCGTTCTTCCTAGCAAGCAAGTTCGCTATCACGCTCCCGTTCGTTCCAGAGGGAACACCCTCAAGCGACACCGGTCTTGTCACCGCTTTCCCATCTCGTTTACGCGGCGGCGGAGTCGATACGTCTTATGAAGCTGTTCGACAAGCTGCACAACACGGCGAAGGGATCGACAGATCCATGTCAGAAACAAAACAGATTGGGGCTCATAACTCAGCCGTCCTATCCATCCGACGACAAGCTGCCGCGCCTCCGGTGTACCTACTGCTGATAACGGTTCTTCCCTTTTTCACCGCCATCTTCATCGCCAGTTCGCGTTGGTTTGACTTCCGACACCACGGATTCGATATTCTCTTCGGGTTCATGATCGGCACGATTACGGCTTGGTTCGCGTTCCGCTACTACCATCTCCCAATCAGGTCAGGCGCAGGGTGGGCCTGGGGTCCGCGCAGCCATGACAAGGCATTTTGGGCAGGCTTGGGCTCGTGGAGTTACGCGACGGATAGAAAGCACTGGATTCGACCCGGGGACGAGGTAGAAGGAATGACGGGCCACCGCGCAGATGATATCGAGTTGGGAGTGCGGTATAGATCGAAAGCAGATGCCCAATCGCATGCGGAAAGCTCCGAGACTGCTGCTATGGAAGGGGGGCGAATTTGAGAAGGAGTCAAAAGTTGAGGAGTTGCTATTTTGAGGCGATTTGGTCGGCGTACAGGCAAGGGTATCTTGGCACCTGTAAACCATAATAAGAGTGCGTATATAGACAGGATACGGGAATGGCTGGCTGATGTTCTTATACCAGCACCGGCAATCATCATATTAGATCGACTTTGATAGAGTCTATCACTTTGCATACAACACATCTAGGTAGACAGACATTCGGCATTTCGTGTGGCGATTCATGCGTACAATTCGTTCGATAAATTATACCTAGCAATCATGAGGTTCAACTATCCGCCTTAGGGGTAAGATTGGGAGATTGTACAAGACTGCCGGTTCCCTTTACTGATGAAATTACAGGAGAGCCAGACGGTATTATTCAGTGTGATAGATAGGTAAAATACAACGTCGTCTTACAGGAGTGTAATTAAACTGTATCCGGTACAATTCTAGACCAGCTGTTGGTCGATGTCACGTCGGTATAGACCTCGATAGCTGCTGAATAAGCTACTGATTCAACTACAAATGGATTTGTTAGCTACCTCCTCGGGTCATCTGGTCTTGGTCTCTCTTTCTATCCCGATCTAAGTATCCCGAACGTCACTGTTCTTCTCAAACATACACAGCCCTCTAGCCGGGAACTAGCATTTTGGGCGAGATAAAATAGGGTGGTCTTGGGTGAATTACGAGATATCGCTAGATGAAAGGTATCAAGACCTTTTGGTGTTTGTAAATGGCATAGGGCTAGCTCCGTCCCAACAAGAATCTGTTGAAGTTATGTCAGTAAGCGTTATGTATTAACAGATTTAAGATCGCAATGGTGGGTTTTCGGGAGGTTTAACGTTGCCTTTCTTGATTCGAATTGAGGAAGGCGAGACTTGGGTATTATCCATGTGGAGAATTGCACCACAGTGTATAGAGGTAGACAGCTGCTGCCTACATACATGTAGGTAACCTTAATGAATGGATGCCATCGAGTTCCGGCTGGTCGGGGAGGCTGCGACCACACAGTAAAGCTTAGTGACTGCTTCTAAAATCACTGTCACTCGAGGCAACAACCACTGTGTAACAACCAGCACCCGCGCTTGGACCCACCCACCCAATTACATAAATACTCGTCCTCCCTCATCGAGTCTTCTTTTCTTTTCTTTTTTTCCCCATCCTGGTGCACGGGTTTTAGGCGTCACAATGAGGAGCAATCCGAGTGCGTCTTTTTGCTAGTTGAAAACTACATACATGACCACTCCTGTCTGACCTTGTGTCGGGCAGGGAATTTTTGGAATTTCAATCTATCTTTTATTTTCATCATGGTTCTATCCCGCGCTGGATGGAAGTGAGGAAGAGTAAACTTGGGCTCCTGGAGGGAGCGGTGGTGGGGGAGGTTGAATATCATCTACCCAGCACTAACGAGAGAATGCTATTGCGTCCGACAATATCTCTATCCTATGATAACGAATTCACACTAAATGATATACCTGATCATATATGTACCTATTCTAATATCGAAATAATGCAATTTGCCTCGATGTCTCTCGTAATAAGAGAAGTGTTACACATGCTACGCCTGCTTAACTACCATCTGACTACCTAGGTAGGTACCTAGTTATACTGACAACATATACGAAATCGTCAAGGGCAGCACAGTAGAAACTCAGTCCGGTATGATCGAGAACTAATGTGACCGTTAATTCGTCTATTACGTAACATATCTATTTGATTTCTGCAAATTTTCAATGCGGATGGATCATATGAATGATAATTATATTTGCAATCATCTTCTACAGGGCGTAGATAGGCACGATGGCATGGGAAATTGGGTTTACGGAGAGATTACGGAGATGCACTTTATTAGTGTCCTATGGTTGCGGGTTACCAATGCCGGGATACTACTATATGCTCGGGGAATCTTCTGAACGCCGTAGAATGACAAACCATCCTTCTCAAACGCCGACATAATGCCAAATTTGTGTCTTCATTACTAATACCACCAGCACCACCCATTTCATGTTTATTCCCCACATCAAGTCGGTATTCCATTAAGGGCACAGAGTAGAACCTGCGCTAACACGAATCTGGAGAACGTCGGATGTAAGAAGAGATATGCGTCGGAAAGCGCAAGGGGAGTATTGCGATCCCAAAGCATACATCGAATGTGGTAGAGTAACCAAAAATCAGCCCGCGATCTCTCCTTCCATCGCCTCAAGCTCTACATCTTCCTCCTCCTCGTCCTCCTCCTCGAGATCATCGTCGCCAAGGTCGTCTTTGAACCCGCTCTCTATCTCCAGCTTTCGTAACCGTCGAAGCATGTCCGCGCGTTGGGTATTTTGCCAGCGAATCAGCGCGGCCGTGGCGTGTACTTTAAATCCGTAGACGCGAGGAATATATCGGTCGGCGCTCTTCGGAGGAACTAGCGCCGGATAGACCTGGAACATGATGTTGTGGAAGGATGTCCCAAAGTACGCGCCATCTATAATGGCGTGTCGAGAAGACTTGGGGTTGTAGACGTCTTCACATCGAGCACAGTAAAGCTTGACAGGTTTCTGATGAGGGAGATCTGTTTGACCCATAGGCAAAAGCGGATGAGAATGGCAGAAGACTCGTGGGCATTTGCCGAAGTCAGCTTTCTTATACTTGTCCAACTATGGGATAGTCGTTAGCTTGTTAGGAGGCAAGTAGTAAATCGATTAAATAATACCATTTTTGCTAGGCCACGAGTAGTGACGATGTAGCGAGCATGGATTAAACCATACAAATGACGAGCCGACTTCTCAATGGTCTCTCTCATTTCATCGTCGCAGTCGAGGTCGAATACATCTGTAATTAAATCAAGAGCATACTGATAGTATTGGACCTCCGTGTTAAGTCCAGTTAGATTAAACCGATCAGTTAGGTAATCCTCGTCAATCTCGCAGAAATACTCGTGTCCGCGCGAGGAGATGAACTAAAGTGACGAATTAGTATCAGAACAAGAAAAGGTCTCGGTAAAGCGTCTAAATCGCCCAAGCCTAGGGTAGATATATATAAAACTGGAAAAATGTGACTCTGGTGAACGGTATACGTCAAGGATCCCTAGTACTAACGATAGATATCCAGTCAGAGGTCCTGGGAAGGACAAGAAAAGGGAAGTGAGTTCTCAAGAAGAGGGTCTCTTGTGCCAACCCCTTCTGTATGCATAGAGACATTTCCGAAGTTGAGTAATCCATGATTAATAGCTAACATTGTAATATTGACGATGTCATATAGCTACCCACGGGGGGTCATAGATGATGTTGTCGTCTTATCGAGGCATGTTGCATATGATCCGATCCCGGAAACGTGTACTTAAAACAAAGGAAGGCCCCAGACAAGGGTGAAAGGGCATGGGCGGTAAGACAATCTAATTATTGTAAATATTTGCACTTACCCAGTCTCGCCAATAGCTGGTATAGTCGCTATCGGACTCTGAGGCGAACTCGTCCATCATGGCTGCGACGAGGCAGTCGTGATAGACTGGCTAGCTAGCTGTCAGTTGGACCGAGAGTAGCGCGACGACGCGACACAACCGTACTGGTTAGACTCCAACGACACCAAGAAGCAACGTCGAAGAATAACGATAATCCTGGGATGAGATGGCGCTTGAGAAAAAATAGTGGCGGTGGACGGGTTCGGGCGCAAATACGCAGCCAACCTTGTCCTTAGACGTTGACGATAGAATATGTACTGTGAAATGTTTGGTGGGCTTCTGGTGGGGTGGGGATTTAAAATCCAGGTGGGTCCTATCTCAGCCTCAAATCCTATCCAGGGATATGGATTGGCAGATTTGGTACCTAAATACTTCAGCTTAGGTAATGTGGCTTTCTTGACATATCCATGATGTGACCTAGTAACTTATCAGCCGGTGATTTACCGGTGATTATGTCAATGTGAGGTAGGTGCAGGAGTCTGTTTGCATTTTTCGATATTTGAATTTCATTTCACCTAATTAACTCCATAGAAAAACCGTACTGGATAGTGAAATCTCAGATTGGCCTGAGCCCGCTTCATTCCCGCCTTTCCGCCTTTCTGCCTTTTTAAAAGCGTGTTGAAGAGGACCTAAGAGTTACAATGCGATCCTTCAGCTCCTAACTACCTGGTGGACGAAAAAATGCGGATTACTTCCCACCCCAACCCATTTTATCCTATGCTACCAGCTCTATTCCATTCCCACTATATTGGACTTGCTGTGCCAAAGCTGCTAATGTCACTGGCTGATTGTATATCGGAACCTGTCTCCGAGTTCTGTCTCGTTAAGCGGGAAGTACCATTAGTCTTCAGCTGTGGTACCTCAAGCCTGCTACTTATATCAGTATCATCGGAATCTTGCTTGACTCGGATGTTGACCAATTCCATCGCCTCCCTTAATGTCTCTCCACTTTCGTCCATTGCTGCTAGGAACCGGGCCAGCTCCTTGCAAAGCTCCCAATCTTCTTCTCTGATGGCTCGCGAGAATAGACGCACGGACTGTTCCGATGCGGCACCTAGCTCTTCGAATGTATGTAGTATTAGTAGATAACCACCAGCTGTCTTCAACGAGCCACGCTGAAGCGACTCTTCAAACAATTCTTGCGGTGGAGGTAGGTACGCGAAAAGTGTTCGCCATGACCTGACCTCCGTTTTCCTGGTGCATTGGACTACAATATCCAGGTATTGTCTGAACGACGACAAAAGCGAAAGAACTCGGGGGAGGATGGCAGCTTCAGGTTTCGGCGCTGAGTCAACTTCTTCATCGAGAACATGATGAAGTAGTACCTCTAAACCATGTGCGAAGTACTCGAGATTTTGGTATTGCCGGGCTAATTTAAGCGCAGCGGCGGCGTTGCTTGCGACTAAATGAAATCGGAGAACTTCGGGGAGGAAAAGATGAGTCTATAGACGGTTAACTTAATATAGGAGATGACGTAGCGAGCCGGGCTGCCTACCCTGATAGAGAAACGGAAGAAAGAGAAACTGACGTCTCTCCGTTGGACTAATTCAGGTTCAACTCCCAGCACGATTCCCTTACCCATTAGAATAGAGAGGGGGTAGAAGTCGATTGGCATAGAGACTGTGGGGGGTAGCTCAGCCGTGGGCCCTACTGAAGTCGCTCGTAGGACATCTTGAACATCAGGCCAAACCTTTAGTTCATGGCCCTCAAATACCCATAGTGAATTCCGAAGACCATTTTCCTCAGCTTCCACGGAATACTGTGCACTAGATTCACTTAATAAATTGACCGATAACTGATCTCTCATACTGGCGTAGAATTCCACGTTATGAGATATGACACGCATGTCATATTTAAGCTGGCCTTCGCTGTTCACTGACGGCTGAAGGAGAACGAGTTTTCCATCCACTAGGAATAGCACCGACGCAAATGCGACGTCCTGTGAGGGATCGCCATCGATCATCTGGTTTTCGGGCAATATCCAACTGAGGCCTCTCACCCTCGCAGGCGATCTAACAATACCGTGAAATGCAATTTGTCCAACCTGTATGGGCCGCATGGCACCGGAGACGGGGGCAAAAACAAAGTGGTAAAGGAGATTATCGTAAGTGTAGACGAGCAGAGAGTCCTCTCCCGATGGCGTGATCAAGACAATAGGTGCCGGCATTTGCTGAGTGAACACGACAGTAGAGCTGTCAAGGGCTGCCTCTCTTGAGTAGAGCCGGAGCTCATACGATCTATTGGCTTCAACAGCTGCTACCAGGATATGCTGATACCAACACATCCCGCCCCTGACCTGAAATTCATTTTCCATGGCTTCATTCGCAAAGGTCTTCCATCTGCCGCTGTTAACACTGTAGTGTGCAAGTCCGCGCCTGCCTGCAACTGCAACGTATCTACCGTCAGCAGACACGACAGTACATTTGATGGGCCATTGATTTAGAAGGTAATTGGAGGGAATTCTAGCATTGTGCCATAAAAAAGGCTCGGCAGATATGCTAGTCAAGTCTGGGAGATCATAGCCTCGGTAAACCATGACCGTGGACGAACTCTGCAGCACGGTGCGAAAGAGGTTTGGCGGAGTATAGCAACCAGTCACTGCGCTTCGCGCCATCTCGAGTAGCCAAATGGCCTCGCTCTGACGAGCAACCATGAGGATCTCAGAAGCACCGCCAACCCAGCTGGCATCTATAATACCACCTAGCCAGCTCTCCTGGTTGGCAGAAGTGATAGAAGGGTTGGTGTTGAAGCTGTGACCGGCAGTCTTGCCAAACACACTCCACGTCGCCCATCCGCTTTCGTAACCCGCAAATAGGCAGTACCCATCTGGTGAATAGTTTAACGTCCTCAGGACGCCTGAGGTTTCTGACGAGACCGGGAGTTGGTGTACATGAGAAGGCGGGATATTGCCAGCGTAATCTCTAGCGGAGTATACGCGGATGCTCCCATCCGTACAACCCACGGCGATAAGCGAAAACCTAGCGTTGACGACGGCCTTAACAGCACGATCACTCTCTCCGTGTGGTGAATGGAAGCAATAACCTTTGAATAACTTCTTCGGATCGAAGTCGGGGTTCTCCTTGGCTTTAGTAGCCGAGATACGTTGGACTGCATACGCTTTCCCATCGCTTGTAACCCACGTGGAAAGGTTCATCGGTCGGTCGTGTGTCATTTCCTTGATTGTCACTTTCTTCTCCAACCAACCCATGCGGCTTACCAGCTCGGTACTCGTTTGGTTACCAGTACTATCCGGGGTCCACCGAATACATTGAACGGCGGCCGGTTTCTTAGTGGCAACAACCAACTCTTCATCAAGAGCTATAGCACATTCGATACCAGCATCAACTTTGATCACCCTACGAAATCGGACACTTATGTCGCGAACTCCGGTTCCCTCGCCAGGACCTAATAAGATTTGATCAGGTGTATTGTTACCAGGCCCCCCAAAATGGCTTTGCCTCCGTCTTTGGATATTACTGTGGTCTGAAAAACGAGGCTTATAAACGCGGGATTCGGCATCGGTGGCAAGTGAATACGTTATTAGATATCCTAGACTTGTTTGAACGACGAATATGACAGAATCGGGTCTAAGTAAAAGTGCGACATTAGTGCCATAGGACCTTATGGACGTTTCGGATCGGACGACAACGGCCTGGATTACAGTAGGCTACGTGAGGGCATTGTTGAGGTTAGCATATAATGCGAAGAGGAAAATCGGTTACATAGATGACGAACCTTGGTTTGCCATATCGTCATCGTAGTGGGCGTGATAATGGCAAACAGATGGCCAGTCCTAGATACTTTCAAGGCAACAATTGGATCTCCAGCTGGAATGCCCCCTCCATCAGACTCCGTGAGGTATTGCAGCGAGTTGGAGTTGCTTCCATCGTGATAGACGTCATGCTCTACTGAGTTAATAGCCGGTGTAGCCGGTGTCCTGAGGCCGGGGGTGACAGGCGGTATATGGGTATCTGGTATGTTTCTATCTTTCTCATCTAACAGCACGGGAGGAGGTGGTTCGGCACTCGATAAGGATTCGGTATCGGCGGTCGTAATAGAGGCAGTGCCATCGTTGGACACGACGAAGTTTGACTTAGATGAAGCTTGGCTGGTGGTTGTCGCATAGATTCTAGGTGTTCCAATGGGCCAGTACATGGCTAATGCAGGCGCTTAGAACCTTCATCCGTATACCTTAAGCATCGGCAGGTCATAGGTCAGGTGTAATAAGAATATGAACAGCCAATCGTGCCGTTATGTGAACGTCCCGTCAGTTTTCAACATCGCGATGCGATGTATGAGAATAGAATAGACGAGCTTCAACTTTAAAAAGGGTTAAGGTTGGCCTTGGATCACTATTAGTCGTCAACTGGGCCAATTGTTCAATGTACAATACAGGCACTACGTATGGCTGTAACACCTATTAGATTTAGGTACCTGGTTGGCCGGACCAGGGTATGGGCAACTACGGGCTACCTGAGTACACAGAAAGACCCACTTGCTTCTAGGGGGATTAAGTAGATATAGTACAGGTATCTCAGACAAGGGAAACACCAAACAATATTTAAGCTTATAGACAATACTAGGTAGGCATTTTTCAACAACACGCAACTTTTAACTTTCAACTTTTACATTTCTATTTACTCGTCCTTTTTTGCCTTCTTCTTCTGGGAGCTTTAACGAACGACAGACTCTGAGATGCAAGTCTACACCTGATCTGATCATATCCATATTAAAATATCATCCAGTCGGTAAGCCTCATCATGGCGCGCATAGCACCTAGAACGTCTGTGGCGCCTGAGAGGTTAAAGACTCTACTTCCCTCTTTGAAGCCGACCGTTTACCACGATCCAAGTGCGAGTAAAGCTCAAACGAAGTAGGTTAATTATCATTTATCTTTGTTTATATTCCTTCTAAGCCTCTTCGCCGTTCCGAGGTCATGATTATGAATGCTGTAGATTTGGTAACACCAACATATATAAATATGACTTCACACTTGTTCTTGAACAAAACATGCCCTGTGTATCTCTTGCTGACCAATATCACCAGCATCCGTACAATTGCCTGGAATCCCCTAGGCACCTATATTGCAACTGGTTGCGTAGACAAGACACTACGAGTTTGTACGTCACCCACTCTCAACTTACCTCGTAACAAACGCTCCTTGGTAATACAAACAGGCTTCGCATTTATTATGTAGATTGCCATGTCCCTGTGAATTCAATATGATAACGAATCAATACTCGGTTACTGACTGGTTGGTTCAAGGGAATGCGGACAAGCCTAATGTCCGTCAAACAACGGAATTGAAAGGCCATACTGCGTCTATCGAAAAGGTTGCTTTCAATCCTGTAAAGGAACTCGAGTTGTGCAGTGTGAGTAGCGATGGTGTGGTCAGGTTTTGGGACGTCAAGACCAAGCAAGTCTTGAACGAAGTTAAAGGTTTAGGAGAAACCTTTACCCTGGCCTGGGCGCCCAAAGGCGAATGTGTCGTAGTCGGAAACAAGGTAGACATATTGATCTGACTCCTTTGCTTAGCTCTTACTAATTGGACTAGGATGACAAACTATTTGTTATTTCACCTACTCAAAATACACCGATTTCATCACATCAACAGCCTGTTCAAACGAATAGCATCGCATTTTGCTGGAGCGGAGAGAGGATATTTTCTACAACTGGAGAGGGGAAGACGAGAATCCTCTCATTCCCGAGTTTCGAGCCTGCTTATCAGTTCAACTACAAAAAAGGACCGGAGGCCGAGTTTGTATTAACCGGCCATACCTCATCCTGCATCACTGTCGAGCTACATCCGTTCAATCGGTACCTAGCTACAGGTGGAACAGACTCGCTAATTGCACTCTGGGAAACGACGGAATGGAACTGCCTTAGAACCGCGACTAAGATGAGTGGTCCAGTTCGCAGTCTAAGTACGCTGTCGATAGGATTTACAACTTGACGCTTGTTAACAATGTTGCCCAGGTTTCTCATGGGACGGTCTCTACATAGTAGGGGGAAGCGACGAAGGTCAGATCAGAATTCAATCGTTATCTTGGTTTAAATAATTCGGGTTTCCCTAACAATTATATATCTACAGGCTCCGGTTTAGAATTCTTCAATTCCGAGACAGGAGAACATCTCTGCACTTACAAGACCACGACACCTTCGCCAGTTGTGGTTTGGGCTCCGAATCGGTATGCGCTCGCCTATGCCGACTCAGGAAATCTACGAGTAATAGGCGCAAGCACTGGAGGGAAATAGGACGATCTGGACTCTGATCTATCACACTCGGAGATGTGGTCAAAGTCTCTAAATTGACAAGAAGAATTATAAGAAAACGCGGGGTGCTATGGAGAGGAAACGCTTCTAAGCTATACGCCTGTCTATATCCCACAATCAGAGGTATTACATACCTGAGTACCTATGTAGGTATGGGATGCTTGACGTTGGGCACCGCCTATCTACTAGGGGGGAGGGGTGGTTGCCGGTGAACTAATTGGTTGTCAAATTTGAGGCGGTGCAAAATAAGGAGAATGTCCTCGAAATATGCGGCCTTTAAGAGACTAGGCTCCGCTGATTTGCAGAAGCTTCGATGTTGCTGTACGTATTTAAGTACCTACCTATTAATACCTGAGCTGCTAGGTAAATACGGAGAAAGAAAGCTTACGGGGCTACTACCTACATACTAGGTAGTATGCATACCTTACCTCATACCTGCGTGTGTTCGCACAAGTATCCAGAGGATGAACTGTTGGTCACCGCCCTTACTAAGTACGATATATCTCGATACCCACTTTCAGCCCTAAAGCGAGTTTATGCGTCCTTGATTTACATTAGTACGGGATACTTAGGCCTACTACCTACAGGTATGTGATTAATAATTAAGACTAGATCCCTCCCCTCTGTTCTGTAGTCTAATTGGTGGTCACAGGCGACCGGGGTCTTCTCCATATCCGCTCTTATTTTCACATTCGTAGACCTCCCCCCTTCTGGCTGCTGCCTACATGGTTACATGGTATGCTAGTATGTTGGGGATTCTACTATGTATATTTTTTTCTTGGGCTGACATGGCTGCGTAGTCTCAAATGAAGCCGAGACTTCTAAGAAATTAACCTACAAAAATACATCGTACATACTTGTAAGTAAATCTTGTCAGATTGAAATGACTATTTAGCCTTAATTTCTTGGCACCGAAATAGTCACAAGACAATTGCGTGTAGAGAAAGAGAAAGAGATTCTGGTAATAGATGGGATCCTAATTCCCCACCTTGCTAGATTCGAGACCCCCAAGGCCACATCCCTTCAGCCTTCAGCCTTCCATTCTTCTTCTTACAAGTTACAACCAACTTCGGGATTCTATCTCCGATCATAAGACCATAAGATCTGAATCTCACCGACTCGAGATATCGATCGATCGAAACCATTGAGAAGAAGTATTAATGAAGAAGAAAAAAGCGAATGGGAGAAAAGAGTGAAGAGAAGAGTATTGAGTTGCCCCGCTACCTAGATCTCATTGCACCAGTATCAATCGGGGTGTGGCGATACTGAGGCGCTCATCCTTGAGCCGCTGTAATATCTAGTAGCTCGAAACCGACGCGCGACCTGGAATTCACACGTTTCCCTACCCGGATTCCCCTTGCCGATACTTAGCGGACTTTATATAATTAACCCCTTTAACTATATTGCCCCAATTGTTCTAATGTCGACGTCAACTGGAGAGGCCCATGGCACCACGGCCAACGACTCCGGCTCTCAAGATGCTAGTCCGAACGCCGATACGAGTCCATCAGCCGCGCCTCAAAGCCAGAACAATGACAATGTTCCTAGACCGAAACGATTAGCGTGCATGATATGCCGGAAACGCAAGCTGAGATGCGATGGCATTAAGCCTAGTTGTAGCACCTGTACGAGATTGGGACATGCATGCGCATACGATGAAGTGAGACGAAAGAGTGGCCCAAAAAGAGGCTACGTGAAGGCATTGGAAGAGAGGTTAAGTGAGTATCAGTCTAGTCAGATAAATTTGTTCCCGAGAGAATATATACTAAGACATCTCGTTCCTGCATAGAACAAGTCGAGACGCTTTTGAACAAAGCCCAGGAGCCGCCGTCGTTCAACGTTAGTCCTGATACGGCCAAAACTCCCAACGTCACCTTCGAGCAGAGCCGTCCTCAACAACAGGCTCCTCCAACCCCAAACTTCAATGTCACAAACCCTTCTATAGGTATCACCAATGACCGAGATATGGATCGATGGCGGTTCAATGGGGAATCGCCTCAAGCCAGCGGTGGTTTAGACGATTTCAATTTTAATGGGAATATGTCTATGAATATGAATGGTATGGATAATAGCTTCACGTGGGAGATGATCGGCTTGGGATTAGAAGAACCTCTCCCACCTCAAGAGACGATCGACGAGCTGTAAGCGATCCTGTGTCATGAATGCGGGTTGACCTCAACTAACTGAGTCCTTCAGCCATCAGATATATTTCGATAAAATCCACCCGTCGCTGCCAATGATTCACAAATTCCGATACCTGGCGGCGATGAATCTGTATGATTTGTCTATTTCCTTTCTGTCATTTCTGTCATTTCTGTCTCCTTACCTGTCGATGTCGATGCTTTACAACCTGTATGTGTCTATTTTGTCCTCCAAGCTTACCCACCCTTTAGGGCGCCAAACCAAAGGCCTCCTGTTGCATTACGGTACGCTATCTGGACACAAGCCTGTGCTGTGGCAGACAAGTACGCGGACTTGAAAGACCTCTTCTACCAACGCGCTCGTAAATACGTGGAGGCAGATTACGTTAAAGGCTATGGCGAGCACATGATTTCAGTAGCTCATGCCCAAACTCACGTACTACTTGCCTCATATGAGTTTAAGATGATGTACTTCCCGAGAGCGTGGATGAGCACAGGTGCGGCTGTGCGCCTATGCCAGATGTGAGTGACTTAACTAGACTCCGTTGTAAGATTATTATACTTATAACATCTAGGATCGGACTTCATAGGTTAGATGGATCAGGCCTCGACGTAAAGCAGTGTCTACCACCTCCTCGTGACTGGACTGAGCGGGAAGAGAGGCGGCGGACTTTCTGGATGGCTTTCTGCCAGGACAGATACGCCAGTATTGGAACGGGTTGGCCTATGACAATCGATGAGCGAGATGTGATGACCAACTTGCCTTCTTCGGAGGAGGCATTCGAAATGAGCCGACCGGAACAAACACAGTCACTTGCGGAGTCCATGTGCCCAGCTGGAGCCGCAAAGCTCTCGTCATTCGGAGGCATTGTCCTAATGGCCTGTCTATTTGGCCGGAACCTCGTTCATCTCCACCGACCCGACGCCGATGATCGCGACCATGACCTCAACGGAGAGTTCTGGAAACGTCACAGAAATATGGATAATATTCTCCTAAACACCTCGCTCTGTCTACCTAACCACCTAAAGCTTCCTATCGGACTTGCCAACCCGAACATTGTATTTACTAATATGAATATCCACACTTCGACAATCTGTCTTCACCAAGCCGCCATTTTTAAAGCGGATAGGAACAAACTCCCGCCCTCTGTTAGCGCGGAAAGCAAAGTTCGCTGCATCACGGCGGCGAATGAGATCGCTAGCATTATGAGAATGGTGTCACACTTGGACTTGTGCGCCGTAAGTAGTCCCTGAAGAAGAACGAGACGTAAGAGGTCCCATCGTCTAACAGTGTTCTAGATGAACCCGTTTATATCATTCTGCCTATATGTTGCTGCACGGGTTTTCGTACAATACCTAAAAAGTCGGCCAGACGATAGCCAAACAGCGGACTCGCTACGATTCCTCCTCGCTGCCATGAACGCGTTGAAGAGAAAGAACCCCTTGACCGAATCGTTCTTGGTGCAATTAGATGTCGACTTGGAAGCATTGGGGACGAGGATACCCAAACTCAAGACTGCCTTCCCAAGGAGTGCGGATAGTGTAGGTCCCCTATTTCATAACGACGCATACTCATGTCACTGACATCAATTGTGTAGCCCGGTTCCGGCATCAGAATCCCAAAGATGGGTAAACATGATGCAAAGCACTGTGAGCCCGAAAATGGCAGCGCTGGTGGAGGCATTCTCGCATATCGCCACGCGAATATAACAACGGACAACCCGCCAAGCAATACAAATATAGGCCAGTGCGAACACCCGAATCCGATAAGCGGCAGGCAGGGGTCAGACGATTTCACGGGCCAGAACTGGCTTCCGAGGGACCAACAGATGCCTACGCGCGAGCGGAGCGCACTTCCGGACCATTGCAACCAGGAAATAATCCCGCCCATCTTATACCCGGGAGGGTATGTGGACGCTGCGGGGAGCGACTCGAACGATCTGTCGGCATCTTCGAACACTAACGGCGCGTCAAACCAACCAACCCCGAACTCGAGCAGTGGCTCGGATAACCGTCAGAGTACAAATGGCGGCGGTCATATAGGGAACCCGAGCGGTAGAACGTCATTTGATACCAGTCCTGTCGGCTCCCACCAAAATCTAAGCTCGCAATCAGACATAGATGCAACGGCTTTCTTTCAGATGGGCGGTAGCGGCATGGGCATGACTCCCGAACAGTCCTTCGGCACGGTGGACCCGTCTGGGAACGGCTTCACGATGCCAAATAACTGGCCTGGGCAGACAGGTACTGGTACTGGCATGACACCGGTAGCAGAGGGAGTGCTTCAGCATCTGATGGAGATGCGAATGGAGTTGTGGGATTCGGGTCCGTAGGGTTCATGAGGGTTTATGGCTAGTCAGGGAATTCCCCCGATCACGGTATCTTTTTAAAAAAAAAACGAAAAGATAGGGGTAAGATGGATACACAGGATTTATGCTGGGTTGGGTATCTATCAAGGGATGTTACATGCTCACCTTCGATGCGGAGGTAACGCTCGTTCCGAGCTGTATAGGACACAAGTTATGACATGACGTGGATGGCGTACTGGTTGTACTATTAGATATGTACCTACTTAGGTGACGGGGCGAATCCCTCCTACCTCTATACTCCAATCTCACACATGAAATAGTAAAATATTTATGCAATGTACACAGGTATATACGCAAAGAGTAAGGTGGAATACCTCAAGTCTTATAACATCAATATACATATTGTACAACCTCCTAGTGACTTATCTCCGGTTATTTCTATTTCTATTAGTCAAAGCCATATATCATCATTTATCATAGGGAGGTCCGGGATGTCACAGGGATTCCTATAATAGATAGGTACAGATAGCCTAGATATGTAGTCTAGATGGTACGAATGAAACAGATGCAGCACGTAAGCTTGCCTCGTATTATAACCCGGACAAGTCAGGAAAAAGATGTTATTTTTATATTCCTAATCCAACGTGTTTGATAATAAGAGGTGTTGGAGTTCGGGATCTATCGAAAGGAGGGGCAAGAGACTGTTGGTACCTAGCAGGTATACTGGTATGTTGGTATGTAAGCTGGGCTGGCTGGCTGGCTGGCTGGATGAGATCTTAGATCGTCAGGGTCCAATTCCTCTATTGGTCGTTTCTGATCATTCGTAGCTAATAGGATGTTATTATTACTATTCGGTACCAATTATTACCATTACATATTTTATGTTAGGTTGGTTAGGTAGGATTTGTACCGTTGGTATAGTCGCTAGCGCTGAGAACTACTTTAGGTTCTGGCCGTTTCTCGGCATGTGGGTCCTCGAATGATAAGGTACAAGTGTTCATTTGCCACTTTAGGATTAGATCACATAACAAATTCAAGGAGCTAGGTCTGGCCGCCCTGGCACAAACAGGGACGAACGGGAAACAGCCAGTGGATTTTTTTTTTTCTGACTGGGGAGGGGGATTGGGGTTGAAGGAAGGACCCATGAGGCGGGGCAATTCTCTTGAGCTGCCTTAGGTCTTCTACCAGGTGCAACTTTCAGCTTCTATCGGCGCTTTTTTACACTTTCATCTGATAATTTATTATTATTATTATTTTACCTCTTTGTAACGTTCTAGGTAACTTAAGGTAACTTAAGGTAACTTGAAGTAGCTTAAAGTAACATAACTAGACTCCTTTCCGCTTTGCCGGTATCGTCCGATTCGATCATCCCAATTTGGTTTACTACGTCCTAGAAAAAGGTATTCCTTAACTAACTTACCAGCCAAATCATGATCTTGACGGCGAAGACACTTCGCCCTCGACACCCGACCTGAGAATGGGGTAAAAACGAAGCTGGTGAGCTGCGCCGGATATGTTCAGAGGCATCAACCAGCAGCAGCATCACCATAATCGCTCATCACCAAGAAATATAGCAGACGCATCAATCATCGTCGATAGCTTCCAGCTTCAAGCTTTCGGCTTCCATCCTCCATAATAATGGACCCCGCCTCTGTTTCTTCCTTCCCACCACAACCGCCGCCTCCACCTCAACCGCCTCCTACTTCTATCCCTCCCCCGCCGCCGCCCGTCTCTGAAGGTCCTTTGTCGCACGATATTCGCCATCACGATCATCACCCGCCTCAAGCGCATCACTTCCGAGTCCCGTCCCTGTCGTCGCACCCGAATATCGGCCTATCCCCCCTCGATCCCGCAGATTCAGCCGTCTTCCAACAACACCTCCAGCGTTTACACGCCGTACCGACCGTACCTGTTGTTCAAGGCGACTTTGTTCCGCACGGTCGAGATGGATTCGATCAGGATCCTAATCCGGCTCACATGCTCCAGAACACGCATAACCAATCCACGTCCGACCTCCATCGAACCCCACATCAGCATCATGCTCCTCTCCCACCACCATCCTCGCATTCGGCGCCGCCCGCGCATGGCCAATTTGGTATCCTAACACAAAACCCAATGGCTCAGCCTAATGTAGTGCCTCAGCTTCAGCCAGAAGAGGACTTGTTCCCCCAGCCCTCGCAAGTCAATTCCTCGGGTCCCGAAGCTTCCGAACAGAGACCCCATGGCCAATTGGTCAATAGGATAGTCGTTGACCCACCTGACCTACAAGCTTGGCGCGAGAAGCTATTCAATGTTGACGATACTATCATTTTGACTAATGACCAGTAGGAAGCAGGTAGTCCTATAGAACAAAGACATTAGACTAATAATAACACGCCAGATTCGAGACTTACTTCCCTCATATCGACAATGTTTATTCTCATCGATCCACGCAGAAGTACAAACGTAAACCGTTCATCTCGCATTACTGGGATTGCCGAATGAAAGGACGACCGCCGGGTACCCCTAAATCGGATGACCCCTCCAAGAAGAAACGGAAACGAAGTGCGCGCGAGAGGGATCTCTGCGATGTCAAGATCAAGATAACCGAATATTTCCCAGGGGCGACGATTCTTCCTGACGGGGATGCGACCTTCAATTTGGCGCAATCGAGTGCCTACCAACCCCCGCAGCAACAGCAGCAGCAGCAACAACAACAACAAACGTTTGGCGACGGTCTGTCGCGGCCTGTAGATGCTCACTTAAACGGGGAAAAGTTTTGGACCATACAACGTGTTAATGGAAATGGGGGAAACGGGAAGGGCGACGGTGTCGCTGGTCCTCACAAACATAGCCTGGAAAAAAGCGATGAGATTAAGAAATCTACCGTTCAGAGGTATATTGCTGCGCAAGAGAAGGAGGCAAAGAAGATCCAGGTGGGTTACTCCTTGTATCATAGACGTGGTTACCTTTGTACCCGGTTTTATATATGGGAAAAGATCTGTCAAGATATAATTGATCTATGGGTTGTTATATTCACTCGACATAGCGGAGGAAAGAAATCTTTATTGGGATATGGAACATCCCCTGTCGCCGACCGCGCCCTTTTCATTCCATTACCAATCTTTTCTAGTACATAACAAAACCTCGGCCACGGATCCAGAAATACTAACTCATAACTATAGAAGCCGCTACCAAAGAAGATGTCAGGAAACGCGCTCGCAACGGCAAAGAAGCACGCGAAGGAGCATGACCTGAAGATATATGCTGCTTGCTTTTGGTAAGTAATTATTTCTAGACCGCAAACTGCCACCCACGCTGATGGGCCTTCCCTTGCCAGTCCCTTTTCCCAAAGAGTATGGATTGCCCTCGAAGCGAAGGGCATGCAGTACCAGTACTGCGAGACAGACCCGTTCAAGCGCCCGACCCAGTTGCTAGAGGCAAACCCTCGAGGCCTAGTCCCGGCCATTCGGGAAGGTGAATGGGCCAGCGGCGAGAGTGCCATCATTCTAGAATATGTAAGCTACCTGTCGTGCCCCGTGTCGTAGGACCCGTCGTCGCGGTTACTGACTTCGCTTTTTCTTGCTAGCTCGAGGACCGTGACCGGACGGTGCCCCTTTTCCCCACGGATCCGAGGCTGAAAGCAAACTGCAGACTGTGGATTGATCACGTGGGTTACCGTCAAGATACTCTCACGATACGAGAAGCGCAATGGGCCTAGCTAACCTGTTTAGATCAACGCCAAAATCGTCCCAGCATTCTTTGCTCTGGCGAGGGCAACCGACTTTGCGAAACAGGCCGAGTACAGGGAGAAGCTTCAAGGTGAAATAGCGGCCCTCGTCCAAGCTGCTGACGAAAGGGTAAGGTTCACATACTCATCCACACACACACTCCGTCGTATCCGAGTGATGAACTTTTTTCTCACCGTTCTCCTATATTTAGGGTCCGTATTTTCTCGGAGGAGACTTGTGTCTCGTAGACATTCACTTCGCGCCCTTCGTCCTGCGTATGTCCCGTATCCTCCGAGAGCTACGCAGTTGGGGAGACCCAATGCCACGCACGCGGTGGCAGCAGTGGGCTGACGCACTCGAGACAAATCCGCACGTCCAGGCTACCACCAGTCAAAAGGAGCTCTACACCGAGACATTAGATATGTTTCTTAATAGCCGCCAACCCCACGGCGAACACTTCGGGTCATAGTAGGGCCATCAGACCATACCATCTTATTCTTCTAAATATATACTTGCCACTTAGGAATACGTAACCCATAAATAGGTAAGGGGAGGGGAATGTTCAAGGAGTACATTTATATATACATATACAACGGAGGCGGGCGAATCTGGCTCGGGTGCTCAGGGTGGTTCTTCGTTTCTCGAATTTCCCTCCGTTCTCTTTTTTTCTTCTCTCTTCCCGCGATAGATCGTCGTTGTTCGGGGGATGAGCTCAAAAAAGGGGGGTGTAGGCGATATAGGATCGGAGTTTTGTTTCTATTTATCTATTTATTTGAGTAGGGGGTCAGCTGTCGGATCCGAGTTTCGTATATACACAGGTATGCATATTGGCAAGACGCCCCGTGGAGTTGTGATACATCGAGCTATCTATGTTACGGATATTTAAAATGGTGTGGTATGCGTGTGTATCGGAGTTGGTTTGCTTGTGATGTTGCGCTTAAGAGGAGTGGGTAGTATGTATATACTATAGGTAGTCTTTATGGGCGATATATTACAATACCTAGTAGCGCTAAGAATATCGTTTGTTTGATGGTGGATTTGAAAGCTACTAATCGTGCTAATCACTACTGTCTTGCTTTCCTGTCTACTAGGCATTCTACGGTGCTTACATGAGAATCTAGGTGATCCATATTGCTTGTTTGTTGGGCGTAGTTATCCCCTTTTCGCAGTTTCTGGTCAAATTATAGACACAAAGACTGCCTTGTCATAATAGATCAATATTTATGTCTACTAGGTACCTACTCTATCAAAGCCACGGTGTAGACATTCTTATATAATAATACTTCGTAGACGTCGATTCTTTCGGGTAGAAGATCAAGGCCAAGGCTCATTGGATCTACCTAGTACTTTACTATCATTCGATGACATAGGATCCTAAACCCCTAGACTACATACATGCTGTTAGCCTTGACTTAGGACTTGCATATGTGATTAGCTTCATAAGTAGGTAGCCACTATACCATTGGTCGCTAGTTCATTACGCGAACAGCGTGATCTACGTCCTATAAGTTTGTAGATGATGCAGAATTGGGGGCTATGAACGTAGTCCTTGAGCCGCATCGCTTGATAATTATTACTACCTATCTAGTAGATTACACGGGTCCCCATTGCGCCGTCTTACAATATTTGCCCGACTATCAATAAATCCGGGCGGTTCCTACGACAATACAATTACCTATGCGGTAGACGAGTAACTAGGTACATACATACCTAACTTTCAGTATCCATAGATATTAAGGCGTACCACAACATAGCTTTATATCACTTGCGGTAGGTATATCCAGGACGATTAACAGTTGGATAGATTTTGCTTAGCAACTATAGATATGGTGGTAAGACAACATGTTGCAGACTTGTTGTTCCCCGGGCTTCTCAGATAAACGAGACCCCTGTTTCATAGATTCCAAGGCTCGTAAAAATGCCCTGAATAGGCTACCTACATGAATGGGTAGCCCTAGAGGTGTGTAAATATGAAGCTAGTGACGTGATACCGATACATAAACGAGTGTTAATATTGGGTTAGTTTCTCATGATAGGTACCTAAAGTACCAAGTAGATCACCTAGTATGATACCTAACGTACCTAACATTTGTTAGGAATCGGGCGTCTAAATATTAGTGAGTTGAGATAATATAGGAAGTGTCGTTTTGATATGTTCCTATCAATTTTTAACGCTAGACATACACTTGATCCGAACCTGCTTCGGGAATCCGGCGATGTGGATGTTTCTATACCTACCAGGTAGGACCTAGGTACCTACCTAGATACCTAATATGCAAATTCAGTTAGCGTAAAGTGGCTTCGCATTCCGCATGATATCGCTTTCACCGGGGGCGCAGTAAGATTTTAGAACAGTCGGGTGTCTTCTATCAACAATTTTTCTCATTTTTCTTCAATTTACCTTGTCTAGCTGTCTAGGTAATTATCTGGGAAATGGTAGGAAGGAAAATAGCTTACACATACTACGTACTCTCCGCTATAAAACTTGGATTTAACTTATTAGTTACTTGGCTTCTTCCAAGTCGGGTTCTTCGTAATCGCAACTTAGTACGTCAATGTAGTGCAAGTGTTGCTTCTAATAGATACAATACGCTTATGGGGGTTGACGTCAAAGGTAGCCCGTCAGGTTACACACATCTTCAAGCTTGTTTTCTCCAGCTGCAACACATTAATAGCCACCCCGCTCCAACTGCGACCAAACTCGATTTAACTTAGTTCGAAAAGTTTCCTTAACCACCCCACCCCACCCCTGCCCACTCTGATCATCGTCATTCGCACTGCATCATTTACGCCTAAGACTCGCCTCAACTAGCCCTTGCCCCGCAGTGGCTTGTCATTCATTACGTCCATTCCGTCCAATTGCTCATTACTCATACTCCCTCATACTTTCAATACTCCCACTCTCATACTCTCATACTCCCATACTCCCATCATACTCCCAACCTTACCTGCTCCCTAAATCAATTTTAACCTTTATCCGCTTCATCGATCGAGCTGCTAGTCAATAATAGACAATAATAAGCTTTGGTCCGTCGAAGCGCCAACGATGTCCGCGTACGACCCGTACGATGCTCCCCCGCGCGAGTATTCCCGCCGGTACCACCATGACGAAAGGCGTGACAGGGCAAGTCCCCGCTACACCGAGACTCAGGAAACCTACTACAGAGTAAACCCGAATAGTAGGAATGCGCTTGTCCCTAGAGCGCGCGAAGATAGTGAGTTGTCAGTCGAGGAAATCCACCGAGACTTCCCTCCTCCTGGTTACTCCCGGGATGTCCGTAGAACCCGATCGGCTGAACCTGGTTACGATGATTACTACTATGAAGGCCGTCGCTCCTACGATACTGCGCCTAAGGAGCGCCGTCACAAGAAACCTGGTAGCGTCTATTACGAGGAAGAGGAGAGAAGCCGCAACCGCGTTCTATCCAAGCAAGAAAAGATCATTGCCGCCGTCGCCGGAGGTCTCCTTGCCGCTGGCGCTAAGGAGCTTTGGGATCGTCGCGAAGCTGAGAAGGAAGGTGTCGATGTTCACCGCAATGTAGCCGCCTCCGCCGCTCTTGGCGCAGCTGGCGCTTTTGCTGGTTACCAGGGAGCCGATTACTATAACAAGCATTCTAGTAAGGAGGATAAAAAGTCAACCTACATCGTTCATAAGGGTCGGGATGGCCGTGTCGTCGAGTACTACTCCGACGACGAAGATGAAGACCCAAGGGACCACAAGGGCAATAAGTCTTTTCTTGAGAATGCACTGGCTGCCGCTGGTCTCGGGGGTGCTATTAAAGCTCTAACTGGCGGTGCCGGCTCTGATAAGGATTCGAGAAGCCGCCATGGAAGCCGCCGTGGTAGCCCAGACTCGTACCGTTCGCGAGACAGCAGAAAAAGTTCACGGGATACCCCTGCGGCTAGAATGCAAAAGGCTGCCAAGGCCTCACTCGTCGCCGGTGCCGCAGAGGCTTTCCGAGTTGCTAAGGAACCAGGTGGTTGGAAGGGAGAGAAGATGAAGCGAGTTCTTACCGCAGCTGCAGGTGCTGCAACTATCGACGCTGCCCACGATCCTTCAAAGGACAGCAAGCGCCACCTTGTCGAAGCTGTTGTCGGTGGTCTTCTCGGCAATCGCATGTTGCATGGCTCTAGAAAAGACATTGAAGAAGATCGGAGGACAGGCCGGAGCAGATCCCGTTCTCGTGCTCGATCCGAGGGCGGCTCAGGGGGAAGCGGTCTCGCGGCATTAGCGACCGCAGGTTTAGGCGCTTTGACCGCCAAGAAACTCGTTGGCAGCCGAAGCCGATCCCGATCACGCCGGGGAGACAGTGTCGACTCATATGATAGTCGCAGCCCTTCCCCACGCAGGCGTCGCAGTAGCCGTAGTCGCAGCCGTAGCGTTGTCGACAAAGCGCGGCGTAGTCTTGCTAAGATCGGCATCGGTAGCGACCCAGATCACCGCGATGATGATAGTTACTATGATGACCGGCCGTCTCGCAAGAGTCGTCACAGGAGCTCCTCAGGCGGTCGTTATGACGACGATGATGATCATAAGTCTCGGGCCTACATGAGAGGTGGACGAGGCCCCGCGACTCACGATTCTTATGATGATTATGATGAGGAGGAGCGGTCTATCGGTGGTGGAAGATCACGTAGTGGATCACGCTCAAGAAAAGGTAGGTCTAGTTCCGCTTCCAGTAGCGATCTTGGAGATTCAGATGAAGATAAGAAAATGACGTCGAAGATGCGACGTAAACAACTCGTTACGACGGGATTGGCAGCTGTCGCTACTATCCACGCCGCCCACAACGTGTATGGCAGCATGGGACAGCGCGATGCAAGGCATAGAGCAGTCAAGGAAGGCAAATTAAGCCCAGAGGAGGCCAGGAAGCTGAGGACTAAGGCACTTCTGCAAGATGCGGCTTCGGTAGGCATCGCGGCTATGGGCGTCAAGGGCGCTATCTCGGAACTCAAGGAAGCTCGAGAACAGGCCAAGGCAGTTACTGAGTGGAAAGAGGAAAGGCAGCGACGCCACGAAAGGCGACTGGAGCGACTGAAGCGGGCAAATTCCAGCTATAGTGGCAGGTCCAGGGCTGACAATTGGAATTCTTCAGCTCCACCGAAAGAAAATCGGTATGAAGAGGGTCCTCGTTACACCGATGGGAATCCCTACTCTGCTGCTTTGCCCGCTCCCCCGTTGGGCTACGACAGAAGATGATAGGTTGCGTGGACAGACCATCCACCATCACTTTCACGTGGACCTTAAATCGCTGTGCGCCTAATCACATACACGTATGGTCTGACAGTATACACGTCTGCCTCATACCTCCTTACGATCTACGACATATTATGAATTATGATTTTGGATAATACAAAATTTTAAAAGAAGGCGTTCGAGATAGGTTAAAATTTATCTGCCTCGAACAATTATGAAACTAACCTCGGTCGTTTTTTTTGTTTGTTTGAGATAGAAACACAGTCTCGTTGTCGTGTTGCATCTCATCTGAATCTCATCTGAATCTCCTAACGATGCGCAAAATTTTATGAATACCTACATAACTTGAGCTTTTTTACTGATATTAATTGGTTTTGTGACAGATGGGCGTCACCACCGCCACCGCCACGACAATTAATGTGTACACGTCCGGCTTTAATGCAACAAGGGATTTACGTGTGCTACCTGAGTCTTAACTCGTGTTACCGGAAACGGGTCATGGCCTCTAGAAGCACCGACCCCTACCTATGCAGGACAAGCACAGAGCAGCCATGCAGCCACAGCTGACAGTGGTTGGCCGAATACCGCGGGCTTGGGCTCGTGTCTCTCGTTCTTACAAACCGATTTGAGCATCCGGAGTTCATGCCCCGCTATCCAGCAAAATTGGGCAAGATTGGTGTCTCTACGATTCCGACGTTGTGGTCAAGGGGTCGTAATGGGAATGCGACCGAGACGGTAACGGCACCTGCAGGGTTCTTATGGGACGGGATAGGATCTAGGAGATCAGGTCCCGGCTGAGTACATACATAGAAGGAGGAAAAAAAGCGAAAAAAGGGGTCACACTAAGCTAACGCACGCGTGGCACATATCGATGGGTCGAGACTAGATGGAGGATCTACCAACAGGATCTAATAATACTTGGTGTTGTATATGTGGGAGAGGGGAAGAGGGTAGATCTGTAGGCTCGAATTGCTTGGGTATATTTCCGGGGGCCTGTTCCCAGTCTTTGACGATGACGATTATGAATCCAGGATGACATCTGATTGGATGAAGCCACGAAGTTTTTTCCTTGCTCTTATTGGTCTTGTTTCTTGTGTTATCTCTCTCTTTTATAGTCAGGTTATATATTTCACGCATACAAACCATACTTGCTTACTCATGGCCCTATGCGATTACAGATACCTAACGATCTTGAGGAGGCGCTGTTGGGCGAGAATGCTGTGCAGATTCAGGTTGATTAGTGTAACTGACCTGTCACGGGTGTAGTCTGCCTGTACCCGACTGGAGGCCATTCTTCCACAGGTATATGTATCGGTATACATGTTTCCTTCGCTTGCATACACTAGAGTAGAAACCCGTGGAAAAAACCATGGCGGAGAAGGAATAAAGGGCGTTGCATTCGACCTGGCGACCTTATGTGTCTCTAATATATAACTGATCGTCGTTGCGTCTACCCATTTCGCGCAGGGAGACGAAGATCGGGACCAAGGTACGAATCGGGGGATAGGTGTAAAGGTCCCACTGGAAATATTATCTGCAACCGTACGGTAACATGATATCCTGTCGCGACTTTCCCGTAGCACAGTAATGGCGGGCTAATAAATTCATGATGTCATCGTGCTGACCGCCTTCTTCCCTTTCGGACCCGCGGCGTGGAGCGAGAGCAAATATCCCACGAAATATTATACCACTCCCCTAGATCGTCCGCGGACATTTCTCACCTTTGGGAAAAAGTTCGGACAGGGGTCTCGCCAAAGTTGGGGTTCTACCAAACATGCTCCTTGACAGGACAACGATTCTACTTGATACTACTTACATGTATGTATATATGCGTTTTGCATTCCTATGCCTATTTCTCCCGACGGAGTATCATAATTACCCGACGACCGTAGAAAGATTCAGAGACATAATAATACTAGGTACCTACGTATCCAGCAGAAAATCCGAATAAGAGCACCGGAAACTTCAAGGTGTAGTTCCTTCAAGCTCTGTCGATGGCTTGGCGTGATAAGGGATTGAGCCGCAATACTATGTAGTCACCTTCCTCCACAGCTTGGCATGCGTTCCGAATAGAGATGGATCCGAGGAATGAAGATTGACTTCGCAGTCTAGTAGGATGGGTTTAAAGAACACACACGCGAGGACATTCAGAGATGATACTTGGTTGGTTGAACAATTTGGTAACCGAGCCGTTTCCGATGGTTTTATTACACCGGCTTCGTTCATGTAATAGCCTATATTATGTACAATATCGGATTATAGACTCGCATCTATGGTATCTTGGTTGTGTATGTTGAGTATAAAAAGCAGCAAGCTCGGTTAGCTGACAACACCACCACCTTGCTTCCAAGCTTGAGCCATAGCCAGCAATTTCGACAAATCCTGTTTCTGTTCGTCATCTGCTGGGAAGATATAATCAATGTACTCCTCGTATGTGTCATCCTCGAGTCTGCGTCTGCGCTTGGTTCTCCGCGGCATCTGCTTCTGGACTTTCTCAATATCCTCTGCCGAACCATGGGTGCGCTCGAAAGACAGCCAGGCGTTGAGCAGGGAAACCCTCTCTTCCTTGAGCTCTTTCTCCTTCATGCATTTATGAGCACGCTCGAACACGCCACGAGCCCTGGTCTTTGCCTCCTCGCTGACTGGCCGCTCCTCTTCCTCACCTGCTTCCTCTTCCTCTTCTGGGATATTGATCTCGAAGTGAGCGTAGCTGATCCAGACCTTGACATGATCCGTCTTCTCTAGTAATCTCTCGTATAGGTCACGTGTCTTGTCATATTCGCCCTCCTCTTCCTCGAAATCAATATATGCCTTCCACAGTAGCTCTGGCATATCCAGAACTTGTTGGTTGATAGCAAGTTCGAAAATGGCTCTTGTTCGGTCAAGGTCATCTAGTCCCCTTTCAAGTTCGGCGAATTTGATCCATGTTTGGCAATTAGCTGAATTCCACTCAACATGCTTCTCGTAGAGCGTTCGACATCGCACGAATTCGAACAACTTCAGTTCAAGCTCGATATAGCCCTTGAATAATCTGTCTTTCGGGCACATGCCAATCGCTTGCCCCAGAGTCTTTCGCGCAGCTGTTAATTCGCCCTGCCGTATTTCAAATTGTGCTTTTAGAAGCCAGACCTTGGCAAAAGTGAATTTCTTGTGGGGAATTAGGTCGAGGCATAATTTGTAAATCTGGCGCGCTCTGCTAACGTCCTTTGCCTCCATCTCTTCCCAGATCGCGTAGAAGATCCACAAGTAGATGTATCGGCGCCAGTGCCTCTTCTCCTGTGTTGGCGGAATTTGCGCCACTGCTCGCTCGTACACATCCCTTACTCGATCCAGGTCACCTGAAGTCTCTTCCAATCGTGCATAATCAAACCATATATCGTAGTTTTTCGGGTTCTCTTTGATCTGATCTTCGTAAAGTCGCCTTCGCTTTGATAGAATAACATCCTCAACACCGTCTTGGTCGCCGTACTGCTTCTCGAAAGTGGTGTAGGCCTTGTGCAAGCCCATAGATTTTGATCGCGGGAGCCGGTCTAGGGCGTACTTGTAAATAGCCCTAGCCCGTTCATACTCCTTGAGTTTGGCCTCAAACCTGGCGTAAGCAATGAAGAGTCTCTCGTCGACAAATTCATCTCCTAAAGCTTCAACCGCGGAACCAAAAACTTCCCTGACTAGATCACTGGTTCCATATTCTTCCTCGAATTTAGCCCATTTGATCCAATTTCGTGGCTCCGGGTGTACGATGGTGAAGCGCTCGAATATATCACGGGCTCGCTGGAATTCACCGTACCGTTTCTCCATTTTGATGTAAGCACTCCACGCCGCCTCGTCCGGTTCCCATGATATCCACCTCTCGAACACTTGTCGCGTTCCGGGGATATTACCCAGCATCTCCTCCATGTAAACATATTTATACCACAACTTATCGACTCTGGGTAGGATAGTGACGGCACGGTCAAGGAGGTTTCTCGCATGATTAATATTCCTATTTTTCATCTCGGCCTCGATATATCGAATCCATAGTACGACAGATGTCGAATCAACGTCCAAGGCTCGTTCGAAGATGGATCGCGCGCGCTTGAACTCTTTCTGCTCGAGCTCCCATGCAGCGTAGCGCATCCAGTTGTTCATATTAATCCTGTTTCGGCGGACATAGTCTTCGAATTCCCTCCGTTTCCGGCCTTGAAATTCGTGAAGCTCTTCCAGATCGCCAAAGCGTTGGGTCGGTGCCTGTAAGGACGTCTCCTGTCGGTCGACTGCTTCTCGAAGAAGCTGCTCGGCGGATATCTGAATGGGCGCGGCGGCCTTGTTTTTGACCCTCGGGGGGCCGCGTGAAGACTCCATATTGGTTTAGAAATGAATGACGTGTTTGTGTATGTAGAGAGAGATTGGTGTTGGTCACGAGAAATTGGAGGAGTGGTTAATAAGAGGAAAAGGGAAATACGAAGAAGGTTGTTACGATGGATAGGAACATAAAAGATTCCTTATTAACAAGGCTGAAAAGTAGCAGTAGCAAAATAATAAACCACGACCCTGGATGATATGCGGAAAAATAAGTTTAGCCGGTCAAGCTTGTACCAGTTCTACGAAACGATTGGCCCAAGAGCTTCGCTTACCCACATTAAATTACAATCGCGACTCAAGGCTGCGACGAACATTTGAACTTGAAACTTTGAACCTCAAACCTTCTCTTCTTAATTTCGCTGTCGCATGTAGAAATTATCTCTACATTCTCGACGAATTCACCGTCATCCACGTCGAATCAACCTTGACTCTTCGGACTGTATTCATTTAACATAAAACTGCCGAAAGCTCATTTTTCCGCTCTATTCTGTAGCGCGACCGACCTAACGATAGATTGCCGGCTGGCACCATGTCGACCCTCGCAGATGAGTTATTGCAAGATTTCGAGGATTCAGGTTCCGAGAATGGAGATGACCAAAATGACGTTGGACTTGACATCGAAGGCCCGGTCGTTGGCCCTCCGACGAGCCACGAGGACAACGACATGATGCTTGATGGAGATGAAGAAGCGGAACCTGACGAGGATGAAGAAATGGGTGGCATGAGTGGTGGAGTCACCGAACCTCTGGAAGACGAAGATGCGACAAAAGCTAAGGTAGAGAAGATGCAGTTGGGCGGAGTGAAGGACATTCGCAAAGTCACCACTGTTATGGATAGATTAGATCCTCTCCTAAAGGTTAGTCCATCATATCCCCCTTTTCCACACTTTGCGGATAGTGATCAAGTGTTTACATCTTCTGGCTTGAGCTACAGATCTGACCGACTGGTTACAACCTTACAGGATATCGCACACTACCAATCGAAACCTCTTGCGCCGCACACGACCAATATAGGTAACATTGAGGACAACCCCGAGTACAAGATCCTCACTGAATCCAACACTCTCTCCACCCAGATCGACGGCGAGATCATGAAAGTCCACAAGTTCATCAGGGACCATTACTCTGCTCGATTCCCCGAACTTGAAACTCTCGTTCAGAACGCCATCGAATACGCCAAGGTTGTAGCCATTCTTGGAAATGGACCTATGGACTCGGACAGCATAAGAGCTCTTCAAGGCTCAGCTGATAATCCTCTGGGCGAATCCCTCAAATCAGTTTTAGATGGGCCATCGCTGATGATTGTCACTGTCGAGGCCACAACGACCAAAGGTCACGAAATAAGCCAGGAGGAGCTTGAGCGCATTCTTAAAGCCTGTCATATGATGATCAAGATGGACAGCGCTAAAAAGACGCTTACGGACTACGTACAGTCTCGAATGAACATATTTGCGCCTAACTTAACGACTTTAGTTGGGTCTTTAACCGCTGCGCAGCTAATCAACAACGCCGGAGGCTTAACGAATCTGTCTCGAACGCCCGCGTGCAACCTGGCTGCTTGGGGATCCAAGAGATCAGGGAATACGGCATTTGCTACTAACGTAGGCGTTAAACAGCAAGGCTTCCTGTATCACTCGCCGATCATTCGCGGTATTCCGAACGATCTGAAAAAGAAAGCCATGAAGGCGGTAGCAGCAAAACTTGTCTTAGCCGCACGAGCAGACACCGGCCACACAAATCCCGACGGGTCGTATGGCGAAGAGTTAAGAAGCCAGTGTCTAGAGAGATTAGATAAGTTAACGGAACCACCTCCGAATAAAGGTCAGCGAGCTCTGCCGGCTCCCGATGATAAGCCGTCGAGGAAGCGAGGTGGTCGGCGGGCGCGCAAGGCGAAGGAAGCAACGGCGATGACTGAGCTGCGTAAAGCACAGAACCGCATGGTGTTCGGCAAAGAAGAGAAAGAAACCGACTACGGTATAGGAGATTCTACTGCGGGCATGGGAATGATTGGTCAGACGAACGATGGAAGAATCCGGGGAATGCAGATTGATAATCGGACCCGAGCAAAGCTGAGTCAAAAGCACAAGGGTTGGGGAGGGGCTACACCTATCGGCGGTTCAGCTTCATCGTTACGTGGCTTCGGCCAATCAGGCAACATCGACCTTCGTGGTAAGGGTCTACGAACTTCAGGGGTAGGGTCCACCATCGGCGGAGGTGCGGGGACAGCCTCTTCTCTAGCATTCACGCCGGTTCAGGGACTAGAGCTTGTGGACCCCAAGGTTCGGGCTGAGCTTAATCGCAAGAGAAAGGCGGAAGAGGATCGCTGGTTCAAGGGCGGCACATTCACCCAGGTTGCCGGAGGCGGAACGGCCAGCAGTGCCAATGGCGGCTTTAAGGTCCCTGGACAATCGCCCAACAAGAAAGTTGATACCGGTGCTGGCAAGATGGGACCGCCATCGGTTCCCGCTAAGAAATAAACCGAAGAAAGCACTGGTCTACGTATAGTTCATGTTCTCGGGAAGTAAGGTTTTTTTTCTGCAATGTACGAGGACAGCAAACGTTAAGGTATGGCGTCTCAAGGGGCGGCGGGGTTAAAGCTTGCTAGTTTCTTACAGCATAGGTAGTTTAGGGTCGGTCGCATGGTCAACGGCGTTCTCGGAAGGGAGACCGTCAAGTCTTAGACTGCGCAAGAACGTCAAAACGGTTAGTCTAATGTAGTTAACTTTTATCATGTAACTACTAACAATTCGTTGTGAACATGCGCCTCTACAAACTCAATTCATGAAGGCCACGCCATCCGAACACCCCTGACTACCCTGACTCAACTTTATTATCCGTCTATCTGTTTACCTTTACAGGGCTAAAGGATAGGCTCCTTCTTCTCTCGTGCTTTTGACTCTGGCTAAAGCGCTCTACTGCGGCGTTACGAGAAATTCGTGATAAGGGGCAAAGTCAGGAAAGGGACAAGTGAGATTATAAGATTGTCCCGGTTTTCATTTTTTGCGGTCGACGCAGACGCACATAACGGCTAGGAAGGCACGACATTGTTCCGCGCAGTACAGAAGGCGCATTCAAAATATTTTGCCATAGGCAGATCACCACCAGCTGGCGATGCATCCGCTCACAGCTGTCATGCAGCTGCTAACTGCTCGCGGAGATCCCTTTGACAGCTGCAAATGCTAATGCCTACAATTGGCCCGCAGGTGTGGCCCACTTCAGTGCCAGCTGTCGGCGATCTACCTATGGCAAAATGTTTTGAATGCGCCTTCTGTACGTCGCCTGGTTATTTGGGTCCGGTGCCGAAGCCGGGACCCTGGGAACCTCGCACAGATCTCGATCCCGGGAGGGAAAGTCCCTCCCTGTTCTGCTGTCGTAAGACTAAGGGGAAGCGCGCCTGGGTTACACGGCTGAGGTCCCGGGGTTTCGTGGCTAGCTACGGTAGCTAAAAAAGATAAAAAGAAAGAGAAGGATACTTGAATACCCTAACATTTATCTAGCTGCCTAGATAAAAAAGAATGGGCAGAAATTGGGTGTGTGCAGGGTTGCAATAGGACCTAGACCCCTCGGTGCTACTGGTATTAATGCAACTGGCTAGATGACTTACACGCTGGCATCGTGTCACACGTGAAAGATGGGCGATGAGCAGTGGATGTGTCTGTGTGTGTGTACGAAGCGAAAGAGGGGAAATGGGGGGGGGGATACGAGAGAACAGGAAAAAACGAAAGAAAAGGGGAATGTAGGGACAGAAGATGGCAATCTGGTGAAACTCGCACGCTAGGAGGATGGGAATTTGGGATTTGTGTCCTTTGAGGCCGAGAATTCCCATCCGACCCTGTTTCTAGTGCGACGTGGTCAACCTTACACTTATACTTACACCGAGTCCCATTCCACTTGTACTTTCTTCTTCTTCTCTCTTATTTGCGGCTTGGTCATTGTGTTGGCGAGATTCGGGAAAGGTTCTACGGTTTAATTGCCGGAATTGCTGTTGTGTCCTCTTTTTCTTCCTCTTATCTTCTTTACTTTTACTAGTTCTGCAGGGACTCAGCCAAAGACGCTGCGACTGTATACCAGGCACATTGACCTTATTTGTACTACTTATTATGTATGTAGAATAATATATTATGCAGATGGGTAATTTTTTTTCTCCCTTCGGCAGCGCGGTCGCCCGCGCCGCGGGACGGCTGATGGCTCGAACGCTGATCCTCGTGAAGATCAAGTTGTGAAAAAAACAGGATTTCGTCATCTTTGATCACGGTGACATACCTAAAGGACAGGGACCACATGTGAAGTTCCACAGCGCGGGGTAAAACTGGCAGCATGTACAAACACATCCATGTCTCCTCGCCGAAGGTATTGTACTATGTATAAGTGTCAAGTATCCACGACTTGTATCCTGAGTAACGAGTCAGGTCTATGCAGCTAGCGATGTATAAGTGGTTATCTGATAATCACAACGTCCATGGATTTAGAGAGGACACCATCTTTTAGAATAGTAAATAATACGGAGATCGTAAATACTTACCTAAGGTACTAGATGGAAAAACTTTGGAGTTTGAGGGATTCAATTGTGATAACTATCAAATCCTCAAATTGTTTGAGCTTTGCGACCGACGTTTCGACATGGTGACAACTAAGCAGCTAAATACCAACGTAAAGGTGATCACCGACGACCGATAGTAGGGCTGGGCCGTCTTGGCCGTCCATATTTGTTTTAAGAATGCCTAAACACGAGTAGTCCCTAAAATCTTTAGTAGGTGGACTCGGCCGGGAACCTTTTACAATGAGGAAGAGGGGGGGGACCCACGATGGTGCACCAGCTTGGGTACCCCAAATATGTAGCTTGCCTGCATGTGCCGGACGGCCGGTGTAAGTTGTCTCTCACACTAGTCGGCTCGTTCGCGACCGCGGAGCTCCGGATAAGAAAGGCGGCTTTCACGGCATCGTCCCGGGAATGCATACTGCTTTGGACTACAGCTGGGTCGATATCAAGACGAGCATCGGGCCATTTGATTTAAGAGAGTCGTGTTCTCTGCCCCATGTTTGGGTCTTTCTGATAAATATCTATCTACCTGGTATCTTATCGTACAATGCTGTGATCCTATAGAATACTACAATAGCTGCCGGTGTGCTCGTGGCAGACCTACCTTACAAGGTTCTATTCCTATTGGCTTCAAGCTTCTGTTGTATTTTCGTTGTGAATCCTACTTCATCTCATGTACTTACCTAAGTATATACATACACGGGGCTAAATGGAACAGACAAAGCTAGGTACGTACGCACGTATCTTGCCGAGTTATTCGAAACGCGAGTCAGTCTTAACATAGGCTCATAGTATACCCTCGGCTTAGAGAAACGTGGGCCTTATTTTATTGATAAATAATATTAGGTACTGACTGTTCCAGCCTCTATTCTCTAGAGGGGTAGTGGGGTGACAGCGAGGACGAGAATAAGGGGTCTAGACTTGACAAGACAATTTGTGCATGTAAGTTTATGAGTAAACATATCCATAAAGTATGCATCCATGATTTGTATTCTTGGGCATCTTATCGCCAGATTTACCGTGATGCATGTAATTTTGGATCTAGGAGGCTCTTTACGAGCCGGTGAATCGATCTATCAACATGCAAGTAAGCAAAGTGAATAATACCATGGTAATCGAAAGGCCACCATAACGTGACGATGTGGAGATAGACTAAAACTCAGCAGCAACAAATTTTCTGCAACGACTCTTTGACCGTTTATCGACTGATGCTCGAACGAGTTGCGTCCTTCGATGTGGATCCCTATTCGCATATCGTCTGGGCTATAACAGGGGTTGAGCTCCTAGCTGAGTTGCTGGGTACGGGGTACCATCCGGCATCCAATGGGTTTACTAGGTTTGTCTTCCTAAGACGGACGCCATATGTATTAGGCAAGGTCCAGGCCTTTTGTCAGTCATGTATCAGACCCGATCAGACCAAACGGGCGAGATGGAATCGGTTCCCAAGAAATCATAACCCCTGTGATGGCGTTAGATGGCCTTGGAGTTTTAGGGGGTCTTAAGGCAAGAAGCGACCAAGGTGCCGAGCCGGAATCAAGGCAACCACGGACGTGGAAGGATGTGATGGGCAGTCACGACTTGGCTTTCGGGAAGCTCGGCCGGTTCAAGGTGGACCTAACGCTCCGAAACGCATCCCCGTGATAGTCCCGTAGATGCCAAGTTGCGAAATAGAAGTTACGTTTGCGTCATCGTGATAATATATCGCCGTATTCACCTAGACTACTAGGTTACTTAAACGGACATATGTATGCGTAACTGTTGGGACGATAAAAGCCAGTCAATATATATAAGCGTGTAGATACTCGTAAGTTTTATCGAGCCCACAATTCCGTTGTTGATGGGAAAGTATAAGAGTTGTTATGTTGATTGTGTCAATATTTACTTGCTGTTAGCATAAGAACTTTTAGCCCAATAGTAGAATCGCTAAATGATCTAGAGTCAGATCGCTATTTAAAAAAAAGTTAATGATCTACTAAGTTGATTGTTTAAGTCATATTCAAATTTCAAGCAGTTTTCTTTTAGGGAAGTTAACACTCGATAACAATAGATAATCTGTAACATACCGCTTTTGGAGATTTTCGCTCTGGTGTCTCGGCGGCATTCCGAGAGCGTACACATAGATCCATAACCATCTGTTATCATTGTTAAACTCGTTTACTGAGCAGCTGAAGTACCTACATTCAAGGGACCAGGAACGGGAGGCTACTGGGATTGGCGCGCATAGAATAAAAAGAATTCCAGAATGTCAGGGACCATCGTCTACATTTTCTCGTCTATTGGGTAATGAAAAAAAAAGTAGTATTATTAGACCGCCAGAAGCCATCGGAATTTTTGATGGGACGAGCCTGGACAAGACGGTCAATTAACAGATTCAGGGGAGCATAACAGCTACATGTAGCAGATGCAGAAGATAGCATATGCAGAGCCGGGGGTCCTGGCTGCTCAGCGATAAGTTGGCCTTATACGCAAGATACGAAGTATTCCAAGTATTCCAAGGTTGCGCCAAGAAGTACCCAGAGGGGTGTTCCTGTAATGTGGGCTGGGTGGACCACTATGCTGGCGATCGTCTCTGGCAATCGACGATTGCCCAACATTGTCAAGATCTTTGTGTTGCTGATGTGCGGAGCGTTCTCCTCAACCCTAGAAAATTTGCTACGCTTGCAGGTGCCAGGTGGGATATCTGCGGGCGGAGCGAAGAAAAATGTTGGCCATTTTCACCACTCCCAGCGCTCCGTTTAATCCATTCTGGTAGGTAGTACTGTACTCTTTTTTTTATTTATTATCCGCATCATCATCGTCGTTTAATCGCACCGAAGCGAGATGTACGGCATGTACAGGTACCGTACTGAGAGAATTTATGAAGGGAGTAAGACGCCTGGGGATCCCCGGGAGGACCTCAAGGGCTTTATCATCAAATTCTTAGCGCAGGATCGAAGGACCCTGAATTTAGGTAGTCAGTCTCCCTAAATAAGGCTTGCATCGTATACCGTTCTTGTACTGTACGTGAACTGTACATAGGGCCACGGCTCTTATGGTATGCTGGCAGGCTGGGTAGGTACATAATAGAAGTATACCATAGCTAGCCACATTGAGCCTCTTCTGTATGGAAAAGAAAAAAAAGATGCATATAGTTAAGAATTCCTAAATTGAAAGTCCCTTAACGTTTCCGTATGTGTTTAGGGATTTCCCGACGGAGAGTCCCTTCTTCACATATATCTGTAGCTGTTTCCTGGAAAGAGTTGGCTGTAGAAAAGAAATACCCGTACCTACGTGCCTTCCAAGGTTGTTAGATTGTTAAGGTAGTGTTGTTTTTTTTCGGTCCCTCTGCCCCTCTGCCCCTTGCCTTTAGTCAATATAGACCCACAACGACCGGTCGTTAAAGGAGATCTCTCTCCAAAAACCCGATCGCTGATAATCGAAACAACGACGCGCAGTACCCTGATTCCGGGGGGTTCATTCCTTTATACCTCGTGACATCATCGTTTTCTTCTTAATTCTCCCGCTTTCTTTTCCCTCGTCGCGCCAACAACATTATCCTGCGACATCTAGGATACCCAACTGAGGACGCACGCAGGCACGTTAGCAGGTTCGGTACCTTTCACTTACCTACCTACTTGAAGGACATATCTCTCCGATTTTGTGTTCCCCAAGCAACCAAGCAGCCAAGGTATCTCAAGGACCCTTAATAATAAATCAATGATTGGCGACAGATAGACCTGATAGACCTGATAGACTTGCCGAGTTGGCGGTTTGTGAGACCCAAACGTAAATGTGGCTAATGTGCTAATGTGTGTCTGTGTGTACTATCTCATGTGTGTGTCCACAGGTCCACGCGAAGGGGAAAGTGATGGCCGGGGATCGAGATGGAGGGTATGGGTGGTGGGTGGTGAATGGTGACCGGAGAGTATCGAATTCTGAAAAAGCGGCATTCTAAATGCCATCCAGGGTCTGTGTATCCTGCATGTACCTTCGCTAACTGCCCCATGTACCCTAATCCGGTACCCTTTTTGACGCCATGCCTCTTGGCGCAACCGACGAATCATTGTTCCCCGTTCTTTAACGGAAACTTGAGGCGTCGATGGGCGCTACTTAGTTGCTGCATCAAGGGTATCCTATGAACCCTTGGATTTATATATATTTTCTAAAAAGTTGATTTAACGGAAAACGACGGCAATATGTCTCTTGGTATAAACTTGTGACAAGAGCTGTGCCGGTGCTTAGAGTATTCGTAATATAGTACCTAAGTATACCATGCATACCTCCATAGAAATTCTGTATGACTAGAAGAGGAAGCAAACGAAATATTAAGCTTAGAAAATTTCGTTTATAAAACAAAGTGTGCTATAAACATACCTACGAGTGATAAAAAGGAGTATTCGTTTTTAATATCACTTAAAGTTTGTAGTCATCCAATTATGACCATGCCTTGTAGAAACGACTATCACTAATCACCAAATTTTATGAACCATATTTAGTTTCATTTTCTAGAAAGTGGCTTTTATGAATCCTCCAAGGCACATTTTGAAGTCTACGTAGTAGATAAGCTCATAAAACAATCTCAGAAAATGTATTGGATAATGTGGTAAGACGACTCAGATAGCTTGACTATGTAGGTAGCCTCCTACGTCACCACTGATGTCCTTCCCAGTTGCCGAGACAAGAGTCGGCTTACATACATAAAAGTCAGATATGATATCCCCCTCGTGAGGTTTTGTTTCTCCCTATAAGTGGGCTTCGGACGGGAGTGAAGCACGACAGCTGGAATGCAAATCAGGGACCCAAACAACAGATCCGGTGGTGCTGCCATCTTGAAATAGACCAGGAACGCCGCATCCAAAAGAAAGCAAGCGAGATATGCTAGGAAGATCCGGACAATGCAACATATAAACGTGCCTGCTGATCATCAGTACGTACCGTGAGTCAAGGTGAGCCGCTATGTACCTGTCTCATAGAGATGCTGAGGGATGATGGATGTAATTCGTCAAATACCTTGATCCCAACCTGTCCTTGCATGCAGAAGTACCTACATGATGTACATATTCACGAGGAGAACTGGGTAGTTCCGAGAGAGGATTTACATATGAAGGCTGACCTTATGGACATGGAATCGATCAACCTGTCAATGGGAATCCCTCGTACCTATACATACACTGCCAAACACCCGAGGAAAGCTTATGTATGTGTAGCGAATTAGCGACCGTTTTCGTCAGGGACAAACGATTAAGTTGAATTCGGCAACGTGGAAAAGTATCCCCTCATTAGATGTCGAGTCAATGTTGTATTTATGGATGCGTCTTGGTTAAGTTCGAAGCTCCAGTCCGCGTCAGCCCACTTTCCAAGTCGTATGTGTAAGTAGGTATATATTATAATATATACACAAATGTTTATGTATCTGTAGATGCAGATGTAAGGTTAGTTTATACGAGAAATTGTTTGCATACTGGCATATAACTTGCATGGATAATATCGATATTTGATGTTCTAGAATAACGAGTCACGCACTTGCTATCATTGATATCATACGTACGAGGGTAGATGAGGATAATCGTCGAATATCTCGATTAGCAGAGCCTTACGATGTAACTGTGTAGCGTATAAGAATAGGCGGTGACCGGCGATCTTTTTTTCTTCTTGTACTTTGTTGCTCGGCCCCATATGGTTGAAAGGTACATTTCGAATACTTGGTCAGGTCCAAGACAATTATGGGATGGATCGAGTCCCATCCCATGTGTCTCTCCAACTGCCCCCCCGCTTTCACTGCTTTTTTGGAAACCAGTCGCTAGTAAAAAGGACGGAACGCAAGAGTTGCAGGGCCAGGGGACCTTGTGGGACCTTGTGGGACTAGTGGGACTAAATGGGACCTGTGGACCTTGTATACTTTGTATACATTGTACATCTATACTTTCACGTATACATTATACAACTATACATACCTGGGTATAGACGTACCGCTTGCCCAGGTGCACACGCACACGCACATAAGGGAAAGGGAAACTGGAACTGGAACTGGATCGGATTCCTCTTTCCCATCCATGAACGCTCAGTTTCTTTTTAACCAACAAACTTCCCGTCGTATCTCATATGGGAAAGTTCTTCTGACCTGCCTCACTTCTTCTCTACCTTTGTTCGAGAACACCCTTAGAACTCTTCAAAATCCTCCCCCGCTAACCCTTCATCCCATTTCCTCTTTCCCATCGCTATATAGACCCTAGAAGTGTTTTAGCTAAGCCCAATCCAGCTTGAGCTTACCTTCGCGCGCATACACAACGCACACACCTACATATGCTTTTGACGAAGACCGCAACCATCCCACCTTCACTCGTGTCGCCGCGTCTATCGAACTCGTCCCAATATTAGCTACCTCCCGCTAAAGCCTTAACTACCTTCAGAGCATGCTTCGTTAAGCACGAATCCTATTCAACCACACAGCCAACTACACCTTGAAAGATCTGTTCCATTGTCGTTTACCCTAGTACAGCGGTGTGGGCTTCATTATTTCATAAGAATTGATCAGCGTATGAACGACATTTGGATTCAGCAACAGTTTAGGCAGTTCAAATAGAAATTGATCATTCATCCCTCGTCTTCCGCGCCTACCCACCCACACACATACACATCAAAGACAAAATGCACGCTCGAGACGCCACCGGCCGCCAGGTCTCGCTTCTAAACGACGATCCATACGCCAGTCACCAGTCATACCACACAGCTCCCCACTATCAATCCGCCGGTGACCAATCGCCGCCGCCCCACACTCCAGAGCTTCTTCGTTCAGATTCATACGACTCTAACGCTAGCTACGACGCTTTCTCGCCATTGACGCCCGGTCTATACGACTACACGTCGCGACAACTGTACGATGATTATCCCCCCGATCAGCAGGTTGGCATGAAGCGCCCTGTTTACGTCGCAACCAGCCGTTCCAACTCATACGAGGATGATAGCTCGGCTAGCTCGGCGGCACCTGAGAAGGCTGGGAAGCGATATCCCTGCAGATATCGCGATAGTCATGGTTGTGAAAAGACTTTTACGACTTCAGGACACGCTTCTCGTCACTCTAAAATTCACACTGCTGAGAAGGCGGTCCAATGCACGTATCCTGGATGCCATAAAAAGTTCACTCGCGCAGACAACATGAAACAGCACCTCGAAACCCACTTCAAGGACAAGTCAAGATCCTCTACTTCTTCTAAATCCAAGAGCTCATCGCTGTCTTCGTCGTCCAAGAGAGGCTCGGTATCCTCCAAATCATCATCTCATGGCAACGGGTCTTCTCACGAAGTCCAAATGTGGGATTCTGAACAGTATGGATCTGACGCTCAACCAGCACTTGCATCCCCCGGTGGCGCCTGGGATATGCGCGGCCTTAATATCCCTCTGATGAGCCGACCAAGCGCGGCGAGAACCAGTAGCGGATTAGACGCCCTTGCAGCAATTGCATGCCAGGAAGGTGCCTAGGATCGTCTTCACTACCTACAAGCTCTCCTATTTCTTCTGACGTCGGCACGGAACCGAGCGGTACCCGATTGAGTAATGACGGGGTAATGAGAGGGTCACGGTTCTCCCTGTATGCCACAGGGATAGATACGAACGGGATTTGTTTTAAACATGGCGTTTGGGTATACTCGGGATCATACTCACGGACCATATTATCGATACCAGGGTGGCAAGCATACGATGGCGCACCTCATTATTTATTTTACTTTTTTTTTTTTTTTTTTTTTTTTGCATATTCTGGAAGATGACCGGGAAAGGCACTTAAGGAATGGGTGCTTTTCCCGTTTCTTTCCGCCTGTGGCGCGGTTGCCAGGGCTGACTTGCTCGTCGCCCACGATTTTTACTTCTTTGGAGCAAAAAAAAAGTTGAAGCAGATGTACAGGCATCAGCCAGGGCGAGTGCATTGTTTGTGCTTGCATATACGAGCTGATTATCAGGCGCACGGGAGCCGCGCCGAGGACTTGTCAGCAAGGGTCCTATTACCGAGAGGGGGGGTGGCATTTTTATCAGCTTTAACACCTATATATACATGACGTTGGGTTAGGCATTAGATACCAGCGTCCGCCCGGAACAGAAAAAGGGGGCGGATGGCATACGAAAATGAGAAGCAATGTTTAATGATAAAGCTCCAATATTCTCCCATCTACATATTATTTACATAAAGTTCTACTTGAAGTCGCGGATTCCCCCGACTGACTAAGCATAGGACTAAGTCTTCTTGAAAAGGGGACTCCGGAGGTGATGGGGATGCTGTCACTGTACAAGCGAATCTATCTGACTAGATGAGCGATAAATGATGATGAAGGACTCGGAATTTTGTTTCAGTGATGATTGTAACACCATTCAGTACCGAGTCCCTGATCTTGGCATGGACCCTGATAATCCATCACCATACTCTTCTCCCGGACGATGCATATGTGCGTATGCTATACCTAGTAATGTGTGTAACCGCATGGCTGCCAGCCTGCCGCTGTTCTTCGGGTAGCACAACATGTTTCGGTACCATTTTGATGGGGCTACTTCCTTGGGTGTTGGGCGAATCAATTTTGGCCGAAGCTTGTGGGAAGACGATGAAATTTTTTGGAGTCTTGTATGACACTATTGCATTGCAATATATAGTAGCGCACCTTGTAAGTACGTACGACACTTGGCTTTAGCTAATTTGGTAAATTTGGTACCTACTTAAGTAGGTATATACTATACTAATACGCATGTAATAGCAATAAGCAAATCTATAGTTGGGCACGTTTGACCTTGCGATATGCCCGACTTTAGGAGGGTTATTATGTTTGGGTAGGAATAAAAAAAAAAAAAAAAGTTCTTTAATTAAGAAAATGTGGTTATATTAAAAGTATAGTGGGGCATATGTGGCTAAAGAAAGATATGTATAATATAAAAAAAATGTATAATTAAGTAACCGAAAAAAGAAATAATATATAATTAAAATTAAGTTATAAAAAAAAGAAAAAATATTATTATTTCGAAAGTAATTATTAATTTATATTAATTATATACGTAATAATTTATTTTTAATATATTTTATTTAATTATATATTATATTTAATTTATATATTATTTTAAAATATTAATTTTATTATTATTTATTTTATATATTATAAATTTTTATAATTAAAAAATTAAAATAATATAATTAAAATTTTTTTTATCGTTTATAATGTTTTTTACGAGTATTATTTATATAAAATTAATGTTTAAAATTAAAATATATTATTTTAAATATTTATAATTAATTTATTTAATATTATTTAATATATTAAATTTAAATAAATTATATTATTTATTAATATATTAAATTTATTATATTATTATAAATAATATTTAAAAAAATAATAAAAAGTTTAAAAAAAACGATAAAATAATTAATTTTTATTTATTTACGTTATTTTTATTAAATAATTTATTATTACGAATTAAAATATTATTTATTAAAAAATATTATTTTTATATTTTTAAATATATTAATAATTAAATTATAATTAATATATATTTATTTATTTATATTATATTAATTATATTAAATTAATAAATTTATTATTTTTAATTTATTATAATTTCGATAATTAAGAATTTTTTTATAATTTATTATTATTATAAAAAAAATTACGAATTAATATTAATTTATTAATTAATTAAATTAATTTTTATTTTATATACGATTTAAACTTATAATTTTATTATATTATAATAAAATTAATATTATTTAAAAAATGTTATATTATATTTTTAAGTATAAAACGATGGTTAAAAATTAATAATATACGTTATTTTTTAAATATATAAAAAATTAAAATTATTTATAATATTTTTAAAAATAAAATATTTATTCGTAAAAATATTTATTTTTTTTAAAATTAAAATTATTTAATGATATTATTTAAATTTAACTTAAATTTTAATATTTTCGAATATTAATTAATTATTTACGTATTTTATTCGTTTAATAAATTTATTAATTTTAATATGGAAATTTTTATTTTATATTAAAATATATTATATTTATTTTTTCGTAAAATATTTATTAAATTTTTTTTCGTTTATTTTACTTAATTTATATTTATTAATTTCGTAATTATGTTTTTTAATAACGACGATAATAAAAAAATATATTCCGTTAATTTTAAAATATTAAATAAATAAATTATTAAATAATTATTTATATATAAAATATTATTATTATTTTTAAAAATAATTAATATACGAAGTTAAAAAAAAAAATTTAACGAAATAATTTATAATAATTTTACGAATTTATTATATTTATTTTAAATAAATTAAATAAAATTAATATTTAATAAATATAAACTTAACGATTAATAAAATAATTATTTTTTAAACGATAAATAATTTTATAAATAATTAAAATTATATTATAATAATAATAATAATATTAATAATAAAATTAAAAATAAAAACGAAAATAATAATAATAATAATAATATTATAAACCGATTTTTTTTTTAAATAATAATATAAAAAATAACGTATTTATATATTATAATAACACGTAAAATAAAGTTTTTTTTAAAATAAATTTATTAAATTAATTTTAATTTAATTATATATATCGATATTTTTTATTTATATTAAATAACGTACGTATTAAAAATATATTAATTAATTTTAAATTATATTAAATTAATTAATATATTATAATTTTTTTATTAAATATTTAATTTAAAATAATATTTAATAAATTAAAACTTAATAAATTAAAATTTAATAAAAAATAATAAATTTTTAAAATAAATATATATCGTTATATATTTTTATAATAAATAATAAATTAAAATTATTTTAAAAATTTATTTATTAAAATTAATAATTACTACGTAATTTTTTATATTTTTTTTATTATTTATATATTATTTTTTTTTATTTTTTTATTTTTTTTATATAAACGAATGAAAATTTTATATAACTTTAATTATTTATTAATATTATTTATTAATTAATATTTTTTATTTTTTACGTTATTTTTATTTTTAACGAAAACGTTTTAAAAAAAATTTATTTTTTTTTTTTTTTCGTTTTTAAAATTAATAATATTTTATTTTAATTTATTTATTAACGTGAATGTTATAAAAAGTTATTACGGTAATTTTAAAAATAATTAACTTTTCGTAAATATTTTTAACCGTTTTTATAACGACGTTTCGGTTTCGATAATAATAAAAAATTAAAAACTTTTTAAAATAAATTAAGTTTTTTACGCGGTTAAATAATAAAAGTTTTTTTTAATAATAACGATATATATAAAAAAAAAATTTACGATAATATTAAATTTATATTTAATTTTTATTATATAAATATTTTTAAATTTTTTAATAATACGATTAATATAAAAAATATATTTAAAATTAATTAATAAAAATTTATTATTTTAATAAATTTACGTATATTATAATTTTACGAATTTATTAAATAAAATATAAACGTAAAATAAATACGTTTTTTTTTTTAATAAATTTAATTAATTTTAATTATTTAAAAAATTAAATTAAAATTATAATTTTATAAAAGTTTTATTTTTTTTAAATTTAAAAATTATATTTTAAATTAAAATAAAAATATTCGAATCGAAATTATAATAAATTTTATCCATAAAAAAATAACTAATTTAAAATTTTTAAATAACGTTAATAATATAATTAATTATTTAAATATTTAAAAATTTATAAAAAAATTAAAAATATATTAATATTATATAAAATAATAAAAATTTTTAATATTTATAATTAAATTTATAATAATAATATTATTATTAAAATTTTTTAAATATTATTAACGAAAAAATTATTTTTTAATTTAATATAAAACTTTTAAAAATAAACCATTTTTTAAATTATTATAAATTTATGTTTTTATTTTTTATAATTATTTTTATAAAAAATATAAGTAATAATTAATTTATTAAACGGTTAAAAATATTAAAATAAATTTATAATATTTTTATTAATTTTAAATATATTTAAAAACGGTATTAAAATTTATATAAAGAAAATAATTTTATAATTTTTATATTTAATAAATTAATTATTACGATTTCGTTTTTTAATTAATATAATTTTATTAATAAATATAACTTTTAAATTAAATTTTATATATAAGTTATAACCGTTTTAATTTAAAATATTAAAAGTAATTAATATAATTAATTAAATTTTAAAAAATAATAAATTAACGTAATAAAATAAAAATTAATAAATAAAAATAAATTATATAATAAATAAACGAAAGTAAATATATAATATAAATAAAAATAAATATACGTTATAAAGGATATTTATTATAAATAAAAAAAAAGAAAAAAAAAAAAATAAAAAAAAAAAGTAAAATAAATATTTATATATTAAATAAATTTTTAATATTTAATATATTTAATTTATATATAATTATAAATTATTATTTAAATAATATATTTTAATATTATAATATAAAATTTTTTATTTTATTATTATATTATATATTTATAATAATTAAATATAAAGTTATAAAATAAATTATAATATTTACGTTTAATAAATAAATATATTTTAATAAATAATTATATTTATAATTTTTTCGTTTTATATTAATAAAATATTTATTAAAATAAAAATTATTAATAAATATTTTAATTTAATAATAATAAAAAAATTATTATTAAAACATTTTTTAAAAAAAAAAAGAATTATTTTATATATATTAATTAATTTATAATTAACGAATT